GCATAAAAAGGCTTCATTTAAAAAAATAACACTTCATTTTCATAGGCTCTTGTTATCCGAGCTATGCCTGTACAATGAACATTAGAGGCATCCTCTTCACTATGTATGAATTTCTGTAACATGTAAGCCAATGTCTGCTGTGGTTTTTCCCTTTTTATGGTTAACAGCTGCTTATAGGGTAAGCAGATGTACACAGGTGAATTTAGGTTCAACTCCATCATTGGTGGAATTCAGAATGCTCTTTGACTGTAGGCAAACTATAAATCCCAGCAATTTCAACTCCCAAATGTCAAGGTCTAGTTTGCCCAAACTCTACCAGTGTTCCCCTTTGGGCATATTGAATATTTGTGCCAAGTTTAGTCCAGATCTATCATTGTTTGAGTCCACAATGCTCTCTAGATGTAGGTGAACTACAACACCAAAATGCAAGGTCAATGCCCATCAAACCCTTCCAGTATTTTCTGTTCGTTGTGGGAGTTCTGTGTGCCAAAATTGGAGTTCCAAATGGTCTTTGATTGTAGGTGAACTATAAATCCCAGCAACTAAAACTCCCAAATGACAAAATCAATCCCCCTGAACACCACCATTGCTCAAATTTGGGTGCATGGGGTATTTGTGCCAAATGTGGTCCAGCGAATGAAAATACATCCTGCATATCAGATATTTACATGACAATTCATAACAGTTGCAAAATTACAGTTGTGAAGTAGCAACAAAAATAATGTTATGGTTGGGGTCACCACAACATGAGGAACTGTATTAAGGGATCGCGGCATCAGGAAGGTTGAGTCTGTTGTTTATTCGTTCAGTCACTTCCGACTCTTCATTACCTCATGGACCAGCCCACGCCAGAGCACCCTGTTGGCCGTCACCACCCCCAGCTCCTTCAGAGTCAAGCCAATCACTTCGAGGATACCATCCATCCATCTTGCCCTTGGTCGGCCCCTTCTTTGTTTTTCCTTCCATTTTCCCCAGCATAATTGTCTCCTCCAAGCTTTCCTGTCTTCTCATGTTGTGGCGAAAGTACTTCATTTTTGCTTCTAATATCCTTCCCTCCAATGAGCAGTCGGGCTTTATTTCCTGAAGTATGGACTGGTTGGATGTTCTCATGGTCCAAGGCACTCTCAGAACTCTCCTCCAGCAGCACAGTTCAAAAGCATCTATCTTCCTTCACTCAGCCTTCCTTATGGTCCAGCTCTCACACCCATAGCTTACTACAGGGAATATCATTGCTTTGGCTATGCAGATTTTCATTGCCATTGTGATGTCTTTACTCTTCACTATTTTATCAAGATTGGCCACTGGTGGAGCAGGCGGAGGATAACATGGTACATGTTACAACAGCTGTGAAGGCAGAAGAAGGCTGCAACAGATTGAGAAGCCATGCTCATCGTGTTAACTACACCACCAGTGGAACCTCACTCTGTGAAGACTGTGTGTTGATCAGCTGTGCACTGACCTCCACACATTAAAAAAACTCACACACAGGCGTCTTCCAAGAAAAATAAAAACAAACCAACAAAAGTCCCATGGTGATCAGCGGGGGCAGGACTGTGAAATCTGGGGGCAGCAGCAACAGGGGCAGGACTGTGAAATCTGGAAGCCCCTAGTCACAGACTGGCACATGGGCGGTGGATACGGACTCAATCGTTCTACCTCAAGATCTGAGGCAGTTGAGTAGTTCGGCAATTGTATCCATGACTGAGCAGCCCTTTCTAGGATCCACTCTGCTCACCCCACATGGGGAAGGGGCTAGAAAAGGTACCCTAAGCATAGTCTGCCTCTCTTACCCCTGAGTGGACTGCCGCATCCAGTGGGGTCACCACCCTGAGGTCAAAAAAGAAAAATGAACTTTGGAACATGGAACGTATGGACACTGATGGACAACACTGACAGTGAACGCCTCAAACGCAGAACTACCATCATTGCAAGGGAGCTGGGACGCTTTAACATCGACATAGCAGCATTTTGGGAGAACTGGGGAGCAGGAGAGGGACAGCTGAAAGAAAAAAAAGGAGACTGAAGAATGCACGGAACTGGCGTTGCTATCAGAAATGATCTGGTGAAGCATCTGACCGAAGCACCCACTGGCATCAATGAACGACTCTCAACCCTCTGAATTGAACTTGCCAAAAACCGACAGGCAACCATCATAAGTGCCTATGCAGCAACACTAAGTTGTTAATGTTTCTTCCAGCAATTTTGACTTCAGCCTTGCATTGGTCAAGCTTCGCACGTTGCATGATGTGTTCTGCATACAACTTGAATAGGTTGGGTGAGAGTATACAACCCAGCCGTAAGCCTTTCCCATTCTTGAACCAGTCTGTTGTTCCATGGTCAGTTCTTACTGTTGCTACAGTCCAAATTCGTAATCTGACTGGGCATGTTGAGGAAGGATATGAGAAAGGTTGCATTACTGGAACAGTTTTTTGTTGACCTTACAGCAGCCTATGACATGGTGCAACATAAGAAAATGCTGCAGAAAGTCTACCATATTACCTGAGACTATGATTTTACAAAAACTATCCAGACTCTCCTAGAAAACCGTAGCTTCTATGTGGAGTTTCAAGGCAGGAAAAGTAGATGGAGAATGCAAAAGAATGGTTTACCCCAAGGCAGCGTTCTTGCACCGACCTTGTTTAATACCTTTACTAACGATCAGCCACAACCATCACTCACAAAGAGCTTTATATATGCTGATGACCTTGGCCTAACAACACAAGCAAAATACTTTGAAACAGTTGAAATCCAACTTACTAATGCCTTGAACGATCTCTCCAGCTATTACAAAGATAACCAGCTGGAGGCTAACCCTGTCGAGACACAAGTTTGTGCTTTCCATCTACGCAACAGTGAAGCCAACAAGAAATTGAAAATCACCTGGGAAGGTCAAGAGCTTGGACATTGTTTCCATCCTAAATATCTCGGTGTCAACTTAGATCGAACACTAGCATATAGGAAACACTGCTTGAACACCAAGCACAAAGTAGCTGCAGGCAGTAACATCCTGCGAAAACTTACTGGCAGCACATGGGGTGCAGACCCAAAATTAGTAAGAACACCAGCCCTGGCCTTGTCTTACTCAACTGCAGAGTATTTATTTATTTATTTATTTACTTCATTTGTTGACCGCCGCTCTCAGCCCTGGGGCGACTCGCGGCGGTGTACAACATGTAAAAAACAGTCTACAAAACATACAATATATCAACAATCAAATTACACATTAATCTAATCACACTAATAAATCCGCGCCATCACAACAAGGAATCATAGCCAATCTCATAATCCATAGTCCGTTCCAAATGTCATTACCAGATTCGTGTGGCTCAATTAAATGCCTTCTCGAATAGCCAGGTTCTTTAGGCTCTTACGGAAAGCCATCAGGGAGGGCGCCTGTCTGATGTCAACAGGGAGGGTGTTCCACAGCCGGGGGGCCACCACTGAGAAGGCCCTCTCTCTCGTCCCCGCCAGACGTGCCTGTGAGGCAGGCGGGATCGAGAGAAGGGCCTCCCCAGACGATCTCAAGGCCCTCGTGGGCTCATAGGCCGAGATGCGGTCCGACAGGTATTTTGGGCCGGAACCGTTTAGGGCTTTGTAGGATAACACCAGCACCTTAAATTGGGCCCGGTAGCAAATCGGCAGCCAGTGGAGCTGGGACAACAAGGGCGTTGTATGCTCCCTGCGTCCCGCTCCGTTAGTAACATGGCTGCCGCGCGCTGGACTAGCTGAAGCTTCCGGGCCGTCTTCAAGGGCAGCCCCACGTAGAGAGCGTTGCAGTAGTCAAGGCGGGATGTGACCAAGCGTGTACCACCGTGGCCAAGTCAGACTTCCCAAGATACGGGCGCAGCTGGCGCACGAGCCTAAGCTGTGCAAATGCTCCCCTGGTCACCGCTGAAACCTGGGGATCCAGGCTCAACGATGAATCCAGGGTCACACCCAAGCTGCGAACCTGCGCCTTCAAGGGGAGTGCGACCCCTTCCAGCACAGGCTGTAACCCTATACCCTGTTCGGCCTTGCGACTGACCAGGAGTACCTCTGTCTTGTCTGGATTTAATTTCAGTTTGTTCTCCCTCATCCAGACCATTACAGCGGCCAGGCACCGGTTCAGGACCTCGACAGCCTCCTTAGTAGCAGGTGGAAAGGAGTGACAGAGTATGCCCGCCCTGTTTGGCATAGGTCCGCCCATGCAAAGCAGGTGAACATAGCATTGAATGAAACATGCAGAATAATCACAGGATGTCTTAAAACTACATCTGTTTATAAACTCTACAAGCTAGCTGGTATTGCCCCCCCCCCCCCATGTGTGATGGGAAGTTGCTGCTAAATGTGAGAGAATCAAGGTTGAACACTGTGAAAGCCATCCACTACACGGCTACCAGCCTCCTCCCAGTAGACTCAAATCCAGGAAAAGCTTCATGAGAACTACCACTCCTCTTGGCATCCCTTCAGCAACAGCAAGGGTATCCCTCTGGGCAGCTAGGAAATCCCAACTGGATGCCCCCCCCCCCGCCCCGCGAGGGTCTTCCTCCAGGGGCAAACCAAGAATGGGCAACTTGGAAGTCCCTGAACAGACTCGGGAGTGGAGTGGGCAGATCAAAAGACAACCTGGCAAAATGGCACTACCTAAAAGAACCCTTCACCTTGTGCGACTGTGGAGCGGAACAGACAACTCCGCATCTGTATGCTTGTCCACTATGCCCTGCCTCATGTACAGAGGAAGAAGTGTTGGAGGCTACAGACAATGCTGTTGCTGTTGCCCGTTTTTGGTCAAAAGATATTTAGCCACCTGCTCTCCTTCTATTTTTATCGGTTTTATACTTATGTATGCAACGCTTTTGATACGAAATAAATAACTGTTGCCCCTTGGTCGAGGTACAGAAGGTTGAGAAGCGCCGACCCGCGCCCTGGGGAGGTGTGAGCGCCAAAGGCGTGGAAGCGGTGCCGGGGCGCATTGCTCCCTCCTTCCCTCCTTCCCTCCTTGCCTCCCTCCCTCCTTCCTTGGGCCGGGCCTGAGCGGTGCGAGGGGGCGCGGCGGCGTGGAGCCGGAGGCGGCATTCCTTGTCGGGCCCCTTTCCAGGAAAGCGTGCCAGGAGGAGCCCGCCTCCCTCGGCTCCCCTCCTTCCTCTTCTGGGCTGGGAGCTGGAGCAAAGCGGGCGAGGAGGCGGCTCTGCCGGGTCCCGGAGAAACTCCGCGGCTCTCCTTTCCCCAAGCGCAGCCAGGCAGCCCTTCCTTCGGGAGGAGGCGCGGAGTGGGTGTCCTTCTGGAGCCCTTTCGCCGCCGCCGCCGCCGCCATCTCCCAGCTGAAGGGCAGGATTATCCGTCGCAAATGCCTTGAAAGGAGGAGGAGGCGGAGGAGGCAGAGGAGGCTGAGGGGAGGGAGCTGGCTCTGCGGCCCCAAGGATGGTCAGTCATGGCTTGGCTGGGTGAGCTCCAGCGCCTCTCGCTGCTCTCCTTGTTTACGGCCGCGCTGGCCGTCCTGCTCCTCTACCTGGTGCAGTATGGCCTGAGAGCTCTGCGGAGAGAAGCAGGAGGAAGAGGAGGAAGCGAGGAGGAGGAAGAGGAAGAGAAGGCGCCGCCGCTGCTCCTGCCTCCTGGACCCCTGCGAGGCGGCTCGGAGGACTCCTTCTTCGCCTGGCTCCTGGCCCTGGACACTTGGAAGGGCGAGTGGCACAGAGCCTGGGTTGCCGCCCTCAACGAGGAAGCCCGGAGATATGCCAGCCGAGCACAGGTGGGTCTCTTGGGGGGGGGGGAGCGGGGCTGGGGTGCTCTGGGGGTGCTCCCTGCGCGTTTGAGTGCTTCTACATTGCAGAACGAGTGTGGTTTGACCAGCCCTCCAAGGCAGAGAAGGCAAAAGGCCTTGCAGAAGTGTCACCCCCACGATTCCATAAGAGTCACAGCGGCATAAACCCCACTTGGCCAATTGAAACATTCACACCTACCTCGAACAGACAAGAGTTCTTTCTCCCATCCTGGACATTATTCTGAAGATATATAAACCCCATTTTCCTAGTTTCCAACAGACCTCACAATCTCTGAGGATGCCTGCCATAGATGTGCGTGAAACGTCAGGAAAGAATGCTTCTGGAACATGGTCATACAGCCAGGAAAGCTCACAACAACCCAGTGATTCCGGCCATGAAAGCCTTCAATGATACATTTCCCTGTTGCCTTGTTCCCAACAAACCTCACAACCTCTGAGGATGCCTGCCATAGATGTGGGTGAAACATCAGGAGATAATGCTTCTGGAACATGGCCATACAGCCCGGAAAACTCACAACCCAAAGATTTCAGTCATGAATGAAAGCCTTTGACAATACATTTCCCACTTGTCTTGTTTCCAACAAACCTCACAACCTCTGTGGATGCCTGCCATAGATGTGGGTGAAACGTTAGGAGATAATGCTTCTGGAATGTGGCTATACAGCCCGGGAAACTCACAACAACCCAGTGATTCCAGCCATGAACGCCTTCGACAATAGATTTCCCACTTGTCTTGTTTCCAACAAACCTCACAACTTCTGCCATAGGTGTGGGTGAAATGTCAGGAAAAAATGCTTCTGGAACATGGCCATACAGCCCGGGAAACTCACAACAACCTAGTGATTCCAGCCATTAATGAAAGCCTTCAACAATACTTTTCCCACTTGCCTTGTTTCCAGCAAACCTCACAACCTCTGAGGATGCCTGCCATAGATGTGGGTGAAATGTCAGAAGAGAATGCTCTTGGAACATGGCCATACAGCCTGGAAAACTTGCAGCTACCCCCAGTTAAAGTGGTGTCTAACTGCATTCATTCTACAGCAAACAAGCTCCCTTTAGAAGTCAGCCGCACTTCCTAGGAGAGAGTCTGGTCCAGAGTAAGACTGTAGTATTAATGCAGTTTGAGACCACTTTAACTGCCAGGGCTCAAGGCTATGGAAGCAAAGGAGTTTTGATTTGACAGGGCCTTTGCCCTTCTCTGCCCAAGAGTGCTGTCGTCTCCTCACCAAGCTGCCACTTTCATGCTTCCATAGCACTGAGCCCTGGCACTTCAAGTAATGTCAAAGTGTGTCCATTCTACAGTCAAATGCTTATTAAGACTGCAGACCAAGAGCCTATCTGGACTAAATGCAGTTTTAAAGGTAAAGGTTTCCCCTGACATTATGTCTAATCGAATCTGACTCTGGGGGGGGGGGGGGGGGGGGTGATACTCATCTCAATTTCTAAGCTGAAAAGCCAGCGTTGTCCGTAGACACCTCCTAGGTCATTTGGTGCATTTATTGACCGCCGCTCTCAGCCCTAGGGCGACTCGCGTCATGTGGTCGGCATGACTGCATGGAGCACCATTACCTTCCTGCAGACACAGTACCTATTGATCTACTCACCTTCTCGCTGGATTCAAACCACCAACCTTCAGCAATTTAATCTGCTGCAGCACCAGGAGGCCCAAATGCAGTTTTACCCCACTTTAACTGCCAGAGCTCATTGCTCTGCAGTTCTGGCAGTCGCTCTTTTATGTCTTTTGCAGTCTCTGCCAAAGGGTGCTGGTGCTTCATCAAATGATTCCAAAACATTGAAACCTGGCAAATAAAGTGGTGTCAAGCTGCATTAATTCTGCAGTCCAGATGCACCCAGACAGCAGAGTAATTAAGACAGCTCGACTCTGCAAATGCAGTGGGTTGTCTTGGTTGGACTTTTTTTTTCATGTCAGGAGCGACTTGAGAAACTGCTAGTTGCTTCTGGTGTGAGAGAATGGGCTGTCTGCAAGGACATTGCTCAGGGGACGCTGGGATGTTTTGCCATCCTGTGAGAGGCTCCTCTCATATCCTCGCATGGGAAGCTGGAGCTGACAGACAGGAGCTCACCTGCTTCCCAGATTCGAACCGTCAACCTTTTAAGGGTTTAACCCACTGCAAGCCTGGATATATTTTTTTCCTCTTATGAAAAGCATTCTCCTTTTGACCCCAGGCTTGCAATACCTCACACTAATAAACAGTGCATTCCTGTTTTATGTGGGAAGTGGGCTTGCTTATCTCTGAGGAAGTATCCAGATACATTCCATTAATGCAAATGCCCTTGAAATCAATGGTTTCCTTCCCCCTTTGGGAATGATTAAGATTCTTATTTTTTTCTTTATTTAAGCGTGGAATCTAAAATCTGTCTCATGCCGTTTTGTACACCGCAAAATGTGGTGCTTGCAAATCTGTGCAGGACTTGGTCTATTCTTTCTTGTCCTGCTTTCTTGTGTCTTGGGAGCAGGCCCGTAGCCAGGATTTCATTTCGGGGGGGGGGGGGGGCTGAAATTTTTTTCAGGGGGGGTTTCAGGGGGGGCTGAGTTTCGGGGGGGGGGGGCTGAGTCTGAGTGAAAGAGGGTCTAGCCTAGCAAACCTTTTGTATCATTACCCCAATACCCCCATGCATATGGGATATATTGAGTATGGTGATCAGATCATGATATGAATAAACATAACAGTTTAAATAATGCACCAGTAAGGCCTTTTCGCGAACCACCATGAGAATTGGGGGGGGGGGGGCTGAAGCCCCTCAAGGCCCCCCCCCCCCCCCCCCCGGCTACATGCCTGCTTGGGAGCCAGTATGGTGCAATGGTTTGGGTGTTGGAGACAAGGGCCATAGAAATCCTTCTGGAAGATTTGAACAAATCCTGCGCTCTCAGGCCCCTTCCAGACAGGCCCTCTATCCCAGGATCTGATCCCAAGTTTTCTGCTTTAAACTGGATTATATGAGTCCGCACTACCAGATAATCTGGGATAAACAGAAAACCTGGGATCAGATCCTGGGATATAGGGCCTATCTGGAAGGGCCCCCAGTGTCAGGAAGAAAACATTGTCAGGCCCCTTCTAACATGCCTTAGAGTCACCATGAGTTGGAAATGACTTGAAGGTACACAACAACAAATCCCTTGCCTAATTAGATTTTTCCATATAATGTTAATGACTTTAAGCACTTTTAAAAACATTACCAAGTTGGACAGTAAATTGTGAGGAGAGGGAGAGAAGAAGGTCAAAGGCTAGGAAGCAAGCTTGCTGTAGGAAAACTGATAGGAAAGTAACAATGCCTTGCATGCGTACATCCTTTCCAAGAAGGCAACTGCATCCTCTTTGGAGCTTGCTGCCTGACTGTGCAATGTGTTTTTTCACTCTCCAAAACTCAAAATAATGCTGTCATCAGGAAACCAATGCAATTGCTTTGCTTCACCACAACCAAACAGCCTTGGAAAGAGAGTACAGGCAGTCCCCAAGTTACAAGGTTCTGTAGGTTTGTTCTTAAGTTTTAATTTGTATGTCAGTCAGAACGGGTACATTTTGTAAGTGTAACTCCAGCCATCTTTGGGCCCTTCCACACAGCCCTATATCAAAGAATATCAAGGCAGAAAATCTCACAATATCTGCTTTGAATGGGGTTATCTGAGTCTACACTTAGATAATGTGGGATTTTCTGCCTTGATATTCTGGGATATAGGGTTGTGTGGAAGGGCCTTGGATCTATCTATTTTTGCATAGCATAGGGAAGGATTAACATCCCTGTGGTGTTTGTTTTGCTGTCTGTGTCCCTGTTCAGAAGATTCCACCTCACTTTCTATCCCTGTAATAATTGGATTTTGAAAAAATGTGGCTTGTTGTGGAAACAAGGATTGGTGAGACACCCCTTCCCCATAATAATAACCTTTCCTAGGGGTTGATTTCTCTCTCTTCCTGTTGTCTCACCCTCATATGTGGAGCCTCCAGTGGCGCAAACCCTTGTGCAGGACAGGATTGCTAGTTGAAAGGTGGACAGTGTCGAATCTGGGGCGTGGGATGAGCTCCCATCTGTCAGCTCCAGCTTCCCATGCAGGGACATGAGAGAAGCCTCCTACAGGATTGTAAATCATCTGGTTAACGTCCTTGCAGATGACCAATTCTCTCACATCAGAAACGACTTGCAGTTTCTCAAATCGCTCCTGGCACGAAAAAAGAAACATTTGTAACTATGAATAGTTTGTAAGTCAGATGTTTGTAACTTGAGGACTGCCGCTAAACAGTACCATGCATATGCAACATGTAGCCTGTTGCTAAATGCCTCTTTGTAGTGATGTAACACTTTCGATGGATTATCTTTATTTGATGATGTAAGATGTGGTTATGTCTTTGTCAATCGTAAAGCACTGGATTTTGTGTATGGAAGGGTTGAGATTTAGCAGACATTAACCCCTCCCACACATCAATGCTGTATGTCAGTAAAACTATTTCATACTTTTATACATTATGGAAAGGAAAATATCAGAATTCAAGGGTTTCTTAATACATGGTCTACGGAGTCTGGAGATGTGTGTTAGTAGATGACTTTCACAATTCTTCAGTTTCTCATCCCGTTACTTTGAATATTGTGTTTAAAAATGTAACACCCAACAAAGGTGTTACAGATTCTCAAAGGGTGCATGATCCCTAATATATTAAGAACTATTTCTCTTGACCATAGAAGGCATTGTCATGCTTATTTATAGGAAGAGACTGGTAACAAATTTATTTATTTATTTCATTTAAATACCACTTGTCTCACCCCTGGGAGGACTCAAAGCGGTTCACAGCAAAATAAATGGCAAAAATTCAATGCCTCATAAAATATAAAATACATCACATATCTAAAATAACATATAACTATAGATTTATTTATTTATTTTGTATCAAAAGCATTGCATAACTATAGATTAAAACCAGTAAACTAAAAAACATTGGACATAGAAAAAACATAAAGCATAGAACATTAGACATTGCACCAATCCCGAGGTTATCATTTGACCACGTCATCTCAATCTCTGAATGCTTGCTTGAAAAGCCATGTTTTAAGTTGTTTCCTAAATGCCAGGAGGGAGGGACTAGGACGCGGAACAATGGCTTCAAACTACAAGAGAGGAGATTCCATCTGAACATTAGGAAGAACTTCCTGACTGTGAGAGCCATTCAGCAGTGGAACTCTCTGCCCCGGAGTGTGGTGGAGGCTCCTTCTTTGGAAGCTTTTAAACAGAGCTGGATGGCCATCTGTCAGGGGTGATTTGAATGCAATATTCCTGCTTCTTGGCAGGGGGTTGGACTGGATGGCCCATGAGGTCTCTTCCAACTCTTTGATTCTATGATTCTATGAATGCCGTACGGTGGTCCTGCGGGAGAAAACCTTGCCAGCACGTCCCTGACGTCATGAGCCTGCGCCTCTCGCCCCGCCCCTTTCTCCGCCCCTTTCTCTTTGCCAGCGTGGTTTTTCCTTTGCTAGGGCAGCATTGCCCGCATTTTCTCTCAGTTGAATTCTGCCAACTGAGAGAGTATGCTGGCAATGCTGCCCTAGCAAAGGAAAAACCACTCTCGCAAGGAGAAAGAGGCGGAGAAAGGGGCGGGGCGAGAGGCGGAGTCTCATGACGTCAGGGACATGCTAGCAAGGTTTGCTCCCGCAGGAACAGAGTTTGCGACGGGTCTATGATTCCGGAGGTCGGTGAATTACATCTCTACTAAATCACTGTCAGTTCCTCCAAGATCCCTCCAGTATTTTCTGTTGGTCATGGGGGTTCTGTGTGGGAAGTTTGGCCCAATTCTATTGTTGTTGGGGTTCAAGAGGTTCTTTGATTATAAGTGAACTATAAATTCCAGCAACTGCAACTCCCAAATGTCAAGGTCTATTTTCCTCAAACTCCACCAGTGTTCACATTTGGGTATATTGAGTAGCAGAGGCACAACACAGTTGCACAGATGATCAATTGGAACTTGTGCCACAAATACCATCTGCCTGCTACAAAGAACTGGTATGGATCGTCAGTGTTGCAATCCCAGGCGACAGCAGGATTGACGAGAACCAACTGGAAAAGCTTACAAGATATGAGGATTTAAAGATAGAACTGCAAAGACTCTGGCACAAGCCAGCAAAGGTGGTCCCAGTGGTGATCAGAACACTGAGTTCATTGCCTAAAGATCTTGGCCTTAAGAACAATTGGCGCTTACAAAATTACCATCTATCAACTTCAAAAGGCCACCTTACTCAGATCTACACACATTATTCACTGATACATCACACAGTCCTAGACACTTGGGAAGTGTCTGACGTGTGATTAAATACAAAAGCCATCACAGTGATCTTGTTTTCGGTGATCTTGTTATATATCAAATCATCATCATCATAAACTTTATTTATGTCCCACCCCACCTCCTCAAAGGACTCAGGGCAGCTCACAACATAAATAATATAAATAATATAATAAAATACAATAAACTACATAAAGTAGGATAAACAATTAATAACATAACCAACCAATATATGTAAGACTTACCTCCACCCAGGTAATCTTACCTCCACCCAGGTAATCCACCCAGGTGATCTTACCTCCACCCAGTCTATCCTTTGGTGTTAGACTGGGGTAGAATCATTTTACTCTAGATTCTACCTACTGGGTGATGGGTGGATGATTGAGAGCAGTATGCTTAGATCATTGGCAGGAAGTGCTGAATTAAGCGGGCTTTCCTCTCCCAATACACTCTTGCACTCTTGTTAGCTTGCCATTTCTCCATATTCCCAAGTGCTATATTAATGATAGCTTTACTGTAAAATTAATAATTGTTGTCTTCTGTTCTGCATTGACTGTATCTGGAAAAGAGCACAAAGGAATTGAAAATTTAAAAGTTCTTAAAGAACTTGCTGATAAGTCTTTGAATTTTAGTAAAAAAAAATCACCCCCAAAATTTTTGATTGACTTATCCATAAGTCAGTATAAATGATGTGTCTTAACTCTTATAAAAAAAATGAACCATCCCCTTCTCTGAGTAAAGTGGTGAATAGCAAGAGCTCTTAGTCCATCCTGGGAAAACTTATAAGAAGCAGTCAGCCCTCTCTTTTCTCTCCATGGTGGTCCAATTCTGCCAGTTTTGAATGTGGGCAGGGGAATAACAACACCAGGGGCAACTGCCCTCCAGAGACAGCATTGGTGTGTTTCCCTCTCCATAGAATAACCCTCAACTTATTCACAGGACACATCAAAAGCCATAATTTTGGCACTAAAACATGCCCTTGACTTATCCATGAGGTTGAATATACAGTATCTCTTAGCCTAATTTCACATAGGCTTTCTGCCTAATTTCAGAAACCTTTTGCAATCAGTGAATTCAGACCTCTGGCGAGAATTGTATGTCCTTTCCCTGGTAGAAAACAGAGAACAAAGGGATGAGGAGAGAAAATATGAACCTATCCACAGAAGCAATTCAGAGGCTATCCCATGCCACTTCAAAATGCAACCCCACCAAAAATTCCCCACAAGTGCAGTACTAATGCTGCTTTTCGGTGAATATCCTATGCCTGCATTATTTGCTTCATTTGTCTATCTAATCTATGCCACATCTGTGAATCTGAAATGATTATTTAGTCTAGTGCAGGGATGAGAAGTAATGTGGCTCTTCATGTGTTGCCGGATTGGAAATCTCACAAACTCTAAGCAGTTTATTCAGTAGTGAGGACAGTTGGTAATTGCAGGCTGTTTAGATAAAGCACCTGAAGGACTGCATTTTTTAGCCTGGTTGTGATTCTACAAAAATCAAGTTAAGAGAAAATCAGGGGCTTCTATAACAAGTCTATATAATACATAGTTGGTGGATAACTGACAGGTATTATTGTTTTGAAGTACAGTATTTTACAGAACAGGCTTGCCGTATATACTTGAGTATAAGCTGAGTTTTTCAGCCCTTTTTAGGCTGAAAAAGCCTCCATTGGCTTATACTCGAGTCAAGGTTATTTATTATTTTATTCTGTTATTATTATTATTATTATTATTATTATTATTATACTTATTATGTTACTCTATTACTATTATTATTACATTTATTATTTTACTCTATTATTATTGGAAGGATACATAAGCACGTTTACATTGAAGAAGGTTAGAATAATGGTTTAATCATACTTGGACAGCCTTATCTTAAATTACAGTTTTATCTAAATATTCAAAAACATTTAACCTACTGATGCCTCAGTTAATGTCATTTTATTGTTATCTATTTTTATTTTGAAATTTACCAGTAGCTGCTGCATTTCCTACCTTTGGCTTATACTCAAGTCAATATGTTTTCCCAGGTTTTTAGTGGTAAAATTAGATACCTCGGCTTATATTCAGGTCGGTTTATATATGGTAATTTATTTTTTGTGCTACTTCAGCTCCATTTAGCTTAACATTAAAGCAGTTTCCCTGGAATGTTAGCTCATGTTTCAAGAACAATGCAGATTCAGATAACTATGTTATTTTTCTTCTTTCTAGGACACCTGGTTGTTTACATTTGAAGAAGATGCAGCTACTCGCCCTTTAGAGCTTGCAGTACAGCAAGTAATAAGTGTAGTAAAGTCTGTTGAAGAAAAGGTGAGCTTTGCTTTTTTCATTAGTTCCTTACTTTGCAACTCCATGTTGCCTATCTGTAAATGTGGAACAACTGACAAAATGTGCTGGAAGAGTTTCTCAACTATATGAAATGTGGTTTTTTTAAACAATAAGAAACAGATGTATTTGTAAGTATAGTAATCCCTTTTATTCTGTGTTGAATTTTCTTCTCTGTGTGTAATATGGGTGGATATTTTTTTTTAATTTTATGATCATTAATACAAAATAACAGTAACTTTTGCTCAAAATGCACCATATTCCTGACTGTCTTGTTTGCATCTGTGGAACTGATTGAATTGCTGCTTTTTAACAGATGTTATGATACTATAAACTGTACAGGTGTATCAAACTGTACATCTAGTCTAACTCTTTGCCATGCAATAATACATGACTAAATCATTCCTGAAATATGGCCATCCAACCTGTATTCCTAGACCTCAAAGGTGGAAAGTCCATAACCCTCTAAGGCAGCGTTTCTCAACCTGGGGGTCAGGATCCCTTGAGGGGTCATGAGGGGGTTTCAGAGGGATCACCAAAGACCATCAGAAAACCATATATTTCTGATTGGTCTTAGGAACTCAATTGGCAGAGAAGGCATAAGATCTCTCCATCTTTCCTTCTCTTCCTTTTTGGAAACAGACAGCGAATCCTTTCACCAAAAGGCCTCCTCCAGCCTCTCAGACAAGGGCGGGGCTGTTTCTGAGACTTCAAGTGGGAAGGGGAGAGCAGGTGTGCTGGGCACATGACAGCGTGGTGCGCCTGTGTGAGCAAGGGAGAGTGTCTGAGGCTTGAGGGAGGCTTGAGCCAGCAAGACTCTTCAAAGCATGGGGTTCTGTGCGGGTAGTTTGTTTTGTTTGTACAGTCCTGTATGTCTTAAATTTCTCAGAGAAATAGTCAAAAACATATTTTTGAAGGGCTGTTCTCATTGGAATGTGTTATCACTTTTGTAAGAAAAATGTTCTGAGTTACTGTTTACTGAGATCAAGCAGATGTAAGAAAAGGATTCTGGAAGCAGATGATTCCACCAGTGACTCCTTGCAAAGCAGATATGTGTACACATTGTACTGACAGCCAGATTTTTTCTTTATGAGCTATGCAAGCTCTTCTGGGAGCAAAGAGAGTACTATCCAAAGGAGCTCTGCAGAGTAAGAATTTCAGGTATAATTTATTCCTATATAAACAAGAGGAGACAAGCATAGTCCTGTAAAACTGGCCTTTTGTGGACACTGTTGCAACGTTATCTCTAGATTTGTTTTGGCTTAAGGCACACCCAGAACAAAGTTCACTTAACGCTATCTATAATTCACTTTGGTTTTCAACTGGGAGTGGAGCTGTACATGCTTTTGCTAAATTATGAAATAGATGTGTTTATATAACATATTACTTGCTCGGAACAATAGAGACTATTGATTGTAGGAAGTAATTGAAGAAAAATATCTATATTTTCCTCACAATTTCAAAGATTAGGGTTATCTTGACAAACTAAAGTAGAATGGGAAACACATAATCCACAGTTGAAAACTTTGAGGTTCCATGTTTTAGTCTGCCACTTTTGGACTCTCGCTTGCCAAGGTGTTCCTGCGAGTACCGCTGTACTGTTTCTTCATTTAAGGCATTGGCATGCTGGATGATAGCCGAACAAACAATGGGCTGGAGCTGTCAATGCCTTGGCCTTTTCATTATTGCTACATCCTGATGGATATCAAGTGGTGCAATATTGGCTAAACAGTATAATTATCCTGTGATAATGCGGCATGTCTCATTAAGAGCCACAAATACCAGAAGTGACTTGCTGTATGTCTCCTAGTGATTTTTTTGTAAACATCTTCAAGATAAAGAAATTTCAGATTAAAAGATTTAAAAATGATTGAATGTTGGTAGAAACTTTTATCCTGTAAGCATTTATATTAATTCAATAAATGGTTAAATATCTCCATTTGTCATTTTTTAATAAAATTATTAATATGGGAAGTTTGAAACCCCGCTCCTCTCTCTGAATGGTATAGGTCCACCCAGCATAGTAGAAGTCTATGTATTCATTGTGAGTTAGGTATGGATACCTTAGAGAGCTACATGATTATACCATCTGTTAGCAAAAAACTTATTTCCTGACCCTTCCAAAATGCATTACATACTGCAGGGGTCCACAAACCTTTTAAATAGAGGGCCAGGTCACAGTCCCTCAAACTGTTGGAGGGCCGGGTTATAATTTAAAAAAGCAAACATGAATGATATGCATGCTGCACATATCTTATTTGTAGTGTGAAAACACTTAAAAACAATACAGTAATTAAAATGAGGAACAATGTTAACAAATATAAACTTATTTGTATTCCAATGGGATGTGTGGGCCTGCTTTTGGCTGTTGAGATAGGATTGTTGTTGTTGTGTGCTTTCAAGTCGTTTCAGAGTTAGGTTGACCCTGAGCGAGCGCCGGGTAAATGACCTTGGAGGGCCGCATCCGGCCCCCGAGCCTTAGTTTGAGGACCCCTGACATACTGATCTGTGTCCAGCAGTCCTATAAAATTTGTGATTTACCATTCCTTATACATGCAGTGCCAGCCAGGTGCTTGATGATTCCTCCCCCATCACTTTTGATTTTCCTGTAAAAAAAGTGACTCAAAATACCATATATCATACATGGCAAATGAGGTGCCCAAGTTATGTAGGTTCTGATATTTCTGGTAAATACAAGCTGATGTGTAAATAACTTCAATGCTCCGTGTCAATTCCTTGCAAAACTTGTTGAAGTGGTGGTTTTAATGGCTACGGTTTGACAGCTGTTAACATTAATTTATTAGGCTGTTATGTCTGCAAAGGTTGTGTGCCAAGTTAACAAATTCTCAGGCTGTTTAGTACATCACAATAATATGTGTCTTACAGTAGACCAAATCCTGTAAACACATCCACATATTTGCCTTGTGTCAAGTTTTGTTTATGACATCCTGTAATTTTATGGACTGTACTATTTTAAAATAAAATCAAACTACACACAAAACAAAACAAAATAGATCCTTTGTGGTATAATGGTTTGAATGTTGGATTATGATTGTGGAGAGAAATCTTTGACTCTGCTTGGCCATGGAAACCCATTATATGATCTTGGGCAAATAACATTCTCATTTTCAGAGAAGGGCAAAGGCAAATCCTTTTTGAACAAATCTTGCCATGGAAACCCTATTATGATAGGTTCATCTTAGGGTTGCCATAAGATATAAATGACATAAAGCTACACAATGACAAATATAACAGGGGGATGGATTCTGAGAGGGAGCAAAAGGGAAATACAGTAGACTGCAAAGCCATACCAAGGAACAAAACATATGAGGAATGACATTATGAAACCTTGGTAGAATGGAGTGATGATCTCTGAAAGTGAAATGCTCTCCCATCCCTTATCTACTCTTTGAATATAATTGATTATGGACCTCTAGGTGTGAAATGAGAGAATTCTTGAAACTGTATGTGTTGAATAATTGGCAGATTGTCTGCTCTGCCCTCATATATTGATAGGTAGCGTAATAGCTCCTAATAACCAACAAATATCTGGGTGGCATGCAATGCAAGCATTATTTTGGGATGCTGCTTGCAGCTTAGGCAGGCTATTGGTTTGAGTTTCCATCTTAGGACAGCCTGCATGTTTATAATTAAAACTGCAAGCCTCCCGCATTCTCCTTTCAAAAGAAACCTTGACTTGGTTATGAATATATAATTTGGGTCATTGGTATCTGCTGGGTTTTGGTTCCAGAACCTCAGTGGACACCAAAATCTATGAATGCCCAATCCCAATATATACAATGGTGTAGTAAAATGGTGTCCTTTATATGTATAAAATAGCCAAATCAAACTTTACTTTTTGGAATTATTTTTTGGAAAATTTTCAGGCCATGAATGGTTCAGTCTATGGGTGCAGAATCCATGGATGCGGAAGTCCGGTTGTACCAGAATATCTTTACTGCTCATAGAAGTGGGTTGAATATACATAGTTCTTTTTGCCATGTTTTCATCAATGTCATGCCAAGTGAAATGCAGTTTAAAAGAGTGGCCCTCTGCTGCACTTTCATAACTGCAGAAGTGTTTAGTTTGCATGTTACAGCACTTGGCTGCCAACAGGAACCAATTATTATAACATGCCATAAACCTCAGTCCTTCAGATGCTAACCACCATTGGTTCTTGTTGGTGGTTTCTGTTCATTTTTTATTTTTCTCAAATTAAGCTTGATGAAGTGGTGATTTTAGAAGCCTTATAAACAAATGATGTCGATGTATAAGGAAGATAGTGAACTATTCTGAATCCTGAATGATGTGATATATTTTAATGCTACTAGAAGCCACTCTACAATGCCTTCTCAATGCAATCACTAAATGCAAGTCTCCTCTGAGAAAGGCTTAAACTACCTGTAGTATTAGAGGGCTGCTTAAGGAAGTGTTTAGTGCAGATAAGGTTCCTCAGAGGTTATTGGAGAAGGATTGCATGTCTATCTCAGAAAGAAGTTCAACCCAACATGAAATGTGATGATTTAAAAAAGCCTAACAGTAGATAAAACCCAACAGAATCATTACACGGGAAACATTAGTGAGTTGGACCCAGGTTTATGCATGATCAGATAGAACCTATTAAAATTGGGTTGAAGGTAGCTTTTGAAAGTGAGTAAACTTGCTTTGAAAAGTATTGTAAATTTCCATATATGTTACTTTACATTTATTCTTACCAAGACTGTTCTAAAGAACTTTAGACTAAATTGCCAAGCACTGTTGCAAATTAAGTGAGCTGACAACCATAAACTCATAGCCATTCTTTCCCATATTAGTATTAAATGCATAAGCCTTAATATGTGGTTTGTTGCACAGGAGTATGTACATATGGATTTCAGTAGTTGTCAGTGCACTCTATTTTACTACTAACAGAATTATGGTTACCCTGGATTTCATTATCCAAACCAGAGGTGGTCAGTAGGGCTGGGCGGTTTCGTTCGTTAATTTTGTAATTCGTTAATAATTCGTTATTTTTCTTGATAACGAAGCGATAACAAACCATCCAGGAGCAACTAAAAAACGAAACGAATTTTTAAAGCTATTTTGTAATTGTTTTGTAATTGTTTCGTTATTATTTCAGCTCCTGGCTGCAAAGGGGCCCGAGCAGGGGCAAGGAGAAGGGAAGGCAGGCGAGAGAGAGAGACTGAGCGAGCAAGCTCCCTTCCCGGCCTGGCTTCCTCCCCTCGCTCCCCTGGCTCCCCCCGCCCCCTTCTTCCCCCTTTTCCCGGCTCACCTGGGCATGCACACCCCACACATGCCCGGCCCGGCGCAGGGGTGGTCTGGCGTGCCCGCTCGGCGGGGCCCTGGCATCCGCCGCCCTGGGAAAGACCCCCGCCCAGCAGCAGCGGCAAGGCCGACGACGCTGCGGTTGCTGACTCCCCCGATCGCCTCCCCGGGAAAAGGAAACGCAGGAGGAGGCGCAGCAACGAGACGGAGGCAACCGCGTGGGTGGGAGGGAGGGAGAGGGAGGGAGGGATAGAGAGGGGGCGGACTAAAACTATTATTAAAACTATTATTATTAAAACTATTATTTAAAACTAATATTTTCATGTTGCGCAACCGCGCCCGCCATTTTAACGAATCGATTCGTTAATAATAACGAAATTTCGTAAGTACCGAACTTTTAAAAAGGAAAATTTTGTAATTATTTTAAATATCGAAACGCAAAAAACCCCAAAAAACGAATCGATTTTAGAAACAAATTTTTGCGTTGTTACCCAGGCCTAGTGGTCAGCCACAGAGGCGATATTCATTATTTACTTATTGGATTTATACCCCACCTTTCTCCTGAACTGGGATCCAAAATTACAATAACTTCTACATTACAATTTTCAAAAGTTGTGGGAAAAGAATAGAGACAGTCAGAGTTTGTGGCAGGAAGTTTTTTGGCACTTGTAGGGAGGCCTGGAAGGCAGTAATGGTAATTCATTGATTTAGTCTGAGCAGGCTTGAAATGCAACTTTAGCAGAAGCAAGACTAATAATTTGGATGGTGGTACTTTTGATAACAGTGGATGTGGGTGTCCACTAATTCAGGGAACTCCAGTAAATGTTGCTTATTGAAGACAAGAGGTATGTGGGTGCAATCTGCCCAGTTGTTCAAGTTTCCAGTAGGAGTAACTAAACAAGTAATTATGCATCTTTGGCTTGTGATGCAACAACAATACTCTGACTTATTTTTTCCTCACAAGTCAGAGAGAGTATCTATGGAAATGTTTTTCCCACCCCATTTTTGCTACCACACATATTTAGTGAAATAGAGCAGCAGTCAGATGTGGCCTTGGGATGTATTCAGGGAGGTCTAATACATATTCCTATCCCTGTCCTGTATTTACCAAAGTATATATACTTTGCGGGTCGAGTACAGTAAGCATTCTTTCAAAAAAAAAAAAAAGCTGAAATAACCTGACAAAGGCAAACGACCTTCCATCATTTCCCAAATATTGATGGCTTCTCAACCTAAGGCAATAAAAAAATACGGAGCAACATAAACATTGCTGTAACATAAAACAGCTCTTTTTATCACATCAGCACAAATAACAGAAACAGTAGATCAGTCCAGAATTTTAGATTAGTCATGGCTGCATAGCAGTGTGTCCACACCCAAAATTGCAGGCAGTAGAAAAGAATGAGTGCCTGTACTTTCTAACTTACGTGTTACTTTGGAAAAATGCAATTTTATTTTGTCCTTGTGTTTTGACTGCTTAAAAACAGTTGCAAGTGAATAAAGTTTCAAACTCTTCCTGCCCCTGAGGGATATTTTGTATCATTTTGTATTAAGAGTATTTTAAATGTATGGTGCTCTAAAAATGTGTACCACTTTGGATCCCACATTGGGAGTAAAGTGGGATTGAAATTAAAAATATTGGTAGGAGGGAATTTGAGGGGCCAGTTTAAGAGTAGTAAGATTTGTTGTCATCTTGGGGTGTGTTTTGTGTGGGACTTTATATTGGAAATCCAAGACACCTTTAAGGCCCCTTCTACACTGCCATATAATCCAGATTATCTGCTTTGAACTGGATTATATGGTAGAATAATAATAATAATAATAATAATAATAATAATAATAATAATAACAATAATACTTTATTTATATACCGCTCTATCTCCCCAAGGGGACTCAGATCGGTTCCCAGGTAACATCACAAAACATACAAAGTAAAAAACAATGTGACCACAAGATTAACAAACCAAAATATAAGCATAAAATTGTCACCATAACACACATATATTAAAAGTAATCCTGCCTGTTCAAGGCAATTTAAAAATTTAAAAGGCCGGACCAAGATTTGTGCAAATCCAAAAATTCTAGAGGGCCCGGGAATTAAGTGCTATGGCGGGCAGCAATAATATTAGGTACAGGTCTGTGGCTGTTCATTCTGGGGCCGATTAGAGGAAAGAATCTGGGTAATTGGTAGAAAGAATAAGGCTGTATTTGACAATGTGTAGGGCTGAGTTAGAACTGGTCATTTTCAAAGGCTTGTTGAAACCACCAGGTCTTCAAGCTCTTACGAAAGGAGGGGAGGGATGGGGCCTGTCTTATTTCCCTTGGAAGGGCATTCCAGAGGCAGGAGGCCACCACCGAGAAGGCCCTCTCTCTCGTCCCCACCAACCACGCTTGAGACGGTAGTGGGACCGAGAGGAGGGCCTCATACAATCCATTTCAAAGCTGATAATGTGGACTATCTGATTTGATAATCTGGATTATATGTCAGCATAGAAGGGGCATCATTCACACTTTATATGCATCAAATCCCTGAGGACTGGGGTCATCCTTCAGGGACATGGGACAAGGAAAGTGAAGAGGGAAAAGAAATAATTGGCCTGCTTTAAACAGAAGTTGGAACCATGCAGCCTTCTGGATTTGTTGGAATGCAAGCCTCAACAGCTCTAGCTAGCATACTAGTGCGGAATGCTGAGAGTTACAGTCATACAACGTTTGAAGGGTTGAGTAGTATTCACCTTTGCTCTCAAATATCTTAGTGGAGCTGAGAGAGATTATGCATTGCATGACTAAACCCTCTTATATGAACTGCACATTAATGTTTGGAGGCAGGAAGGAAAAAGAAAATCTTTTCAGAAACATCCGCAATCTGAAATGCAACAAAATGTAGCATACATGCTTAAGGCTGCCAAACAACACTATGTGCAATGGGAAGGTTTTATGAGCGGAAAGAGGAATATTGTGCCAAATACCACTCCAAGAATTTTGTTCCTAGTTGAGTAGACTGTAGAATAAGGATGTTCCTGCCAGAAATTGGAGGTGCCGTGTAACATTTGGGCATGACCTGTAAAAGAAATATAGTTTTACAGCAATAGGATGTGGTTCTGATCAATAAGGTTCTGTCCTACTATTTTCACTCACTGTATCTTGAGGCTCAGTATGTCTCTTGTCTCAAGACGTGTATTGCTAAAGATTGTGGAATTGGTATGTCCCTTCATACTGCAAAATCTCCAAACTTGCTGCCACAGCCAGCAACCAGCCAAGGTTTTAAAGATCCCACTCAGCTCCAGTGTACAAGAATAAATAGTACAGTAGCTGCCATTAAAAACCACAATTTTTCTGTATGTGACGTGGTGATGTCACACTGAGTATTATGCTTTGGAGCTTTTAAGTGGTGGCTGTCCACTGCCATTTCTAGTGCTTCTACTTCCAAGATGCTACTATAGTCTGGATTACATAAACTGAATTTTGTGGTGTGGGTGATGACAGTTGCAGATTATCCATGGACTGAGGTGTGCAGGTGGGTGGCAGGCAACCTGACTGTTGGAGTAGCCATAGTTTGTGCATCTCAGACCACAGTGGGACTTTGACTGTACCTGGCAGAACGGGGCTGCTGTCTTTTCCTTATTTGAGATACATTCATTACCATAGTGAAGACCTGTGACTCAAGTACACTGTCAGTTTAATGTAGTTCAAAGCTAACTTCAAACAGGTGGCCAGACAACAAAGTCTCACAAAAGTGCAAAAAAAGAAAAAAAAAGCCCTTAATATGAATCAGTGCTCTATGATTGGATAATCACCATCCAGACTTCAAAATTGTTCCAGGATTTCCTATGTAACCGTCTGCACAGTGAAACCACTTTCTTCAGTACCAGTTTGAAACTGCATTAAATAATCAGTGTAGATCAGCATGGGCAAACTTGGGCCATCCAAGTGTTTTGAACTTCAGCTTCCACAATTTTTAACAGCCGACTGGCTGTTAGGAATTGTGGGAGTTGAAGTCCAAAACACCTGGTCGGCCCAAGTTTGCCCATGCCTGGTGTAGATGGAGCTGAGTGAATGACAGACAGCCAAATAACCATGTAGAGTTGTTTCCTTTATAAATGTGTTCCTTCATTAAGCCATGTTTCACTTTTGTTTCAGGTCGTCTCATGTAATGTAATTGGAAACGCCTTTCATTTTACTGTTAGTGTGTCTCATACTTCATCTGTTACTACAGAATGTCAGTCTTACAGTGTAAAGCTGTCTCCACTTTACTTGAAGGTAATGTTTCAAACTTCCCTTGAGATGTTTACTGTTAAAGTCAGGAATAAAATATTGTAGTTTTGTAAATCATTGTTGCAAGTTATCATAGATATTATTCCTGAAACGCCAAGATTAACATCGCATACATACAAGCAATTCACGAAGCTATCATTTGGAGGAATAAGAACAAGCCACAGGGTCAACTATTGACTCTATCCTTTGCATTCAAACATTTGATGTTATTTCAAACAAAGTTTTCCAGTTTGGTCTGGTTTTTGCAATCAACACTGAGGCACCCACAGGTAGCAGTTTCATTCCTTGATTTCTATGTAGAAAAAACAACACAACACAACAAAAATGCGCAGTTCCTTGGCTTGGATGTAACAGGAAGTAGCACTGTCCATGGACGTTTCAGTCCAAACAGGCTCCCAGTTTAATGAGTATTGCCTGATCCCCCCCTTGATCAATTCTGATCTGATCTGAATTGAATTTTGAATGGTGATTTGGGAATCTAGGTTGCCTCCCCTTCCGTTCAGTTCTGTTGGGAAATCAGCATGACTGGATCAAAACATTGGAGAATTACAGCCTTTAAGAGAAGTCTAACATTGTAAGCAAGTAGCTTAATAGTTTTTTCTTGTTTTAGACAGTTTCGGTGTTACATTTTAAAACTTCTAATTAAAAATGTGTCAGGGTATCTTTCAATATGTTCTCTGTTCTCTTTTAGTAAACAAAGCTGACTTGCCTTGCCTTAACCAATGTGCTAATCAAGTCTTGCAAAATTGATTTTATTTAATGATTACATTCCTTAGTATACAAAAAGAATTCTGAATAATGGGATGTTGGAGGAGGAGAGGTGATGTAAAAGAAACAGCTAAACCTCAAGCAAATAAATGTTACACTAATCGTTGTAAAAGTGAAAATGAAATAAAATAAATTAAATAACTTCTGTTAATAAACACTCGCATATTTCACTCTCTTCCAGTCAAGAACAGGAGATGGTTTGATGTCATTAAAAGACTTGAAAATGTAAACCTGAGAAGAATAAGAAAAATCTTGTGTTCTTAGATATATGCATCAGAACAGACCAATAAATAAAGACTTACAAAAATAAGAAAAACCTCACAAATACATACACACATAAGCAACTCTTGAAGAAGGGTAAAAATAAAATTAAATCCCTAGCCTTCCTAAGATCAAAAGAGACAAATAATGCAAACATATAAACTTCTTAACGGTTTTCTGAAATCAGTTGTTAACATTTTTATTTTCCCTGCCAAACTCCATATAACTAAGCTAAGTAATGGTTAAAAATGGAAAATATAATTCGAGTGACTACATACAGAAGCTTTGCCTACAAAAGATATGATTGGAATTGCTAGAAAATACTAATGATATTTTGCCATAAATTGAAAAGTACATCCTTTCATTTACACTCCAGCTGCTCGCATTCTCCTGGTTTTTCCTTCGCACACTGAAATGTCTATTATTTCAGTGACCCAGAAAGCACTGGAGACTGTGTAAACTGCTCTGGGATCCATTAGGTCCAGGGGCTTTGGAGATATCCTGGGGATTTGGGCAGTTTGAAGAGGAGTTGAGCTGTTTTCTTCTTTTATATTATGGGTTATTTAGAAGCTGTTATATAACAGAAAGCTATGATTCACTGCAGTTTGCACTATAATTTTCCCTCTTGTGCAAAGCAAGACAAAACGTACAGCAGCAGACCATAGGTACCTCAAGCTTTGCATATTTCTAGGCTTAAACTGTAATATTTATGACTTATATCTGAACCAGCAAACAAAGGTTTTAGTAAACCCTCCAAACTAGAATTGCAAATAGGATTACTCAGAAAATGTTGCATTGAATAATAATGATGACCATGACCAAGGATTTAGCAAATAACATCTAAAGGACAGCAGGGTAAGCTGATTTGTTAGAATGTAGCTTAACCAAAAGTAAAGAAAATGCCTGAAATTAAATGAATATGTCTGTTTGTATCTGCAAAACTGAAGTAACCACCTTAATAATGTGTTTTATCAACAGTTGCAACTTTCAATGAGATCGACAGAGGAAGACATTCAGGTTAAGTGGGCCTTCATCTACACCTCAGAAACAAGTATTGAAGCCAAGCCTACTGAAATCCAAGAGGTAAGTAAATTAGCAGCTGTTTTAACTTTTTTTTTGCAAAAATGACAAATTTAAGTAAACCATAATAGTTTAAAGATTTGAACAAGTATTAGCCACTTTTTTCAATACAATTTTGTAATACGAAGCCCACAAAAACTCTTTTAATATTTATTGCACTATGAGGAACAGCAACCAATTTGGACATCTTTCTCTCCTGTTAAGAGATTGGTCCTTTTTACAATATACCAAAATGCTTGGAAGATAGATGCCTGTGGTGCAAACAAAAGAGATTATATGTTGTCTCCTAGTTTGTATTGGATGAGCTCCAAGTCATCAATGACCAAATTACCCCTTCTTGCGAAAGCTTCTCTAAAGATTAAGGGAATCTTTTGCACAGTGGCAGCTATGAGTCACAAGGGGTTGCTTCTTCAGGTTGGCTCCTGGTATTAAACCAGCAATGAATCTTTAGCATTAGGGAAAAAAGAAGACTGAAAAACTAATACCAAGTTGTTGTCAAAGGCTTTCATGGCTGGAATCACTGGGTTGCTGTGAGTTTTCCAGGCTAGATAGCTATGTTCCAGAAGCATTCTTTCCTTCCTTTGTTCATAGGAGAGAATGCTTCTGGAACATGGTCATACAGCCCAGAAAACTCACAGCAACCAAGTTGCTTCACCGCAATATACACCTGTTAATATTAGGTTAAAGAGACATACGTGGTTGAAGCCTTGATGATGATGTGTGTCTTCAAGTAGTTTCTGACTTACAACAACTCCAAGGCAAATCTTTCACAGGTTTTTGTGGAACTCAAACTGTGTGACTTTCCCAATAGCAACAGTGGGTTTCTGTGGCTGAATAGGGATAGCAGCATATATATCTGAGAAATATATAGTTTTCCTATATCTTTTCAGTACCTTAGCCAAGATACATATTCAAGCATAAAGTTATTTGATTAAAACATTGGCCTCATCACACTAGAGAAAAAATCCACTTAAAATATGGTTTCATATTGATCAGTGTCCCTAGAAGCTTCCCAGGCAAAGGACTTTGAATTTTTAAATATAAAAATAGAAAGAACTGTCAGGGTTGCTCAGAGTAAATAGTGCCTAGTCATCAAATTGCCATAATGCTGCATTATGACTGCATCCCTTTCTTGGATAGCACTGTGGATGAGCAATTTTATTAATGCCTCGGGATTGCCTGCCAAGAAGCAAGTCAATCACTGTGATTTCTCATTTGGATCTCTTCTCATATCCATTACTTAGTTTTTGACATGGTTCTCAACAGTCTTGTTCCTGTAACTGGTTGCCTCACACCGTTATATCAGGATTCTCTCTAAGTATATTTAGTGTTTTCAGACCAGTACGTTCTTAGAACAGGATCTAGCTAATGTGTTTCCCTGGCGGAATGAAATACACCAGCAGAATGGATCCCCCCTCCCCACTTCTCCAGCTCCAATTCTGGAAGTGTTGAGGGATCTTGTGTAAGAGATTTGTGGGGAACAGGATGAATTAAAGGGGGCCATTCTGTTGCACAAGCAGAAATCCACTTGCATGGTATTGGTTTGTTCAGAATTATTTTAGATTGGCTTAAAATCTATTTTTAAAATAGTTTTAATCAGAATGTCTACCAAAAATATTAAACAAAATGTTACAGTAAACATATAAAAACAGGAAGTTACATGAACCTTCTCAGAAGCTGCAATCATCATCTGATGTCCTGTTGTGTTTCTTACCACCCAAAGACAACAGACTTTTAGATGACAGAAGAGCCAGCCTGGTGTTGTGGTTTAAGATGTGGGTTGTGACTTTGGAGATCAGGATTTGAATCCCCACTCAGCCATGAAAATTTGTTGGGCGTCCTTGGGCAAGTCATATGCAGTTTCAGATGAAGACACAGGCAACTTCTCTTTGAACAAATCTTGTCAAGAAAATCCCATGATATGCCTTAGGAATGTCATAAGTCAGAAATCACAACAACAAATCCAAGGTTAGATTAGCTCTGTCTCCAATGTCTTTTAGATGGACAGAAAAACATTAAAGTTCAAGGGTGGATTAAATTTTTTTTTAATGTTTACCAGCAGTTTTGAACTCTGTTTTTACATATCTATTTTAATTGTTTATTTTAATGTTTCTATAAACTGCCTTGGAGATTTACTTTGTACATAGACAAAATATAATCGAACACATAAAAGGTCAGTGCAAAATGTATTCATTGGATAAAATACTAAAATTCCTGGCTGAATAGGAAGCTCTTTGTTTTGGTGAGCTTGCTTGCAAAGATAATTTTAATGTTGGACACCACAGCAGGAAATATGTTTCCTGGATACCATATAAGTAATACATGCATAAGAAGAGGTCTGCTGGCCTCTTTACTGCAGCTTTCTATTTCCCACAGTGGCAGCATAGCTGTGTGTTGGAGGCAAAAAACCTGGGCATGAAGGCAGCAATTCGTTTTTGGCTCATTCTATGAGCTCTTCTGGTAAAGAAGAAGAGTAGAAACCTGTTCCTGCATTTATAGTACTTGCATACAAATAGGCTTGGTGTCTTGAGTAAGCAAATCCAAATTATCTTCTGAAAGTGAAGACAGTGAATTTTTCTGGCTCTTAAAGGAGTGCAAATATTCATTTTTTCCTAGGATCAGAAAGCTGGAGAACATGCACTATCACAAACACTCAAAGGTGTATTGCAGAATCTCATCAAAGCAGCATCTCCTTCTGTGATTCTCAATGCAAAACCTGCAGATACAAAGGCAATACAGGTATTCCCACCCCTTAACTTGGATCAGTCGTCATATTCATCACTTCTGTGCTTTCAATTTTCATGAATGTACTAGCAAAAATTTCTGAAGTTAGTTTCTCGGCATATAACTGTTTGATTTACACCAGTGGTTCTTAACCTGTGGACTGTGGACCACCAGTGGGCCATGAGGACAAAAAAATCTGGTCTGCAAGTCTCCTTCCTCTTTATTTTGTTTTTTATTTATTTATTTCTGCTCCTTTCATGCTGTCTGCCATTCCTTCCCTGTCGCTGAGTAGCCCCGGCCCTTGGATAGACCACATCCGCCCTAGATTATTAAATATGATTTTATGTGGGTGAGCAGATGCCGACTACTGGATGACATATGTTCTATATCAGAAACTAAGGCTGATGTAGTCTATCCAATGCAGTTTTCTGAATTAGCACCCCAAATAACCAAACCAGATCTAAAGTTGACCAAAAACTGATTCGTACCCCTTTTGGTAATAATGTTGGAAAGTGATCCCTGGTCAAGTAGTCCTTGGTCAAAAAAGGTTGGGAACCACTGATTTACATGTATTAAGGGCATGCAATATTTACTGCAGTATGGTGGTTGGAAATTAAAGGTCAGCAACACAAATACTAAGCTTTTTTTTGTCTTGTTTCCTTTTAACAGAGCATACAAAATGCAGGAGCTCTGCTACAGTGCACAAGTCCTCCTAAGCCTCCAAGGGCTCATGATCTCAAACTTCTTGTGAAAAACATCAGGGTGACACTGACCAATCAGAGCACTACAGGTAAAATAACTCAGAGCCCCCCTGTATTACGTAATTTATTCTGCAAAAAAATAGCAAGCAGTGGATTGCAATAAATAAACCTGGGGGAAACATAGATTCTGCTCGAGTAATTCATGCCATTTACTTGGATATCCTTGACTTCTGTTCTGCATCCTTTCACAAGCATCAAGGATCTATACTTGGAGTAGGTAAATGATAGAGGGCCACATTCAGTCACATCGCTACACCATAAAGATTGTTTCCATTTGCTCTTGGCCTTCAGGAAATGTTTCCCAACACAAATTAAAATCTCCAGTTATTACTGCAGTGTGTGTGTGTGTGCATGTGTGTGTGCTTGCATGTCTTTCCATTTGTGTGAGCAAAGCTATTTGTTCTCCATCTTGAAATTAGGCAGGCTAGCTACTTCTGAGAAATATATAAGGACACTGCAGTTTCTATGAGCACTGCCTTGCAAATCTCTCCACTATAGCCCCCAATCATAATGGTAGGATAGATTTATTATGTCAAATTGCCTGTCAATCACAAATTGAAGAAAAATATTTAAGAACCAGTTCCTCTTAACAAGAATTGTGAAGAGGTATGCAACTTCAGTCCCATCAATTCTCTTAGCAAGTGAAGTGGTGGCATCATTCCACCCTTCCTTCACTAACTGGCATTGTTTCTTAGGTCTCCTTTATAGAAAGAGTATAGCAAAAACAATGGGAATGTTATCATGTTCTATTGTATTGATGGATAGATCTATATGAATGCATGTGGATTTTTATTTATATGTACACACATCCTAAAGGGATTTGGGAGGTTTAGAACTGCAAGGCATATGTTAAACACAATGCCTAAAACTCCCATCTTTCTTGTAGTACATATAGCTGAAAAGTTTGTCTTAAATCACAATGCATAAGTCTGAGCAGCAATGAAGTAAGAGTGGTCATAATCACATTGTGCAGTCTGCATTTCAAGAGGTGAATTTAAAACTTGTCCATCAGGTTTTTTAAGTTTCTGCAAGCCCTTACTTGCATAGTTTTTTGGCTTCCGGGCATGGCAAACATTAAGGGTTAGGGCACATTATGCAAATCAAAAACTTCCACCTGCTTTGATTGTGTGTTGCTTCTAACTGCATTCCCCACTGCACAGCCTTCTCAAATATTGGTTCACTTTTGGAACATCAGCCTTTTCAATGGTTATTCTTGTTGGAGTTGTTATTTGGCCACTTTTTTCCGATGAAGCCTTAGGTGGATCATTATTAGATTTTCAGATCTTTAAAGACATTTTGAAACATTAAGCTGTTGCTTCAGTTCATATTGCTAAATAGATTTCCAGCTATTAGAGGCCTGACTCAAATTTCTGTTTTGGAAAAGAGATATTTCTTTTGTTCTGAAAATGCTCCCATCTCTCATGTTTACCCTTCTGAAGCCTGCACTCAGGGGCTGATGTGTATTTTTCTTACTGTGTTGGTGCATATTGTGTTCCCTATGCAGATCTCCTAAGAAGAACCGTTTGTTTAAATGAGTGATAGGAATTTTTTGCTAGTAGCACATTTAAGTTGTGAAATGCATAAAAAGAATTTCCTTTTTGGAACTGATTTGCCCTCTGTTACCTTTATTGCAGTCACGAGTAACCCAATATGTATAATTCAGCTCAATGACCCTTTGCAGAAATATTCTAGCTCTGTGCTCAGCAACTCTATGGACATCTGTTGGAAAGAGGAGTTCATCTTGTAAGTAGTTTCACTAACACTCTTAAAAACATGACAATCACATTCCTTAACTTAGGGAGAGAATGGGTTGGGGGGGGGGGCTAGATGACGTTACTGGTAAATCCGTGCTGAATCGGAGCAAGGCAGCCAAAACATGACAAAGAAGTTCTCTTTTATCCTGATTCTGGCAAGGAAATGTGCATTTTTGCATGACTGTCTATCTCTGCAGTCATGCAAAATGTGAGATTCCCCCCTTTTCGGGCTGTCACAGAGACACAGCTGATTTCTAGCTGGCTTAAATGAAGCAGAAAGGGGAGCCATTGGAGCTCTCTGAAAATCTTTATTTTGAAGTTTCTAAACATAAACAGAGCATGAAAACACAAGTGGGGAAAGAGAAATCTGGGGGAAGTTTTTGTTTTTTTAAAAATCATTCCATTATGTGCTGATCCTCATATGTGCACATGGGAATCTCTTCATATTTTATATTAAGGTTTTTGCATGTGTGCTTATGACAACCTTAAAAAAAAAAACTTCTGGTGGATGTCCCCTGTCCGCCCTCCATTTTATTCTCAGGGGAAAAAAGGCTGTGAGGATGGTGGGGGAAGACACCCTAGGACGCACAGGTTTGTGTAGGGGCCTGCAAGCAGGTCCCGGGTTTGTTTATCCCTCTTTGAAAATGCACATTTTGGCGCTGTCTAGAAGTGCCCAGGCTCTCCCAAAGCAGTTATGGTGGTGAGTGGCAGGAATTTTCTTTGTTTAATAATGCGATGTGGTGATTATGCTAAATGTTTTTTCTGGACCACATACATGGGGAAAACATCTAAATCATGAAAAAGTTTCAGCTGTATATAGTTACAGTGGATTAATGCCATTTTAACACTCATGGCCCTGTCTTATGGAATCCTAGTGTTTGTAATCTGGGGAAGTACTTAATTTTTTTGCTGGAGAGCTCTAGTATACCCTCTGATGTATAGCACTGGAATGCTCTGGTACAAAATTGGAAGCACACCTCCACTACAAACCCCAAGATTCTATAGGAAGGATCTATGGGAATTCAAGTGGTATCTGGTAAAACTGTGTAGAGTATTATTATTTATTTTATTTATTTACTTCGCTTATATACCGCAATTCTCAGCCTAATGGCGACTCATTGCGGTGTAATGAGTAGATCTGCTCTGAGACTAGACTGTATAGTGCAATGGTGTGGCTTCTAACAGAAAGTTTACAGGCTTCCCAATATTTTTATTTAATATAAAGGGGATGCTACTATTACTTTGACAAAATACGCACAAAGCTTAAGGCTATCATGCCAGGTCAATGATATAATGCTGGCGTGAAGGCAAAAGATTTAATTACTGGAGAATACTATTCATCCCTATTGCTGGTAGTCTAATAGTAATGGTTACGCCCAAGGTACTCACTGATATAGGACAAATGATACTGGACTTAGTCCCCTTTCTTTCTTTTTTCACTGTCCTCTTTGCACCAGTTTCTGAACTTTAATTCATTCACTTCTTAGATGGCCTCACCTATGCTAATATGTTGGGGTTTTTTTAAAAATCCAGCAAAGAAGTGTTTATCCAGCAATACTTTTAAAAGATTGCTTGGTCTCAAGGCACTAATTAGACAGTTCTCTGGAGAGGAAGATAAGGTGCCCTCTGACAGGATGAGCCACTTGCCTCCCACTGTGCTGGGCTTTTGGAGTTCTCTAATCATGCAGCAACAAGTTTGGCTTGTTTGTCTTCTCTAACCTCAGTACAATGTTGATCTTATTCTAGCTGCTTTACCCTCTTTACTTTTGAGTGTCAGAAAGCAAAGCAACCAAATAGCCTATTTGGGGAGCTTATTCCCTTTGGATAAGTAAGAGAGGGGAGCTGCATACTAGCAGCATGGGGCCACCCTCTCTTCTTTCCACCTCTTTCTTACCCAGCAGACTGGTCGAAGGGGGCAAGTCTGCCTTCTTACCAAAGGACCATCAAAATTCAATCAGGTGGGAGATAACTCATCTTGACATGCAGTTATATTGACAACTAACAGTTTAAAACCAAATGTTTAAAACCACTGGTGGAGACCCTGACATTTGGGAGTTGTAGTTGCTAGGATTTATAGTTCACCTACATTCAAAGAACATTCTGAACCCCACCAATGAATTGGGCCAAACTTCCCATTCAGAACCCCCATGACCAACAGAAAATACTGTGTTTTCTGATGGTCTTTGGTGACCCCTCGCGACCCCCACAGGAGTCCTGACTCCCAGGTTGAGAAACTTTGGTCTAAAACTATATTCATAGGAGTAGGTACTTAGGAGTAAGCCCCACCGAACTTAATGGAACTTATTTCTTAGCTGACATATAAAGGTCTATACTGTTAGAGAATTACCAAGTGCCTGTTTATAGGCATCTAAAAGAAAATACTTTGTGTTCCTTCCCATTTTATAATAATGCCCACATAATTATAATCTTGGTCTCTTGTCAAAACTCAGTGCTCTTTGTAAACAGCAGGCGAAACACAGGTGTATATTGAGTATTTGGGTTAAGTTTGGTCCAGATCCATTATTGTTTGAGTCCACCGTGCTCTATGAATGTAGGTGAACTACAACTCCAAAACTCAAGGTCAATGCCCACCAAACCTTGCAAGTATTTTCTGTTGGTCATAGGAGTTCTGTGTGCCAAGTTTGGTCCAATTCTATCGTTGGTGGAGTTCAGAATGCTCTTTGGTTGTAGATTAACTGTAAATCCCAGCAACTACAACTTTCAAATTACAAAATCAATCCCCCTCCCCAAAACCCCCCCACCAGTATTCAGATTTAGGCGTATTGGGTATTTGTGCCAAATTTGGTCCAGTGAATGAAAATAGATTCTGCATATCAGATATTTACATTACAATTCATAACAATAGCAAAAATATAGTTACAAAGTTGCAATGAAAATAATTTTATGGTTGGGGGTCACCACAACATGAGGAACCGTATTAAGGGGTCAGGACTTTAGGAAGTTTGAGAACCATTGGTTTAGACTCTGAAGCTACTTTTGAAAATGAAAGCAAAATGAAATGAGAAAGATTAGACTCACTTTAGTATCAGCAAACAAAGCCGAAATCCCATATAAATACATACTTAATAATACTAAATACGGTATAGTGCTTTTAGCCAGTATTTTCTGTTCTTTTTTTTGGTACATTTCATACCTTTTGGTTTAGCCAATGAAATTGAAATGCTGAGTGGGGTTTTCCCTTTGTAAGACTCTTGTGCCTGTAACAGCTTTTTTTAAAATAGAAACATTTATCATATAATAAAATTGTCTTGTCACATCATCTGTTTCCAAATCTATATTCCCCCACCCCTCCTTTCATTCACATAGTGTTATAAAAACACAGTTCTGTCAATTCTATTACTTCTGCTCATTTTAATTTCAACCATTACATGTAATTATTATAATGTGTTTTCTAATCGTTCATCTGCAATATTTCTTGGATATTTGCTTTTGCACATGAAGCTAAATTGACAAAATCCAATATACGAAATTTCCCGGAATGTACACAGGCAGCTGTTAAACTTGTATTGCAAAACATCGAAATATATGATTGTCTGAAAAAATGCATTTTGCTTGTTCACAGTGAATTAAATGCCAAATCAAAATACCTGCAGATACGGATGGTAGAAAATGGAGAACCGGATAGTAAGTAGTGAAGATAATTCATTTTATGTCTTTTTATTTGGCAAAATAATTCCAGTTATTCTGAGAGTTGTAGCCAACAAAATTCACTGATTCTGTAGTTGCTTAGCCTCTGAAGCCCTTTCTACGCTACCATGTAATCTAGATTATCTAAATTTTATATGGCAGTGTAGAAGGGGCCAGAAATGACAAAAACTGAATCATATTCCGCACTGTAAATATCTGGAAATTTGTGTAGGTAAGGTGCTACCATAAAGATCTAAATGGGGAGGAAATCACTCCATGGCTCATAACTCCGGCTACATCTACACTGCCATATAATCCAGACTATAAAATAAAATAATCCAGATTATTTCCTTTGAACTGGATTATATGAGTCTACACTGCCATATAACACAGTTCAAAGCAGATAATCATTTATTTATTTATTTATTTACATCACTTATATCCCGCCCATATCAGCCCGCAAGCGACTCAGGGCGGTCTACATATCGGCACAATTCGATGCCATCAATACAATACAAAAGCAAAAACAATTAAGTGCATTTAGACAAAAAAGACAGTGCAATAACAATTTAAAAAGAGCTATATCCTCTCAATCCAATCCTCATCCGTTTCATCGTCTTGGCCGTTCCTGGGTCATTCTCCATCTCAAGCTTGATTATTCCGGGGTTCCGAATGCCTGCTCGAAGAGCCAGGTTTTCACTCTCTTACGAAAGGTCAGGAGGGAGGGGGCTGATCTAATATCCCTAGGCAGGGAGTTCCACAGCCGAGGGGCCACCACAGAGAAGGCCCTGTCTCTCGTCCCCGCCAAGCGTGCTTGCGAAGCAGACGGGATCGAGAGCAGGGCCTCCTCAGATGATCTTAACTTCCTGGAGGGTTCGTAGGAAGAGATGCGTTCGGATAGGTAGGCTGGGCCAGAACCGTTTAGGGCTTTATAGGCTAAAGCCAGCACCTTGAATTGGGCCCGGTAGCAAACTGGCAGCCAGTGGAGCTGGCGCAGCAGAGGAGTTGTGTGCTCCCTGAGCGCCCCTGTTAGCAACCTGGCTGTTGCACGCTGGACCATTTGAAGCTTCCGGGCCGTCTTCAAAGGCAACCCCGTAGAGAGCGTTGCAGTAGTCTAAACGGGATGTAACCAGAGCGTGGACTACCGTGGTCAAGTCAGACTTCCCAAGGTACGGGCGCAGCTGGCGCACAAGCTTTAGCTGTGCAAATGCTCCCCTGGTCACCGCCGAAACCTGGGGTTCCAGGCTCAGCGATGAATCCAGGATCACACCCAAGCTGCGAACCTGCGTTTTCAGGGGGAGTGTAACCCCATCTAACACAGGCTGTAACCCTATGCCCTGTTCGGCCTTTCGACTGACCAGGAGTGCCTCTGTCTTGTCTGGATTCAGTTTCAATTTGTTAGCCCTCATCCAGTCCGATACAGCGGCCAAGCACCGGTTCAGGACCTGAACAGCCTCCTTAGTAGCAGGTGGGAAGGAGTGACAGAGTTGGACATCATCTGCGTACAGATAACACCGCACCCCGAAACTCCGGATGATCTCCCCCAGCGGCTTCATGTAGATGTTAAACAACATGGGGGACAGTATAGAACCCTGCGGGACCCCACAAGACAATGGTTGTGAGGTCGAGCAGTTGTCCCCCAGCAACACCTTCTGGGTATGATCCTCTAGGAAGGACCTGAGCCACTGCAAAACAGTGCCACCAAGGCCCATTCCTGCGAGGCGTCCCAGAAGGATACCGTGGTCGACGGTATCGAAGGCCGCTGAGAGGTCCAGCAGAACCAACAGGGACACACTCCCCCTGTCTAGCTCCCGGCGAAGATCATCCACTAAGGCGACCAAGACTGTTTCAGTTCCATGTCCCGGCCTAAAGCCAGACTGTGCCAGATCCAGATAATCCGTGTCTACCAAGAATACCTGGAGTTGTGAGGCCACCACACGTTCCAGGACTTTGCCCAAAAAGGGGAGATTGGAAACAGGCCGATAGTTGACGAATTGAGTGGGGTCCAGTGATGGTTTTTTCAACAGCGGTTTTATTACAGCTTGTTTTAAGCTGGCTGGAATTTTGCCTTCCCGAAGGGAGGCATTAACCACCACCTTCACCCACTCGGCCAATCCCCCTCTGGCCTCCTTTAGAAGCCAGGATGGGCAGGGGTCTAGGATGCATGTGGTTGCCCTCATTCCTCCAAGTATCTTGTCCACATCCTCGGGTTTCACCAATTGAAATGAATCCATCAAAATCGGACAAGCAGGTGCTCGTGTTACATCCTCAGAGACCGCCGTTAACATGGTATCCAGGCCGGAACGGATCAAAGCGACTTTGTCTGCAAAGAACCGAGCAAATGCTTCACAGCGGGCCGTCAAGTTGTCAGGGTTCCCATCCGGAATGGTGGGATTTAATAGACCTCTGACAACTCAAAACAACTCAGCCGGACGGTTCTTTGCGGACGCAATATTGGCCGCAAAGAAAGATTTCTTTGCCGCCTTTATTGCCGCGGCATATGCCCTTAGAAGGGCAACAAACCGTGTTCGATTTGATTCGTTCGGGTCCGAACGCCACACGCACTCTAGTCTCCTCTTCCTTCGCTTCATCGCTGCCAGCTCCTCATTGAACCAAGGAGCTGGTTTAGCTCGGCTACTTGAGAGAGGACGTTCCGGAGCAATCGTGTCTATTGCCCTAGTCATCTCCCCGTTCCAGAGGGACACCAGGGCATCAACAGGATCACCAACCGAGGTGGCGGGAAAATCCCCAAGAGCCGTCAGGAATCCATCCGGATCCATAAGTCTCCTAGGGCGGACTTTATATGGTAGTGTAGATCCAGCCTCAGTTAAGAGACTGGATCTGGTCTTAGTTTAGCGCTTTTAAGGCAAAGTTTGACTTTTAGCAGCAAGGATGGTTTCGTGCAATCATTATTTTTGCATCATCATGATCATTTTTTGGATTGTACCCATTACCATTAACTGATCCGCATTCATAATTTCCTCTCTGGTTTCCATTTTTTTCATTTTAATCTGGCTGTTCTAACAGTAATTCTAGTGTCACATTTGGTTCTGTTTATTGAAAATCTCCAATTCATATATATAGGGAGGGAGGGAGGGAGAGAGAGAGATTGAGATTTTGAAAACTGCAAGAATCTGACAGCCTGGTGCTTCCATTCTTTCACTGAGTGGTTTAAGAGTTAAGCCTGGCTTTTCTGAAATGCAAGAGCCCCTGGAAACCAGTATCTGTGTAACTTGTTCTTTACTCTGGTTTCTAAGATAATTATAGTTTTTAATTTGAAATGCCCCAAAGGGCTTGAATTAGATCTTGTTCTTGAAATAACCTTCAATATTGATTACTCAGACATGCTTTTAATCCCCTGCTTCTATTTTCTGCAGGTTGCTTTTCAGCGTCGGCTACTGTACCTTTGGATTTGTTCAGGAAACAGCCGTCTGGACACAGAAGTTTTGTACTGAACAGTCCGCTCACTGGCAGTAGTTCTGTAGTAGGATCTGTCTTTGCAGAGGTGAAAACTAGTTCTTTTTCTTTATTCCATTTTTCTCTTTCTCTCAATCCTAACCCAACTAGTTTTTACAGTTGACATGAATACCAGAAAAGTAACACAACTTCAATGTAAAACATTGTAAGTAATTACATTTTGCATCATGATTTTTTTTAGGGTAGTGACAGCATAGGTAGTAAATGTTTCCCGTGACATTAAGTCTAGTTGTACTCTAGGATTGGTGCTCACCTCCATTTCTAAGCCGAAGAGCCTGTGTTGTCTGTAGACACCTCCAAGGTCATGTGGACAGCATGACTGCATGGAGCACCATTACCTTCCCGCCAAGGCAGTACCTATTGATCTACTCACATCTGCATGTTTTCAAACTGGTGGGCTGGCAGAAGCTGGGCCTAACAGCGGGAGCTCACCCTGCTCCCCGGAGTCAAACCGCCAACCTTTCCATCAGGAAATTGAGCAGCTCAGCGGCTTAACTCACTTCGGCACCAGGGGCCCCCTGTGACAGCATAGCATTGGACTTTTCCATAAAATGACATACCCATCAACAGTGTCATTCCATTCTTTTAAATCTGGTTAGCATTTACTTTTTACTTCAGAAATATTTTTATGAGATAATTCTGGGAAATTGAAGCTATTTTGTATTTTTGGTTTAAAACAAAGTAGCTACAAAAATCATTATTGTATGATTTTGAATAACAGCAGTATAAGCTGTTTGCTCCAATTTTAAAAATCATGTTCCAAGTTCTGCAAAGTTTCCTTAACAAATCTGTAAAATCACTCTGTTCATATAAAGTAGGGCTCCCATATCAGCAGACTCAAAATCCACAAGGTCACTTATAAATAAGTGTCTAGATCTAAGGAAGTAATGCTACCCCTCTATTCTGCTTTGGTTAGACCACACCTGGAATATTGTGTCCAATTCTGGGCACCACAATTAAAGAGAGATATTGACAAGCTGGAATGTGTCCAGAGGAGAGCGACTAAAATGATCAAGGGTCTGGAGAACAAGCCCTATGAGGAGCGGCTTAAGGAACTGGGCATGTTTAGCCTGAAGAAGAGAAGGCTGAGAGGAGATATGATAGCCATGTATAAATATGTGAGAGGAAGCCACAGGGAGGAGGGAGCAAACTTGTTTTCTGCTTCCTTGGAGACTAGGACGCGGAACAATGGCTTCAAACTACAAGAGAGGAGATTCCATCTGAACATTAGGAAGAACTTCCTGACTGTGAGAGCCATTCAGCAGTGGAACTCTCTGCCCCGGAGTGTGGTGGAGGCTCCTTCTTGGAAGCTTTTAAGCAGAGGCTGGATGGCCATCTGTCAGGGGTGATTTGAATGCAATATTCCTGCTTCTTGGCAGGGGGTTGGACTGGATGGCCCATGAGGTCTCTTCCAACTCTTTGATTCTATGATTCTATGATTCTATTATCCACACTCCGCAAAAATGTTCATCATTGGAAGTGGGTCTCTCTAGGACATTCAGTGCAATTCAGTGGCATCCTTCCTGTCCAAGTATACTCAAAATATTGGGTTTGCTCTCATCTGCAGTTTGAGATATCAATGTATTTATGTTGGAACATATCTTCTACACATATGGGGGTCATACTGGAAAAGTTTGTGATACTCCGTTTTTAAATAAGGCTTTGAAATTAGAAAAATTAGGAGAAAACATATCTCAGTTTTCTTATAAAAACCAAACAAGTGGCATCCACTGGCGCATTCTTTTTGTCTTATCTTTATTTGAATTATTTTTTCTCTTTCTCCAGTTCTCATATATTGAACCATTAGAGACTAGATCTTTGCAATCTTCTGCCAAACTTCTTGTTGCGAAAGTAGAGAAGGACCGAACTGTGATGCCCTGTGGGACTGTGGTCACTACTGTTACTGCTGTGAAAGCCAAACCTTTGATAGATGGCAAACCCTCTGTGCTGCATTCAGGTGAAAAAAACAGAATTCCTTCTGATGCTAGTCATGTTTTTTTTTTAATTAAGTTGTAAATTTATGAAGGATAGGGCACCTATTTTCTAAATCCAAGGTACCAATTCCTGATCACTTTGCACAAAGCTAAATCTGCACCAAAGCTATCTGGTAATATGTCTAGCTTTAGCATTGTTTCATTTGGGTTTCAAAAGTTACACTCTATTCTCATCACTGTGGATAAGAGTTTTAAGAGTGTTTTAACTATCATCCTGCAGGAGGAACCATGAACTATTGGACTTCAGGAGCTAGGCCAGCAGTTAAAGTTACAAAAAGCTTTGTTCAAAAGAACTACATAACAGATAGGAAACACCTGAGGTCCTACCTCTAGCTAATTTAAGCTCAATCTTCTGTGGACAAAGCAATGGGAAATTTCAGGAAGGGGCTGGAAACTTGAGTAAGGTGGGTTGCCCTGAGAATATCGGTCTACGCCTCAAAGGTGGAGGTAGGACAGAATGAGGCGCTTCCAGACAGGGCTTTAACTTGTGCTGAAGTTCCCACAAACACCCCAAAAATGGGCTTTCTTGATGGGATGTCCCCATGCCATCTTAGTGACTTCCAGAATGGCACGAGGCCATCCAACACCCCACTCAAAAAGTCTTAAAATTTAAAAAAACGTAGCAGGCCACCATTAACCTCCTCCAACAGGTCTCCCGGTATGTAGAAATTACGTGCCAGGAGGTGGTGGGGGAGGGGAGTGGAGTGATTTTTCCCCCCCCTTTCTGCTGCCTCCTGGCGCATCATTTCGGCACATCATTTCTACATCCCAGGAGGCCTGTCAGAGGAGACTAATGGTAGCACTCATTTTTTTTGTTTAATTTTAAGGCTTGGAGGGGGGGGGAGTTGGGGAGTGAGTGGGTGCCCTCTCAGTTATCTAAGCTCATGAAGCCCGAAAACCTGAGAGAGCTGAGGACCGACCCCCAGGACTATCCAGGAGTCAGTCCCCATAGGTCCCATACCCCATCAGACTTGGGCCTTTCAGGAAGCTCATGTCTAATGGGGTATTTAATTAATTTGGGACAAAGCAGGGTTTACCTGCTTTGTCCCAAATTAATTCTGTTTTACCACAGGAATTCTTTGGACACTTCTGGTAAAAGCCAATAAGCCTGTCTGGAAGGACCCAGAGATAGAGGATGAGTCAGAGTAGAAGGTGATGGGCTTCCCTACCAACTTTCTAAACCCTATCTACTACTCAATCTCTTTCCCATCAGGAGCACGGCTTTCTGATGTAAACTATAGTTGAATTCCAACAGTGGAATAATAATATCTCTTTTTAAAAATGATCTCATTGACAATGGAGCTTTTTTCACAAATCCTTTTCTAGAGGGACAGGCACAGAAAAAATATATATTGGTGTTTTGGTTTTTAGACCTGTTCTTGAAGTTATTTGGGGTGTTAATTCGGAATATGGCATTGCAGCAACTCTAGTTCCTTAGATGTGGTTGTCATGATTTTCTGTGGGTGAGCAGATGGCAGCTGGTACATGGCATATGTTCTATATCTGAAAAACTAGAGCTGATAGGGGGAAACTAGTGTCAATTTTGGAATCAGCAGGTCAAATATACCCAGAAACAGTTTCACATTTGAAACAATCAAATGTTGAGCAAAACCCAGTGTTGGGCAAACAGGCTTATTTATTTTTTCACACACAACCCTCCTCCACCTCCATGAATCTCTTTCAGAAAGTCATCTGAGCCTATAAAAAACAGATTTTTAAGCTGCAGGGTAGGTTACTCTTCTACTTCTGGAAGCACTTCTATTTGTGGGGGAACACAGCTGGATTCTACCGATTGTAAAAAAAAAAGAAGAAAAGAATTGATCACTATTTACAAAGTAAGGTTACAGGATTGATTTTTCAAAAACAGATGCATTGTATTATTTTTTTTTAAGCAGAAATAAGAAAATAAAAGTTTACAAATTTGTCAGTAACAAGAGAGCCTGTGGTCAGGGAACACAGAATCACAGAAATGTCATCTGTATGATACAGTTTTTTTGGGGTGCATTTTTTTAGTTGTGTTGCCGAATTGGCAAGAAAGCAAGTTTACATATGCACCTGGAATGATGATTATATAAGTTGAGAAAATCATATTTCATCAAAAAGATGCACTGTTTCTGTTACCAAAATCAAATCTTTTTTTAAAACTCTATTTAAAAATTGTCTATCTTTCAGCCTAACAATAGTAGAACTTTCCTGCCATGTGGAATGCATATTCTGTAGCACAGAAAACTTATATATACTGTAAATCCATTTACAAGCTGGAAGGTTGTTTATTTCATATCATGCGACAGGCTATAAACAGTAACTGTCTAGTTCAGATCATAGTAAAATGACCCTGAGTCTATTTTTAATTTTTGAACTCCTAACTAGGTTCTAAAATAAAAATGTAAAACTAAAATCCTGTTTTAAGGGAAAAGAATAGTGTTAACTTTTGGGCATTTCCACTAGAGTTACTGAAGGGTGTTTTTTCTGGAAGACCTTTTCCAAGTCCCGTTTACTTGCTCTGGAGGTTTTTTAATTGACCCTTTGTTACTCGTTTAAGTTGACATTCATTAAGGAAGATTCTTTTGAAATATGTATATAAGAAAATAACTTAAATATATTATGTTCTAGATTCACCAATTCGAAGTCCTGTTAAAATGAAGGTGATTGAGAAGGATTTATCTATTCAAGCTATCAGTTGTCGGAAAGCTTCAGTAAGCAAGGCTTTATCTTCATCAGATACAGGTAAACCATTTGTGTTCTGTTTCATAGTATATGGTATGGAATTAATTACATCTGTATCATTGTAAACATGTGACATGCATGCTCATATAACTGTCCTATAGGACGATCAGACACTAGATATGGATAGTTCTTGAGGGTCAGTTCATATGATTTGCTCTGAGGTAGAAGGAATACTACAACAAAATCCACATGCTGGACATGGTCTAATGAAAAGTTTTCATATGTTGGAAAAACCACAGGGAAAGAAGCATCTTTCTGCATATGGTAGCTTTTTCATTGAACAAGTTCCTTTTTTCAAAAGTAGCACCAAGTATAGTACCTAAGTAGGCTTGTGCATTTCAGCTGAACTGAGATCCATTTCTTCTATCCGAATATTGGTGGACCTGCGGACCCGTTTTGGAGCACCTCTCGAAAACGTGCGGCTGTCCAAAAAGCTATTTTTGGTCCACAGCCAAAAAATGCAACAATATCTGGCCCATTGGCTTCATGGGCTCCCCTTTCCATAATCTTTAGGACTATCGGGTTAGGATTAGGGCTAGAAACAAATAATGATAACAACAATCTTTTATGTCCTGAAGGAGGTTGGAGTTAGAGAGAGATGATGGGTTCTGTTGGCTTGACAAAGCTTCCACAGAAGCCCAATAGTTTTATTATTATTAGGCAACAGCCAAATTATTATTATTAAATGAAATTAAGAAGCCTCTCAGCACACTGTGTGATCCTGAATAGAACAGAAGTTAGCCATAACGGGCAACCATGTGGTCCGTTTTGGTTAAAACAAAAAGGCATATGATAATACATCATATTATTCCCTTGCCCTTACGGGTATCCGAACAAGCCGAAGGCAAACGTTCAAAACGAATGAATGCAGAAGCCTAGTACCTAGCATGCTACTTGTTATATGGTACAAATACATCATATTAGTCCTTGCCTAATAAGAAGAAATACAGGATTTATAGTTTTACTGCTTACAAAGTTTGTGTTTTAATAGCATTAAAAGTTTTTAATATCGGTGTGTCATTTAAAAGCGGGATTTTTTTTACTTACACTGGAACACTCTTACTTAAAATCTTTATTCTGTTCTAAGTTATTCATGGCATCTAGTCAGATGTGTACTTCTTTTCTTTACAGAGTTACTGGTGTTGAACGGCACAGATCCTGTTGCTGAAGTAGCCATTCGACAACTAAGTGAAGCTGCAAAGCAAAAGCTGAAGTCTCCCAGGAAAAAGAGCACGATTATAATATCAGGAGTATCAAAGGTAAAGCTAAACAGCAAAATGTCGATCATATGATATATTAAGAACATGTTTAACATTTTACTTTCTTCCCATATATATTTTTATAAAAAAATATTATTGTTGTTGTTGTTGTTATTATTATTATTATTATTATTATTATTTTACTCTCTGATAGACCAAGGTTCAAATCGTTCATGGAAACACATTGGGTGATACTGGGAAATTACTTCTCTAACCTTCAGTGGAAAGCAATAGCAAACATCTTCTTGTCAAGAAACCCCCTTGTTAGTGTTGTCTTAGTATTGTCATAAGTTGGTAATTACTTGAAGGCACACACAATCACCACAAGAAGGAAACAGGCAATGATGAAAGAAAGGATTGTGGAAAGGGAGAGTGTGGGACAACTTGAAGAAGGCTTATGGTTTTGTATTCTGAATGAAGATTAAAATGAAAGTGTAAGTAGTAAAGGAATTAACATTAGTAAAGGGATTAAGCAAGCCTGAGGAATAGGAAGGCCAACTTTTATTGAGCTGAGCAAAGTACAATATGATCTGACGAGAGTCTACAATAATGTATTTGGTTTTAAATGTTATTTATGTTTTAATTTATAGATGGTTTATGTGTTATATATGATGATTGTTTGAATTTTAATATATATTGTAAGCCTCTGGGTCCCTTTTTGGGAGAAAAGCGAGATACAAATAAAGATTTATTATTATAATACTATTATTGAGCTGGGAGCAGCATAGCAGTAAATTGATCTGATAGGGAGTAAATTTAAAAACGGAGGTTTAAATAGATTATGGATGATAATGAGATGGTGCTAAAAAGTGAACAATGAAGCTGGGACAAAAACCTCATAAATCCTTTGTGACAGGAAGTCTCCTGTCTTGCTGACAGGAAGAGAAAGAAGAGAAGAGTCAAAGGGCATGTATTGGTTAGGGAGTCAAGATCCATATCAGAAGAGCTTCTGAGATTTCAGAGGAAGATGTGTACCAGTTGTGACAACTATTTTTGTCCCATACTAAGTAGCTTGGGGTTTGTGTTTCTCAAACACCGACACCCCCCCCCCCACACACACACACACCCCTGTGAACCATATAACAACCTACGTCTAAGACTTTCAGAAGCAGGATGTGGTAGGAATTTCCTGTTAAAAAGTGGCAAAGGGATCCCAGTCATATAGTTAAAGTAAAGGTAAAGATTTCCCCTTGACATTAAGTCTAGTTGTGTCCGACTCTGGGGGGCGGTCCTCATCTCCATTTCTAAGCCAAAGGGCCAGCGTTGTCCGTAGACACTTCCAAGATCATGTGGCTGGCATGACCGCATGGAGTGTTGTTACCTTCCTGCAGAAGCAGTACCAATTGATCTACTCACATTTGCATGTTTTCAAACTGTTAGGTTGGCAGAAGCTGGGCCTAACAGCAGGATCTCACCCCTACTCCCCAGATTCGAACTGCCAACCTTTCGGTCAGCAAATTCAGCAGCTCAGTGGTTTAACACACTGTGCCACCAGGGAGTCATACAGCAATTTAATTTATATCCCATATGCCTTTCAAACCTGAGACACAAAAGGGTGAACAAGATTAAAACCATGTCAAAATAAAAAAAATATGTTGCTTTATTCTATTAAAATAAATTCTAATATCAAAGCACAACTAATGTGGAAGCAATATAAAAATATTTCTTCTCCAGCTATTGGTTTTTGTTATCTACATCTATTTATATATTTTTTTTCTAGACTAATTTATCTCAGGATAGTGAAGCTGCACTTATGTTGGACTATGCAGCAGCCATGGATGGCTCATATAAACAAGTCATGACTTCCAGCAGTGGTGAAGGATCACCTGCACAGTCCCTTTCGGGAGAAAAACTGTCATTATCTGCATCCCAAACAATCCCTGCCCATGAAGGACCCCAGGAAAACAGCCATGACGATTGGACCTTAGATGACATCAGCCAGCCATGGCAAAGCAATGCACTACTAGACCAAGACTGTGATAAGATGTCTGGGAGCTCTGTAAGCATCTCAGAATCTGGAACTATGAAGAAATCCAAAGGTATAGTATTTTGATTGTGAAGGTTTGAATATACAGAGAACCTCATCTTATATCGGTTTGAGACTTTGAGACATTTTAGTAATATAAGAAAGCTGTAAAATTTCAGCCTCTTCATTGGTTTAGTTTCAATGAAGTCTGTCTTCATCTGTAATCAAATAACAAAAGGGAATGTTTTCAGCACATTGAATTGTGTTCTGTTCTTTCATCCTTATGCATTAGTAACTCATGCTGCATGTAATATAGGGATGGCACATTTGAAAGTAGTGTAAGCAAGATATCAACATAAAAGGTCTTCAGACATTTATCCAAACTCTTAGACTTGTACATTTGAACAGATCTTTTTACATTTTTCCAGTTTTCATGGGGGAGGGTCTGTGTTGACAGAAGGCCATAAAAAAAAGCCTTTGGGTTTCTTGTTCTCATAAATTACAAAACTCAAATGTAGCTTGCCATTTTCATATATTGAATATTTATTATTTTTCTACATCTGGCTATATTTCTGACTTCATCTTTCTTACCCATTCTCTTTATAAACATAAGTGGACTACTATGCCAACCTGAATTAATTGCCTACACAGTAAGTTATTTCTGTCTTATGCTTAAGAACCCATACGGTAGCTTTACTGTGAGACACTTAATGTAACAGGCCAATTTTTAAAACTTGTACTATTTCTTTTCCTGTATACTCATATGCACTCCAAATTGTGTTATTACACATAGCTGCTAAAATAGGCCATAGATATAATACTGCTAAACTGGCAAATTCATTGATTTTGCTAACCTAGACATCTGCAGGAAAACTGGTGTAGTCGCTGTCTTCTTCTAGAATTAAGGACTGGAAAACCTTAATAAACAATCATTTTCTTGGGTTACTATGAGTTTTCCGGACTGTATGGCCATGTTCCAGAAGCCCCAGCCCAATTTACTGTCCAAACGCATCTCCCTTTATGAACCACCACGAAGACTGAGATCTTCTGGGGAGGCCATTCTCTCAGGCCCGCCACCATCACAGGTGCAATTGGTGGGGATGAGAGACAGGGCTTTCTCAGTGATTGCCTCCCAGCTGTGGAACTCCCTTCCTGGCAAGATTACATCAACCCCCTCTCTCCTGTCCTTCAGAAGGATGGTGAAGACCTGGCTGTGGGACCAAGCCTTTGGGATAGTGCAATGAGGTAATAATAGAAGGGTGTCTTGGAATGGTTTTTAAGCAACTGATTTTAAAGTGTATATAAGTGATTTTAATGTTTGTGTATATTTATGGTTTTATGTCCGAGCGTTGAATGTTTGCCGTGTATATGTTGTACTCTGCCCTGAGTCCCCTGTGGGGTGAGAAGGGTGGAATATAAATGGTTCATAATAAATAAATAAATAAATAAATAAATAATCTTCTGCCATTTCACCCACATCTATGGCAGGCACCCTCAGAATTTGTGAGGTCTGTTGGAAACTAGGAAAATGGGGTTTATCTGGAATGTCCAGGGTGGGACATTGAGGCAAGTGTGAATGTTGCAGTTGGCCACCTTGATTATCATTTAATGGCCTTGCAGCTTTAAAGCCTAATTAGTTGCCTCCTGGGGGACACTTTGTTAGGAGGTGTTGACTGGCCCGAATTGAGTCTTGTCTGGATTTACCCTGCTTTTGAGTATTGCTCTTTATTTCCTGATTTTTGAGGGTTTTTTCTAATACTGATAGCCAGATTTTGTTCATTTTCATGGTGTCCTCCTTTTTGCTGAAATTGTTCTCATGCTTGTGTATTTCAATGGCTTCTCTGTGTGGTCTGACATGGTAGTTGTTAGGGTGATCCAGCATTTCTGTGATCTCCAATAAGATGCTGTGTCCAGGTTGGTTCTCTGGTTGAATCAGTCTGCAGTGCCTTTCATGTTCCTTGATTCATGTTTGGGCCCTGCTGTGTTTCATTGTCCCTATGTAGACTTGTCCACAGCTACATGGTATACGGTAGATTCCTGCAGAGGTGAGAGGATCGCTCTTGTCCTTTGCTGAGCATAGCATTTGTTAGATTTTCTTAGTGGGTTTGTAGATAGTCTGTAGATAGTTTGTAGGTTGTGTTTCTTCATCAGCTTCCCTATGCAGTCAGTGGTTCCCTTATGTATGGCAAGCACACTTTTCCTCTCGGTGGATTTTTGTCTTTACTCTCATGGCTTGCAGCTCTTCTGATGGAACATGGCCATACAGCCTAGAAAACTCACAGACACCCAGTGATTCTGGCTATAAAAGCTTTCAACAACACAATAATTTTCTTATTAGAAGGTGTTGAGTATGTGTCATATGGCAGTCCCGCAGCTTCAGATGCAGATTACTCACTGTAGCGTGTAAAGGACAATTGCCCCCCCCCCCCATATCCATGTATTCTGCACCCACAAATTCAACCATCCATGGTTGGCAAATATATTCTAAAAATTCCAAAAGGCAAACCATGATTTTACCATTTTGCTACACCATTGTATACAATGATACTTGAATGTCCATGGACATTGGTACCCATATGAGATTCTGGAACCCAGAGCCCACTGTAGCGGTTTGGAATATGTGAGAAAAATATCAAAAAAGTACACTGATGTTGTTTGAACTCTTCAATGGCTTGCCCTTCTTATCCTCTCCCACAAAGTTCTGGGCCAATGCCTTTTTCTAGCCCAGAGATTAGAGCAGGGGTAAGTCTAGTGAGCCATATTAGAAAACCTTGTGGTTACACCGCCCTGTTGCAAGAAAACCCATAATTGATCCCAAATTCTCTCAGAAGCATGATATTACTTTACAGCATGCCATTACCATACATCACTTTCAGTTGTTTTGAAAAAGGCTTTTTAGTGGTCCAAAGAGTGCCCAAAATGTGGTCAAATGCCCCAACATTACCTAGTGGACATTTAAGGAAGTATTTTTGGAGGGTATTGCTATTTGTTTTTTTTGAAAGCTGGTGTGCCTTAAGTTTTGTATGTAACCTGTGGCCACACTTTGCACTAGACATCGGTCTAGTGATAGAAAACCAAAAGAGTACATATGAGTGAGATGATTCAGCACTAGCTGCCTGTGTCCTCTAAAGCTCACTTCCACTTCACTGCTCTTTAGATAAGAATTGTACAAGCCTACACTAGAAGGCATAGTACAGTCACTGTCCACTTATCCAAGTAATGTTTGAGAAGCCTGTGCATGCAGAAGCTCTATAAGGCCATGTCTCGTAATGCCTTGTATATATTTGGCTCTTGAATCAAGTAAGTCTGCATTGCCTCAAAAATGATAGGTGCATGTTTGCTGCCTTCTTTGGAATGCATAAAGCTGAAAGGGATTGTGCTTCAGCATATGCTTTAACGCAAGATGAGCAAAGCATGACATGTTAGCTGTATTTGGTCTGCTTTGGATCCCCAGATGATTCTGAAAGGAGGCATCATCCTTTCTCCTTCACAGAGGCCTTACCTTGTTGTGTTCACAAAAGTTTTCCATGTACAACTTGCCTTCCCAAAATATCTTGTTATAATTATAATACTGGCTCTGGCAGCAAACTTCTATCAGAGAGAAACTTTATTTTCTTGGATTTATACTGTGCCATTCTCTTGGAATGGAATCCAAAACAGCTTACCATAATTTAAAATAAGATTAATTTAAAATCATATTTTAGAAAAGTTCAAAAATGAAACAACAGTATTATTTAGTTAAAAACACATTAAACCATAATTACTAAGATGCCGCATAATCATTCACACTCGCTTCTTGTTGTTGATTTTGACCTGTGGTGGCCCTATAAATGAGAGACCTCCAAGTTGCAAACCACCCTCTCAGGTCCTGCAGATTCAGTGCTATGGTTTCTTAATTGAGTGCATCCACCTGTGATGTAGTCTTCCTCTCTTCCTATTGTTTTCTACCTTGCCAAGCATTGTTATCTTTTCTAGTATGTTGTGTCTACTCTTGAAATCTCAGAGTACAACATGCTATGGTATACAATGGGACTTGAGCAACCATGGATTTTGATATTCATGCAGGGGCCTTGAACCAAACTATATGAGCTGTTCAACAGTGAAACTCTGTCTTAGAGTGAGGTGGAAGTTCCTTTCTTGGGGGCTTTTAAACAGGCTGAATGGCCATCTATAGGAGGTGCTCTGATTGTGCTTTTCCTGCATGGCAGGGGGTTGAACTAGATGGCCCTTGTGGTCTCTTCCAATGCTATGATTCTGTGAAACCAAGGGCCCACTATCCTGAACCATTTCTGCCAGGTACTATGTCCTTAAAAGTATCGATCTGTAAAACTCAACTCGTTGATGTTTTGTTAATCTGAAGGTCACGTTCAAAGAAAGCAAAGTGTTGGTCACATTGCCCTCGATTTCTAAAGGAACAATTGAAACACTACCTCTGAAGATGCTTGCCATAGATGCAGGCGAAACGTCAGGAGAAATGCCTCTAGAACATGGCTCTATAGCCCGAAAAAGCCCACAAGAACCTAGTGATTCCAGCCATGAAAGCCTTCAACAATAAATTGAAAAATAATTCTATTGAAACCAGCTGAGCCTAGAGTACATCTACTCTGGAGATGTAATGCAGTTTGACACCACAATGCCTCAATACTATGGAATCATAGGTATTGTTTTACAAGGTCGTTTTCTCCATAACCTTTTGGAGAAAAATAGCATTAACAACCATTTAAAAACCATAACCTTTTGTAAAACTATGGGAAAAAACCTCGTTTGAGTAAAATATTCTCTTTAGTTGTATATATCCACATGTACTGTACTTATGCAAGGTAATTTGGTTTTCAGTTGTTAGACTGATAACCTGGTTGTCTCTGATCTGTTAGGAACAGAGATGATGCCAATGCATAAAATATGGCAGTTCTTCAGAAGTGTTTTTTTCAGTGCCTAAAAACATCTACTGTCCCATAAAACATCTTGTTTCTATATCATTCTCTGAAGAGACAAAAATAAAGTAGACTTTGTTAAAAGTAACATATTTGATTTACTCACAACCTTCATGTATTCAGCATACATGTACATAACTTGTCAATCCAGTTAGAGATAGGTTTGAAGTAGTTTCTCTGGGCAGATAACACAGGGCATCTTTCTTACAATCAGCAGCAACATGAGTTTGCTCTTAACAGTCCAAAGTCTGAGCAGGTAAGAGACAGCCTTAGCATTCTGAAAGTCTAATGGAGTCTGAGGTCTGAGCAGTCTGAGATCTGATCATGTGGTCTGTAACCCCTCCCACATCCTCAAGAAACATAGAGTAAAGGTAAAGCTGCCTATCAAAACACATATATACAATACAGTAAGCAAACAGAATCACATACAAACAAATTACTAGTGGAGGCTTGAAAAAGGTTGCTATTTCCAGCAGTCTTCAGCCTTCTCTGCCATAGACTGCTCACCAAACTGCGTCTCTCAGAGTTCCATAGCATTAAACCATGGCAGTTGAAGTGGTGTCAAACTGCATTAATTCTACAGTGTAGATGCACTGCTAGGGTTTACTTCAGCAAGATCTGATTGCTCATTTCTAAACAGGCAGCTGGGGAATGTTTGTTACTTGAGGGCTCATCTCACCCAAACTGTGAAACTCTTGTAATATATAACCTGATTCTTCCCTTCTCTGTCCAATCTACATATTTTTATGTTTTGCTTGTTAAAGGTTGCATCAAAGTTGCATTTACATGAAGCGATTCAAACATTCTGTCTCAAATCTTTTAAATATGTGTGTGTTTATCTGATACTTTGATTCTGATGGAAAATAATTGCATGTTGAATTTAACTGAATAAATTGGCCTTAGAAAAATCATAACAGCTTGAACATTTTAGTCACTGACCATTGACCATACACTTTTATATGTATCAACTGAGAAATAAGTCCAACTGCATTTAGTGGGATTTACTGGTGTGTGCACAAAATGGTTACTATAGATTTGCTACAAGCTCCATTCAGCTATAACTCTTTAAATGCTTAAAAAGCATTTTAATGACTTTAGTACATTTACTACTATTTAAAGTGCGTCCTTTTCTTTCTCTTTCTGTACTAAGTACTGGTTGAATCTGATTAGAAATATGAGCAAGTGCTTTTTTTTTTTAAGGGAACACTATTATAAATATTGTTGATGTAAATAAATAGCTTGCGTTTAAAAGCTTTTGCATTTTCATTACTACAGGTGGAATATTAAAAAAGAGTGCAAAGTTATTCTTCCTCCGCCGGCACCATCAAAAAGACCCAGGAATGAGCCAGTCACATAATGACCTTATCTACCTACAACAGCCCTCACCTGATGGTACCCGAAAAAAGGGAGGAACCCTAACACGCCTCCTGAACAAGAAAATTATCTTCAAGAGCAAGAGCAAAAGTAAACTGAATGGAACATCAGTTGAACCATATGCATAATGCCTATTACACGCCAAATTATACAGCCTCCCTGTTTACAGAAACATAGACCTGTATGCTTACTGAGGTTGACTAATTTTATGGTCAACGGAAGACATTGGAAAACAAAAGCAAGGACATGAAATTGGTGGAAGAAAGCTGATAGAAATTTTAATGTGCCGCAAATAAAACTTCAGTCCCTTCCAAACTTCATTGGAAACGAGCACATTGAAATCAGTGGGCCTTAGTCTGTAAAACAGTACTATTTTTTTTAAAAAAAAATCAGGTTTCAATATGGAACTGAACATTGATGACCAGGGAGTTATAGTGGACAACTGTCTGCATGAATGTATGTATGTTAACAGTGGCATACCATGGTTGCATTTTAAAGAAATATAATATAGTGGAGAGTAGGAATACAGATTAAACAGGGTTTTGTGTTGTGAAGATAAAAGTGACGAGACCAGGAAATCCTAATTTAGATGATTTGAATTACAAAATAGTACATTTACAGTGCAATCCTATATGTTTACTTAGCAGCAAATACTGCTTATGTTTAGTGGGGCTTACTCTCAGGTAGGAATGCATAGGATTGCAGCCTTAAAATATTTCAGGACAGGGAAATGAAATGCTGATGCAGTAGCCCTGATATACTTATTGCTAAATTGCTGTATTACTGTGGCTTGCTTTTCATAGATAATAACCATAAAGATTGACAACATGCACAGTTACATATGAATATAATTTTTATACTCTGTGCATGTACCATGAAGAGCATCCCCTTAGTCTGCTCACAGACTATTTACCAGTCCATGTTCTTTTTTCCATTAATAGATTACATTAGCAATATTGCCCCAATCCTGGGGAGGCTTCAATTTATTAGACAGATGTATGCTGTCTCATGGAAGGAAGGATAACATTAAGTAGAGATGTGTAGTCTCTTCCAGGCATTTCTTTCTCTGCTACATTTTGGAACTAACTAGGTCAAGGGAAGTGTGAATTCATGTTCTGAACTGTTTGCTTCTTAAATACTAAGGAGTGGCAAGTTGTGCTTGCCCGTTTCGTTGTTACCGGGTAAAGAAAATACATATAACTATTTTATATATTCTTAATATATACATGCATTTCTTATTTAAATTGCAAACGTTATCAAGATTCGTTGGAGATTTATTCTGATCGACTTGGCTTCATTGTGAACTGTAAAATCCAAGTCTCCTAGTATAATCAGCCAACACCAGGTACCAATACGATCACTGCATTTTGGCCAGTAAATAAAGAAATATCATTAGTTTAAGTAATGATATCTCTGGTATAGTCATTTACATAAGCTATAATGGTGTTGGTGTTGGATTCAAGCTTCTGATGTGTCCAATATGCAAGAAGAAGGCTACTGAAAAGGAAGCAACAGTTGTCACTACACTTGGAAAGTTCTGGTTTCTCTTGCCAAATCCTATTGTAGTCTGATCTATAGAAAATTAATTTCCTCATGAAATACTACCTTTTTGTAATAAACACTATGATTGTGATCCTAGATTAATTTCTTTAGAAAAGAAGGGATGGGAATCATGGGAGAATCTGGATGTTATTGGGTTGCAATACCCAGCAGCTTTATCAGCGCAGGCAATGATGAGAAGTTCTGGACGTTATATTCAGCAGAGCTCAAGGGATATACGATTCCTGTTCTTTTTCTAGAAATGACTCAGGCAAGTCACATATTCTGAGCCGCAGACAACCCCACAATAAGGGCCACTATAAATCAGAAATGACTTGAAGACACACAACAAAAGGCCTAATGTAATCATTGCTCCTATATAAATAAGAGGGCAGGGGACTTGTGCCCCTCCAAATGTCATTGGACTGCAACTTCCATTAATCTTAGTTGCATTCTAGTAACTTCTGGAGGACAATTTGCTCCCCCTTATCTCTTGGCTTTAATTTTATTGTATAGCTTGATGGCATATAAATGGATTGAAATGCAAAACTGTATAAAAAGGACTTGCTGCTCTTACAGATACTTGAAAATATTTAAAAACTTGTTTGAAAGTCTTAAAGCTGTTTCATTGAATATAAAAAAATTCCAAAGATATACTATGTTAATTGTCTTTTGTTCTTTTTAATGGGATTATTCAGCGTCAAGTCACTGGGAGGAAATCATGCTCTGACTGGGAATGGTTATTTTTAGAACAAAGATGTTTGCACAAGCCACTAAGTCACTGATTGTTTTGTGACAACTAAAGACCAATCTCAGGTTCTTTAGCCCTAAAGATGCGGTCATTGGGAACCCTGTTCAAGCTCCACTGAAGCAAACAGGATATATACCCCAACAACTTGTAATTTCAGTAAGTTTAGACACAAGTGCAACTGTAGTCAATACTCAACATGGAATGCTTAATTTCATCATTGGGGTCTTTCCTCTATCACATAAGCACTACCCCCCGAGTACTGACCACAATTGCACATTGAGATGAAAAACACCTAGCCTGGTTATGGAGGAATATGTGTGTGTGTGTTACACACACTTGTTCCTTTCAAGGCGGAACTCATGCTCTGAAATTCTTATCCCTTGCCTTGAGAAATGGAAAAAAGGGGAGCTGCTGAGATATGGAAATTCTAGTGCAAATACTCTTCAGAATTGGTTTCTTTATATTGTATTAGTGTTGGCATAACTTTTTCAAGTAAGAATATTGCCTTTTTTCTGCCTTCAAATCCAGGAAATCACTAAAATGAGGGTATCCCTTTTTTGTTACCAGCTTATAGTTCTTTTTTTCTCTTCCAGTAACTCAGGGGAGCAAACACTAGGCTAGCAGGAAAAAGTCCAAGTCTTCGTGGTATTTTGCTAGTAGTTGTGTAAGCACTTGCTGAAAAACCAGCTGAGCTGGTGTAAGCAAACCTAACACAATGAAGTCAAGAATGCAGTGCACAAATTGCATATATAATGGTTTTTGCAACAGATTATGTAACTGGAATCAAAGTATTAGATATGATACTGTACATAGTAAAAAAAATATCCACTAAGAAAATATTTGGTTACACAATCCCATATATTATAAGTGGTAGCCTATCTATAGCATGTATTATTTATTTTCAAAATATTAATTCTATAGGAAAAGGTGTAGAATAGGAAGTGGGAAAGCAACAGGAACAGTTTTCATAATATAGTGGGGTGGACAGATTCATAGACAACTAACTGGAGGGTGGACCATGGATGTAATGTATGTCATGACAGACCTGAACCAAACATGATACACACCACCCTGCATGACACATTATGTCCTGGTAAGGTTTGGGGGAGGATAGACCATGGGCAATAGGATTTGCAGTACCTTCACCTTCTTTCACAGACCACTGTAACCCCTCACAATAATGGGCATGGACCAAACTTGGGAAACAGACCCCTCATGACCTACTTTACATCCTGGTGAGGTTTGAGAGAGGATGAAACATTGATGATGGTCTCTGCAGTACCTTCACCTACTTCCATAGACCACAGCGACTCCCATGAATGACGGGCCTGGACCAAACTTGGGACACAGACCCCCCCCCCCAATAGGTCTTGGAGGTACTGTTCTGTAGTGGCTCCATTCCTTCCTGGATTGCCGTTCCCAGAAGGTGTTGCTTGGGGACTCCTGCTCGGCCCCACAGCCATTGCCCTGTGGGGTCCCGCAGGGTTGGGTATTGTCCCCAGTATTGTTTTTTTTTTTTTAAATCTTTATTGAGATTTTCTTTAAACATGCATATATATAGGTAAAAAAAAGGAAAAAGAAAGTAATAGGGGAAGATTAGAAAAAAAGAGAGAGAAAAAAGCAAAAACACAACAACAACAAATAGAGTAAAATAGGAGTATTTTGACCTCCTGGTGTCTTCTATCCACTCTTGTTCTGATGAAGAAAAAAAGAAAATAAAAAAACAAAACAAAAGTTCTTTGTTTTCTTTCTATTATCTTGATCTTTCCCTTCTTTTTTCTTTTTAAGGTTTCATCCTTATTTCTTTTCTTTATGTTAAATCAACATCTCTTTTCTTTTCTTCCTTAAATACTCGATGACCTCTTCCCAGTCAGTTTCTTTTCTTCCTGTTTGTTTTTCAGTAATAGAAAGGTGAGTCTGTCTAAGTTGCTGATATCTAGCATCTTTATTGCCCAATCATCTTCTGATGTTTCTGTTTGTCTCCATTTTTTAGCATAACATATCCTTGCGGCTGTTAATGCTAAAAATAGTATATTATCTTTATCTTTTACCAAGTCCTTGTCGTACATTCCTAATAGGAACAGCTCCGGTTTCATTGGTATTTTTATTTTTAACATATTTTGAATTTCTTTTTGTATCTTCTTCCAGTAATCTTTCGCTTTTTCACAGGTCCACCACATGTGGAAATAGGATCCCTCTTTCTTCTTGCATTTCCAACATGTCAAGCTTGTATTGTCATATATTTTCCCTAATTTTTTTGGAGTTAAATACCATCTTAAAGACATTTTTACCCAATTTTCTCTGAGATCAGAGGCATATGTGTATTTTAATCTCTTTTTCCAGATTTCCTTCCATTCTTTTTGTGTTATGATCAGTCATTGTCCCCAGTATTGTTTAACATCTACATGAAGCCGTTGGGTGAGATCATCCGGAGTTTTGGAGTCCAATGCCATCTGTACGCAGATGACATCCAACTCTATCACTCATTTTCACCAGATGCTAAGGAGGCTGTCCCAAGTCCTAAACCGGTGTCTGGCCACTGTGACGGTCTGGATGAGGGCGAGCAAATTGAAGTTGAATCCAGACAAGACAGAGGTCCTCCTGGTCAGTTGCAAGGCTGAACAGGGTATAGGGTCACAGCCTGTGCTGGATGGGGTTTCACTCCCCTGAAGGCACAGGTTCACAGCTTGGGAGTTCTCCTGGACTCATCACTAAGCTTCGAATCCCAGGTTACGGCATTGGCCAGGGGAGCTTTCACACAATTAAAACTTGTGCACCAGCTGCGCCTGTACCTTGGGAAGTCAGACTTGGCCACAATGGTCCACGCTCTCGTTACATCCAGGATAGACTACTGCAATGCACTCTATGTGGGGTTGCCTTTGAAGACTGCTCGGAAGCTTCAAATAGTCCAACGAGAGGCAGCCAGGTTAATAACTGGGGGCGGCAAACAGGGAGCATACAACTCCTATGTTACAACAGCTCCACTGGCTGCCAGTTTGCTACCGGGCACAATTCAAAGTGCTGGCTTTGGCCTATAAAGCCCTAAACGGCCCCGGTCTGATTTACCTGTTTGAATGCATCTCTCCCTATGAACCATCGTGGAGATTAAGATCCTCCAGGGAGGCCCTGCTCTCCGTACCACCATTGTCACAGGCGTGACTGGTGGGGACGAGAGACAGGGCCTTCTTGTTGATTGCCCCCGGCTATGGAACTCCCTTCCTCGTGAGATCAGATTGGCCCCCTCCCTCCTGTCCTTCAGAAGGAAGGTAAAAACTTGGCTGTGGGACCAAGCTTTTGGGACAGTGCAATAAGGCAGTGATAGGAAACTTTAACAGACCAATTTAGATTTGACACAAATGCCAAATGACTGTTTTAAACGGTGTATTTTAATATTTTGATTTTTTAAATGTTTATGCATACTGATATCATTTCTTGTCACGGCATTGAATATTTGCCGTATATATGCTGTGCTTCACCCTGAGTCCCCTTTGGGGTGAGAAGGGCGGAATATAAATGTTTTATTTATTTATTTATTTTGTTTACTTTGCTTATATACCGCTGTTCTCAGCCCGAAGGCGACTCATGGCGGTTCACAACAATAAGAGACAGCAGAAATTCAGTGTACAGTATAAAAACAGTTAACAGCCTAATCCATTACAAAATTAATAACAATAACAGTTAACGATTACTACAGTAGCCATTCACTATCGTCTCATCATCGAAAACATGATCCAAATTCGTCATCCATTGATCCATTCCAGTGTTCATTAATCAATCATTGCACTAATTATTCAAACGCCTGCTCATACAGCCAGGTTATGTTTTTGAATTTGCTGTACACAGAGGAACTATTACTATTCCTTTATCTCGTATCTGATTTGTCGTTGATCCACTCTTTGGGCTTGACGCAAATCTACCATTGGTCAAAATATATGATCCTGTGCTATTATTTTCCATTTCTGGCCAAATAGCTTCAATTGAGATGATATTCTGACTTTGGTCCTTTAGCAATTAAATTTGGCGGCAATGTCATTCAGGTTGCTAGCTCTTGTGACTCTATAGTCCAGGCATGGGCAAACTTTGGTCCTCCAAGTGTTTTGGACTTCCAACTCCCACAATTCCTAACAGCCAGTAGGCTGTTAGGAATTGTGAGAGTTGAAGTCCAAAACACTTGGAGGACCAAAGTTTGTCCATGCCTGCTGTAGCTGTTTGGGCCTTCAACTCCCAGAATTCCTGACAATTTGTTTATTTATAGTGTCAGGGGCAGACCAAACAGTTGCATTGCATGTTTAACAAACAAACAAACAGACAAAATTTGTGAGTTTGGTAGTTGATTAAATGTCCTTTGACCAGTATCTGGCCACTTGGAGTGCTTCTGGTGTTGCTGCAAGAAGGTCCTCCATTGTGCATGTGGCAGGGCTCAGGTTACATTGCAGCAGGTGGTCAGTGGTTTGCTCCTCTCCACATCTGCATGTCGAGGATTCCACTTTGTATCCCCATTTCTGAAGGTTGGCTCTGCATCTCGTGGTGCCAGAGCGCAGTCTATTCAGCACCTTCCAAGTCGCCCAGTCTTCTGTGTGCCCAGGGGGGAGTCTCTCATTTGGTATCAACCATTGATTGAGGTTCTGGGTTTGAGCCTGCCAGTTTTGGACTCTCGCTTGCTGAGGTGTTCCAGCGAGTGTCTCTGTAGATCTTAGAAAACTATTTAAGTCGTTGATGTGCTGGCTGATATCCAAGCAGGGGATGGGCTGGAGATGTCTCTGCCTTGGTCCTTTCACTATTGGTTGCAACTTCCCGGCGGATGTCAGGTGGTGCAATACTGGCTAAGCAGTGTAATTTCTCCAGTGGTGTAGGACACAGACACCTCATGATAATGTGGCATGTTTCATTAAGAGCCACATCTACTGTTTTAGCGTGGCGAGATGTGTTCCACACTGGGCATGCATACTCAGCAGCAGAGTAGCATAGCACAAGGGCAGATGTCTTCACTGTGTCTAGTTGTGATCCCCAGGTTGTGCCAGTCAGCTTTCGTATGATATTATTTCTAGCGCCCACTTTTTGCTTGATATTCAGGCAGTGCTTCTTGTAGGTCAGAGAATGGTCCAGAGTGGCTCCCAGGTATTTGGGTGCACTGCAATGCTCCAGTGGGATTCCTTCCCAGGTGATCCTCAGAGCTCGGGATGCTTGTCTGTTCTTAAGGGGAAAAGCACATGTCTGTTTTTAGATGGGATTCCTGACAATGGAACAAGCTCATTAGGGCTTCTGGAAGTTGGAGGCCCAAACAGCTGGAGGGCCGCTGTTGGAGGATGCCTGCTGTAGCCGCTCGCCCTTCCATCGGTTCCAGGGCTCAACCCCAACTCCTGGGGGAGCTGCGTCTTCCTGGCTGACTCCTCTTCCTTCTGTGGCCACAGAGTGGCAGGATTAGGATGATGAGACTAGCAGTATCGACCGGCCTTCCTTCCCCAGCGTCGAGATGAACCGTGGGAGCCTCTTCCCTCCAGATCCACTCAGTCCCGGACTCCCGGCCATTCCCGTCTCCCGCCCTTCAATCCTTCCTGTTCCAACTCCGAACTACGACTCCCATCGTGCCCCGCGAGACGTCACGGGTCCAAGCTTCCGGCGCCGCTCCGGCTTCCGGCTGGGATCGGAACCTGGAGCCCGGAATTCGATCCGGGCGCGAGAAAAAATTCCCCCCACACAAGCAGGTAACACCCAACCCCCCCCCCCCCAACCCCTCCCGTCCCGCCGCGCGCGCCGCTCCCTCGCGGGCCGGGGCCCCGCCCCTTGCCGCGAGATTACCCCTCCCCCCCCGCCCGTCCTCGCCTCGCTAGTCCTGGAGCCTTCCTCGCGCGCCGCCTGCTCCGCCCTCCCTCCCCTCCGTCCCGCGCGCCTCCTCCACGCCGCCTGTTCTTTGTCACAGGAGCCGCGCGCGGCGGAGGGAGGGAAGGAAGGAAGGGGCCGGGCGGGTCCGAGTCAAAACCCGGCGGAGCCGCTCCCGGATCGCCCCGACCGAGCCAGCCGACCGCGCCAGGACTGGGAGGGGGAGGGGCAGGGGCCCGCCTCGCGAGGAGCACACTTGGGAATCAGCCTCTGAGGTGCAAGGGGCTCGGCCTCTTCTGGGCTTCGCCCCCCCCCCTTCGCACCTCAGACCAGCCCCCCAAATAATAATAAAGAGGGGAAAAGCAGGGGCTTCCCTTGGAAAGTCCTGTGGCTTTCCTGGGTTAATGGCAGCCCAGGGATAGAGTCACCTTCCTCAGGAAAGGGAACTCAGTCCGTGGTTCATAGGAATTAATAACAATAATAATAAATAAAACAAGCAGTCGAAGAAGAAAAACATGCCCTGGCAGAATATGTAGAAGAAAGCAAAGAACTTGGAATTTTGGATTCTGATTTTTAATAGGCGTGTTTTAATTATTGTTTTAATATTTTAAATCTATTGTTGAATGTTTTATGATGCTGGCGTCATATGGTGCTTCTGTGAGGCCGCCCTGAGTCACCCCCCCCCCTCTCCGGGTGAGAAGGGGGGGGGTATAAATATAGGAAATAAATAAATAAATAAATAAACCTTTTTTGATTGAAGAAACTTCTCAAAGAATCAGTACAAGAAAACTGCACTACAAACCAGAGCTGACAGCTGGCGCAACAAAGCCTTGCATTGGCAGTTGCTTGGCAATATTGAAGGATATGTTGATAAGGAGAAGACCTGGTTATGGCTCACAAATGGAACCCTGAAGAAGGAGACAGAAGTCCTGATTTTTGCAGCCCAGGAGCGAGCCATAAGAACAAATGCAATTGAGGCCAGGATCGAAATATCAGCTGATGACCCAAAATGCAGACTGTGCAAGGAAGCTGATGAAACCATTGATCATATCCTCAGCTGTTGCAAGGAAATTGCACAGATGGACTACAAACAAAGGCACAACTCTGTGGCCCAAATGATTCACTGGAACTTATGTCACAAGTACCACCTGCAAGCAGTAAAGAATTGTGGGATCATAAACCTGCAAAGGTAGTAGAAAATGAACATGCAAAAATACTGTGGGACTTTCGAATCCAGACTGACAAAGTTTTGGAACACAATACATCAGACATCATGATTGTGGAAAAGAAAAAAAGTTTGGATTATTGATACCACCATACCAGGTGACAGCTGAATTGACGAAAAACAACAGGAAAAACTCAGACATTATCAGGATCTCAAAATCGAACTGCAAAGGCTCTGGTATAAACCAGTACAGGTAGTCCCAGTGATAAGCGGCACACTGGGTGCCGTGCCAAAAGATCTTAGCCGGCATTTGGAAACAATAAACATTGACAAAATCACGATCTGTCAACTGCAAAAGGATCTGCTTGGATCTGCAGGCATCATTCGAAAATACATCACACAGTCCTAAGTCCTAAATGCTTGGGAGGTGTTCGACTTGTGATTTTGTGATACGAAATCCAGCATATAGATCTCATTTGCTGTGACATAATGTGTTTTTGTGTCAGTGAAATAATAATAATAATAATAATAATAATAATGCTTCTCTTTGAAAGTGGTGTGGCATTCTTGGGGTAAAGGTAGTTCAAGGGATATGGTTACCATCTCCAGGAAAGAGGATCCAGTTCTCTCAGGCACCTTTTCATGATGATCATAGAATCATAGAGTTGGAAGAGACCTCATGGGCCATCCAGTCCAAGCCCCTGCCAAGAAGCAGGAAAATTGCATTCAAAGCACCCCCGACAGATGGCCATCCAGCCTCTGCTTAAAAACCTCCCCCCCCCCACAGATGGCCATCCAGACTCTGCTATGCTTAAAATCCTCCAAAGAATCCTCCACCACAGTCCAGGACAGAGAGTTCCACTGCTGAACAGCTCTCACAAAATATTCCAATGTGTATTATTAGAATTGCCACATCACAATTAAGCAAAATGTATTAAATGATTTTTAAAAAATCTTAAAATAAACTTGCCTTTTTACTATTCTGCATGATACTAAAGATGATAAGAGATGGAATAGTAACTAGATTCTGACCTGCCTATGACACTTAAGATATTTTATATTTAGACAAATAAACCAAACTTAAACCGTGGGTCCTGACACCAAATGGGGTCCCCTGAGCTCACTGTTGGGATCATGAAAAATTTGGCAACAGTAAAAGGTTTCTGAATGCTACTTATTTACACAAATCTGTTAGCAACAACATGCAGTGTGTATGGCAGACTGCAGAAAATGCTTCAGTTGTACATAATAAAAAGGAAAATCAAACTGTTCAGCAAGGCTTGCAAATGCTGATTTAGCATCATCATTTGATTTTTATATCTATTTTATATAACTATATACCTGAGGTCACATAAAAATTTCACAGGTGGAAAGGGATTGTGAGTAGAAAAAGTTTAAGAAGCTCTAGTTTAGATCAGGTCTTGCATTTCTCACTATCTATTTATAATTCCTTATGCTAAAAGCTGTTGGTATAGACTTGTTGGCTAGGCAGATCTATATGATAAAATAAATTTCTGTCATATAGGTAAAGCTGTACACAATAACCCCTGTGCCTATTTAACAGGAAGTCAATTTCTTTGGATTCAATGGGAATTATTTATAACTAGATGATTGCAATATTGTGTGTAATATTTCTGTCTGAAAATAAATGCAAGAATGAACTCAAAAGCTATATTTCATAACTGGTTTTGAATAGACATGTCTCCAAAGTGATGTTTATAGTACCTGTATTTAATCTCAGTTATATTTCAGTGTTTTCTGGTGGGAAAAATAACTATACTTTGACTAATAGATCTAGAATTAATTGCTGAAAGGCTAATTTCCGTAGCATGTTTATTTTACCGGTCATGTTTATGTCTACTCAGAAGTGGGCCTCATTGAATTCAGTGGGTTTTATCCCCAAGTAAGTGTTTCTAAGATTGCAGCTATCACACATACACTCCATCACAATCTGATGAGAATGACATGCTCTTGATGTTAGAGATAAAAGTAGCAAGGTTTTTTCCTGATGTCTTTTATTATTATAAGGGCAATAAAAGCACTCGATTCTTGATGCTTTCTGCTGTAAGATACATTAATAATATTGTAATTACGATAATGAGATGCACAACTGGAACTATGATGTTGGGCCACTACAGTCCTTCCCTTGTGGGATTAAAATTAAGGTAACAATGTAAAATGTGTGCAAAATAAACACTTTTATTTTGTTTGGTACAAACTGAAGTCCCACAGCCTAATTTCTTGATTTATACTTTTGGATTAGACATCCTCTCCAATTACTATGGTAAATAAATCAAATTCACTGGTACTATAAATGTGCAAGTGCTGTCAGTTTCTACTGTCTCTACTTGCCCAGTTTTGGAATTGACAGAACTATTTGTTCTGTGTCACATATGCAAGTTTTCTCAGCTATGAACAGATATGACTCACTCTTCAGGCCTTCTAAGACTCCTTTCTATGTTTTGTTAGATCCATTTCCTTTCTTAAGAACAATATACTAATTGGCAAAGTAATACAAGCTACAACCTGCTTTCATTTTACTGGTGACAATTCTTCTCTCCTATAGCCTTAATATCAGTGAGATTATTGAAGCATATTCTTGTAACGTGTGGACAGTGATTGCTATTACTATTATCAAATTGCATTTTTGTTATGAACAAGATAGGTTCTGTAGGTTGGTTCTTGAATTTGTATGTACGTCAGAACAGGTACATGTTTAAGTGTACACAAGTATGTATGTATATACATACACACACACACACACATATATGCATGCTTTGGATAGCATAGGGAAGGGTTAACACCCCTGTGGTATTTGTTCAGAAGATTTCGCCTCACTTTCTGTCCCTGTGATCATTGGATTTTGAAAAACGTGGCTTATTGTATAAACAAGGATTGGTGATAAAGCTTCAATGGAGACACTTTTCCTCATGAAAACTCTTCCAGAACTGAATTTCCCATCTGAGAGATAGATTTCCTTTACTTTCTATTGTCTCACCCCTGTTCTTAACTGTGAGACATTTGTAAGTTGCATGTAATATATTAGTACTCCCAGTTTTGTCATGCCAGCACAAATTATGGATTGGTTGACCAAAACAGGTTGAGGAAAAGGACAAAACGTCCAGAATATATTGCTTTCCTTCCATTACCATATTTTGTTTCTCCCAGATCTGCTCACAGATTAAGAACTAAGGACAGCTGTTCTGGATCTGACCAAGATGCTGTCTCCGGCCTAAGTCCCCTATTGGTAAGAGCAGACAGACTAATGCATCTGGGAAGCTTAAAATAAGACTTTAAAAGGCAGGACTTTTATCTCCATTGTTGTTCCTAAATATGAAGGCTCCCTTTTTGCTATGCTGTCTAGTTGCCATTGAAAAATCTATTTCCTCTTAATTTGTATAATCCAGAATTTGAAAAGTTATGTTATTGAACTCTAGAATAGCACACAGAAGCCTTCATTCAATGTGTCCTTGGCAAATTAAAAAAAAAATAAGAGTTTGATATTTTCAACTGGATCTCTGCTTAACAGTTTGATGGTGATACTTAAAACTGTCTCTTTTAGGAATGATAAAAATTACTCTGTTGTTATTCAAGAGTGCTTCTATTCCTTCTTTTGCTTAGCTTTTTTTTTATTAAAAGGGATATCCACAACATTCACAACTGAAGATTAGCGTGATAATGACAGAAGCAATGTGTGTTTTGGGGGGGGGGGGGGGGGGGGGAGTTTGTGCACCAAACCTTTGCAAGATGGTCATGTAGTATATAATTATTTTGTCTACTAGTAATACCTGGATATTATATGTATTATCCTTAGCAGGTAGTATTCTGACAGAGAGCAAACATTTATTGAAGTCAAAGCAGAAGAGGCATTTTGACTTGTGGAAGTTCACAGAGAGTGTCTATTGGAGCTAACACTGTCAAATCTGAGGAGAACTGTGTCTCAGTAGAATAGTGAGGCAGGTAATATTGTGTCAAGTAGGTTGATTCCAGTCAATGGGAATACATCAAATTAAGTGAAGACAAAGTCCCTCTTGTGGACTAAAGCAGTACCATGGATAGCTCAAAATGAACTTTGTTGACCAGCACTTCTTTTTACTAGTCACAGAAATATAGTATCTCAGGAGCAAGCTAAATTATTTAAGCAGTTGCAGTAGAGGAGCTGGCTGGACTACTGAAGGCCCCTGCCTAATTTTGTAATTTTGTATTTTATTTGTATTTAACACAATCTTCATTTTAATCTAGCAAGAGAAGTATGGGGATCATTATAAATTGAGCTGTAGTGGTCTTGCTTCCAGTTGTGAGCATCTATAAGCATTATTATTTCAGCTGGGGAGAAGAAACCCTTGGATAGTTTATTTAAGCAGAATGCAAGAAGAAACTTTCTGTTGTCAGTGAGGAGTCTGAGTAAATGCATTAGCCCCTCATCTCTATCCACCACATCTCACCCCAGACAATTTCATTTGGGAAGTTATGCTAATATGCTTTTGAAAGAAGGCCATGTGAACATACATTTTTAAAAGTCTGTGCTCCAGGGAAATGGTACCCTCTGGGTACATTCAAGCAGAGAGTACAAAGTGATGAACCGTATAGCAAACTCTCAGAAACCTACATCACAACAGATCTGCATGAAGAGGTGATGATCTGTCACTTCTACTTAGGCAGGGTGACCACTCATAACTTATAACTGCCTGGAAATCTGGTGACACTTGATAAGTCTAGACCAGCTCCATGTAGTTACTTCTTTTGTTTTTGTAGCCTTAAGAAAACATAAAAGTCCCAATACCCATTGGGGTGACATTCAGTTAAGACATAACTGCTAGTAAACTTCCTATTTTTCAAATAAAGTGAATCAAATATCCTGTGCTAGTAACGGTACTAGGAACATTTTCCACATTTTTCTCCAACCCTTTTTATTTTTAATTGTTCATGTTTTTACCTGATTTTAATTTTATGATAGTTTGATGAATTTTTAAATTTTCTTTCAAGTGAACTTTAACAAATTTTCAACTGTTGTAAGTGACATTGAGTCTCATACATGGGAAAAGGGAAACCACTTTGTGTTGCCCATGGGCTGAGAAAAGTGGTATATAAATATAGTAAATAAATTAAATAAATAAAAGGTGGGATATAAATAAATATAAGATTCAGCATCAGGTTTATACACATAAGGGGCTTGCCACCACATATGTAAAGCCAAAATGTACACATGTTCATGTGTGACACATGCAATTTTTTTCATTGCAAAAATGGGGTTTGTTTTAGAAAACTTGTGTTGATTTCAACTAGTCAAGACAGTTGCCTTGAAGCCCATGAGGAGAAAGGAGAAAGGTGGGGTATAAGTGATGGATGATAATGATAATAATAATGACCCACAGAAGATACCAGATTGGTGTGAAAACTCAGTATTACCCTGCATGATTTATTGCTATCTCTCTTATGTATTCTAGATATTGTGCAAAGTGAGGCAAAAACTATAGTGGATAGTAAGACTTTAATTTTTATGTGCCACATTTTCTGTATAACTTAACTGTAATTCACATGCTTCCAAAATCTACAGCAACATTCCTTTTGAATGCAACATTAAAAAAATGAGGAAAAATTGCTGGACCACTCTAATAACCACCATGTCAGACTACACAGAGAAGCCATTGAAATCCATAAGCATGGGGACAATATCAACAGAAAGGAGAAAACCATGAAAATGAACAAAGTCTGGCTACCAGTATTTAAAAAGCCCTCTAAAATCAGGACATTAAATAAAGAACAACACTCAGAAGCAAGGGAATTTCAGACAAGAAGCAATCAGGGCCAGCGAACACCTCCCAACAAAGATTCCGTGGCAGGAAGTAGCCAGGTTTTGAAGCTGCAAGGCTATCCAATGCTAATCAAGGTGGCTAATTGCAACATTCACACTTGCCTCAAGCAGGCAAGAGTTCTTTCTCCCACCCTGGGCATTCCACTGATATGTACATCCCACTTGCCTAGTTGCCAACAGACTTCACAACCCCCGATGATGCCTTCCATAGATATGGGCAAAATGTCAGGAGAGGATGCTTCTCGAACATGGCCATACGGTCCAGAAAACTCACAGCAACTGTTGCAATCCAGAGCAGGGAACGAGGCCCTAAGATAACTATCCACCACACTTGGCTGTGAAAAACAATCCTTTTTTATTGAAGAAAAATGGTTACAAAATAAAGGAAAAATGCAAGTCAAAAGCCACAGCAAAATCAGCAAACATGAATTTAAATGGACAAAGCAAAACCAAAAGCCTCACTGGGAAATACTGGAATCTGTTAGCAATCCACTAACCGTACTTGATATCCTAGAAATCTTCCCAAACTATGGCCAGGGAACCAGGAGAACTGCCAAGATCTTCATTAATTCTGAAACGATGCCTGAACTGAGGCAATCAGCCTGGCGTATTGCAATTAAAACTCAAGAATTGGTTCCGAACTATCCACCACACTTGGCTGTGAAAAACAATCCTTTTTTATTGAAGAAAAATGGTTACAAAATAAAGGAAAAAATGCAAGTCAAAAGCCACAGCAAAATCAGCAAACATGAATTTAAATGGACAAAGCAAAACCAAAAGCCTCACTGGGAAAATACTGGAATCTGTTAGCAATCCACTAACCGTACTTGATATCCTAGAAATCTTCCCAAACTATGGCCAGGGAACCAGGAGAACTGCCAAGGTCTTCATCAATTCTGAAACGATGCCTGAACTGAGGCAATCAGCCTGGCGTATTGCAATTAAAACTCAAGAATTGGTTCCGTGAACCGCCCTTCTTTTTTGAAGCCAATGTTTTTAATTCTTGAATTCGGGAGGATCGACGCAAACTGAGTGATTTACTTCTGTCTTCCCAAATTTGGCCCCTTCTGTTGTCATTACAGTTAACAGGTGCAGAAGGGAGGGAAAGTTCAAGGTCTCCCTCTGAAACATTCTCATGAACACTGGTACTTTCATTTTCCAAATCTACAGAAGTTCCTTCCTCACTAATTTCAGGAACATTGGCATTTTCCAAACCTACAGCAGTTTCTTCCTCACTAATTTCAGGAGCATTGGCATCAAAAGGTACATTTCCACTATCATCAGTAACTTTCATTAGCATCAGGAGGAACAAACAGAGAATCAGGTTCAAGTTCAAACTCAGGCTGAACCCCAACAGCAACCCACATTCAAAAAACCGATTGGGTATGATGTCTCCTATTATAGCACCGGCACAAATGTGTTGGACTCCCTATAACTAGTGGGATAAACATTTTATTAGGAGGTATGTGACTGCTCAGTGTCTCTGTTGGTTATTTTTTGACAGATTTCAGAAATGGCAGAAGATGGCAGTGAAGAGACTATGTTCATATGTAAGTATTCAAAAAGGAAGAGTTAAATAGTTTGTATGACCTATTATCATATGAAAACAGAATCTCTTGTTAGTTAACAAATGTCTGTGATTTTGTTTAAGTATCGGGAGAACACTGCAACATTATTATTGATCAGGAATTTAATTACCCTTTATGTTGCACTGATGCTCTTTCAGACAGCTGTTAGTTTAAATCTTTGGCGTCTGATTTCTTTTTCCTGTACATCTGTAAAGTTCATCTTTGTCAAGCTTAAAAGGGGCTGCTTCTTCTCAATGTTTATTTAGTAATTAGAAAGATTGAAAGCTTTATAAAAACAACATAGATGATACGGTGTTAGCAGTTTCTTCAGATGTGAGGCTCAACTTTAATTTTTTTGTTAATTGGAAATTGTAATTTTTTTCTCATTCCTATTGTTGTTGTTAATGCCAGCTGTTCACACAAAGTTTTACATCTTAAGCAAAATAGACAGGCTCAAAAGGTTTACATTGCTTAACAGTATGGAGATAGGCAAAGAAAGGAGATGAAAAGATAACTGTGATAAGGGAGAAATTTACTTAAGGCGTCCTATTACTAAGGTATAAAATCTTGCAGTTAAGGGAACTTATTTACAAAAATGTAGTCTTAGAAGAGCAATTTGAATGAAGAGAGAGAGACGAGAACTCTGTGAGATATTCATTGAAAAACTATAGCAAAATGTGCTGCAAGAAAAGATTACTAAACTTTTCCCATGTTTTTATGATAGAACCAATCAGAAAATGACATTTATAACCCAGGAAATCATGTTACATGGGGTCATAAATTGGTGTGTTGGAGCTTAGGATAGAATGTTAAGCTGAGGTGTTTTTTTTTTGGGGGGGGGGGGTTGGTTGTGTTTGCCACATTTATGCTGGCTGCCAAAGAGTCAGGCCACCATGGCTGCATGTACAGTGCTCTTGAAGACATTCCAACTTCATCTTTAGATCCTATCTAATTTGTCTTAGTTGCTGCATTATCATCTGCTTCAAAAAGTGGCAACACTTAAGCAATCCATTTTCCCAAAAATATTCACAGATAGTTTGGTAGAATGTGCTGCATGTCTGGGATTCAGCTAGTGGAGATCACATCCAATTTTAGACACCTTAATTCATAGAGTGTTACAATGATTTCCCTGCCAAAAACGATTATACCTAATTTTGTTTTCCCTTACCCTGGAATCTCTTCCTTAATATCATTTCCTTGACATTTTTACTCAAATGTGCTTATAGGCGGATAACATTTATCTTTGTTCTTGAGATGAGCACAAATGTACAATTAATTCAACTGTGTGTCTAGCCACTGGGAGTAAAAGGGTTCTGAATTTTTCCCATGGATGTTCATTGAGAAAAATCTAATACAGAGAGCTGTTTTCCTGCTTGTCTGTTTCCAGGGTGTGAAGATTGTAATCAGTATCACGATTCAGAATGCCCAGAGCTGGGCCCAGTGGTGACAGTCAAAGACTCCTTTGTATTAAGTAGGGCAAGGTAAGTAACTTTTGCTAAGCTCCTTGTTTGCTTTTAAAGTTAGCAGATTTTAGTGGAATAACAAAGTTGCAAAAAAGAGTGCTCTGTTTTCATCTATACTTTTTTTTTTTTGGTGCTGTATTTCTCACTGAATTTTTTTCTGGTACAGGAGAATTCTCATATATCTTATTAATAAGTATAGTATGACCCCAATAACTACAGGGGGTATGCTTCAAGACCTTATTGGATACCTAAAACTGTGGGTAATAGCAATCCCTATATTTTGGCTATACTTGGACCAGCAGCATAGCATAAAATTACCTAGAGGACCGAGGGAGGCCTACAGTTACAATGTTTTTTGGAGTGTAAGTGAAACTGTGGATATCAAATCCATGGGGCCATACTGTATCTTGCAAAATAATATAAAACTATTGCTTCAGTGCTTCATTCCAGAGTATTTCAATGGTACAAAGTGAGTGAAGATGGGGTACATAGTAAGTCCAATCAACCAATGGAGTAATTCATGGCTAGAGCATTCCTGTTTTATTGCCTTTCCATGACTGTAAAGGCAGACTCCCAACTAGTGGAAACCAAGGAAATGCATTGACCTCTCTGTAGTGCCTTTTGGTTCGGTAGCAGAACTTTGTGCAGTGAAGGTCCCAAGTTCAAGCCCTGGCATCTTCAGTTCTATTGGTCAGGTAACAAGTGATGTCAAGCATCTGGTACTTCAATTAATTTGTTGTGTGTATGTGTCTTCAAGTCACCCGTGGTTTTATCATTACTTCATGAATTTTGTAGGGTTTTCTTAGGCAAGAAATATTCAGAGATGGTTTTGCCAGTTTCTTCCTTTGAAATAATAATAATACACTTTATTTATATTCTGCTCTATCTAACCGAGGGACTCAGAGCGGATTACATTATACATATATAGACAAACATGCAGTGCCTTTTATACAGTGAAAAATGACATACAATACACAAACAAAGGCAAAAGTTTTCCTTCCATCTCCAGCATCTGGAGGCGATGTTCAAGTCTGGCCATGGGGAGGTGCTCTTGTTCCGTTTTTCCATGCTGAGGAGCCTGTTGTCTGTAGACACCTCTGGTCGTGTTGCTGTCATGGCTACATTGGGTGTCTTTTACCTTTCTACTGAGGCAGTACCTATTGACCTACTCACATTACATGTTTTCAAACTGCTAGGATGGCAGGAGTTAGGAATAACAGCAGGAACTCACCCCGATCCATGATTTCGAACTGCCAACCAAGTTTTAATGCAGCTAGTGGTTAACCCACTGCTACCGCGGCCCCTGCATATATATCTATATATATAAATCTGTTAGGTTGGTTCAACCGGACAGCAAAACTCACAAACCCCCCAACGAAACTTAACCAAAATTCCCATGCCCATAACACAACCCACAAGGTACAAACATATCTACTCAAAACGAAAAACAACACAACAACACACTCACAAAACGGCAAAACAACAAAACTAAAAAAACCACGAAACTTAACCAAAATTCCCATGCCCATAACACAACCCACAAGGTACAAACATATCTACTCAAAATGAAAAACAACACAACAACACACTCACAAAACGGCAAAACAACAAAACTCAAAAAAACCCCAACGAAACTTAACCAAAATTCCCATGCCCATAACACAACCCACAAGGTACAAACATATCTACTCAAAATGAAAAACAACACAACAACACACTCACAAAACGGCAAAACAACAAAACTCAAAAAACCCAACGAAACTTAACCAAAATTCCCATGCCCATAACACAACCCACAAGGTACAAACATATCTACTCAAAATGAAAAACAACACAACAACACACTCACAAAACGGCAAAACAACTGAGCATGCGCATTGGTGCCCAGCCGCAAGTTCCCTGGTGCGCACACACAGTCTTCCAGCCAACGTTCCCTATGTGAAAGCCATGCCCACTCCAAGCCCCGCCGCACCGCTTCCCGCACACACACACTCCCTGCCGCACGCACACACACAACCCCACGCTCCATCACTCCCCCCACCCCCCACACACGCGCACACACACACGCAACCCCACGCTCCATCACTCCCCACCGCGCACACACACACGCAACCCCACGCTCCACACCCGCCGCCGCACACACACACGCAACCCCACTCCCCCCCGCCGCACACACACACACAACCCCACGCTCCATCACTCCCCCCACTGCCGCACACACACACGCAACCCCACGCTCCATCACTCCCCTGCCGCACACACACACGCAACCCCACGCTCCATCACACCCCCCCGCACACACACGCAACCCCACTCCCCCCGCCGCCGCACACACACACAACCCCACGCTCCATCACTCCCCCCGCCGCCGCACACACACACGCAACCCCACTCCCCCCGCCGCCGCACACACAACTGCAACCCCACGCTCCATCACTCCCCCGCCGCCGCACACACACACGCAACCCCACGCTACATCACTCCCCCCGCCGCCGCACACACACACGCAACCCCACGCTCCATCACTCCCCCCCGCCGCCGCACACACACACGCAACCCCACGCTCCATCACTCCCCCCGCCGCCACACACACACGCAACCCCACCCTCTCTCCCGCCCCAATCTTACCTCCTTTTACTTCACGCCCCCCCCAACCCCCCCCCCGCCCCTTCCCGCCCTGTCAAAATCTAGGAAAGAAGGAAGGAAAGAAGGGAAGGAAGGAAAGAAGGAAGAAAGAGAAAGGAAGGTAAAGAAAAAGGGGGAAGGAAGGAAAGTTAGAGAAAGAAGGAAGAAGAAAAGGAAAGAAAAGGAAAGATGGAAGGAAAGAAAAGAGAGACAGCAGAAGAGAAAGAAAAAGGGGGAAGGAAGGAAAGAGGTAGAGAAGGAAGAAATGAGAGACAGAGGGAGGGAAAGAAAAAGGGGTAAGGAAGGAAGGAGAGAAGGAAAGGAAAAAGGGAATGAAGGAAGGAAAGAGGGAGTGAAGGAAGGGCGAAGATGTAGAGAAAGAGGGAGGGAAGGAAAGAAGGAAAGAAAGAAGGAAGAAAAGAGACCAGAAGAGAAAGAAAAAGGGGGAAGGAAGGAAGGAGAGAAGGAAAGAAAAAGGGAATGAAGGAAGGAAAGAGGGAGTGAAGGAAGGGGGAAGATGTAGAGAAAGAGGGAGGGAAGGAAAGAAGGAAAGAGAGAAGGAAGAAAAGAGACCAGAAGAGAAAGAAAAAGGGGGAAGGAAGGAAGGAGAGAAGGAAAGAAAAAAGGGAATGAAGGAAGGAAAGAGGGAGTGAAGGAAGGGGGAAGATGTAGAGAAAGAGGGAGGGAAGGAAAGAAGGAAAGAGAGAAGGAAGAAAAGAGACCAGAAGAGAAAGAAAAAGGGGAAGGAAGGAAGGAGAGAAGGAAAGAAAAAAGGAATGAAGGAAGGAAAGAGGGAGTGAAGGAAGGAAGAGAGAAAGAGGGAGGGAAGAAGGAAAGAGAGAAGGAAGAAAAGAGAAGAGAGAAAGAAAAAGGGGAAGGAAGGAAAGAGATAGAGAAGGAAGGAGAAGGAAAGAGGAGAGGAAGGAAGGAAGGAAGGAAGGAAGGAGAGAAAGGGGGAAGGTTGGCCACAGCAACACGTGGCGGGTAAAGGTTGTTATTTCTATTATTATTATGCTATTATTCCTATTAGACCCTGGGGGAATGGAGAGAGGTGTCAGGTCCCAGAGGCAATGCATTGCATTATTGTTATTGTTATGATGGTGGTGAAATAAAAGGAAATAAAAAGTGAAAGAAGGAAGCAAACAGGGAGGGAAGAAAGGCAAAGGAAGAAAGGGGGAGGGAATGAAGGAAAGAGAGAAGGATGAAACCAAGTAGTGAAAGAAGGAAAGAAAGAAAGAAAGAAAGAAAGAAAGAAAGAAAGAAAGAAGAAAGAAAGAAAGAGGTAGAGAAGGAAGAAAGGAGAGAAAGGGGGAGGAAAAGGGGGAGAAGGAATAGGTAGGTACCTCTCTTTCATAATAGTCCAGATATCTACCTCAACTTTGATAAGTTTTACTATAGGCCACAGCAACGCGTGGCAGGGCACAGCTAGTATATATATAGATTGTGCTTCAGCCTCAGACACTGCCTCGGCCTGTAGCCTGAATTGGCTCCCCCCCCCCCCCCCCCAGGTCCTAATTCAGGCTTCAAAATTAGATGGAATACAGTGCCACTTATTGGTATTGTTGTTTGGCTTTCCTTTATCTTAATTATTCTATAGTATGGGATGTCTATGTACAGAGTAAGTCTGTTTCTTTTACCTAATATTAGAAAAATTGCAGTCTATCCCGCTTCACTCTGATTTGCTGTATATATTTACTTCTTAGATCATCTCTTCCCTCCAACTTGGAGATCAGGCAACTTGAGGATGGAACTGAAGGTGTTTTTGCGATAACTCAACTGGTCAAGCGCACCCAGTTTGGCCCCTTTGAATCCAAGAGAGTTGCCAAACTGGAAAAGCAGTCACCATTTCTACTGAAGGTACAATAAGTCTTGAGTTTAGGTGAAATTAAAAATTCAGGAAAAAAAAAACTTGGATAAGTGTGTTGCCAAATGGATAAGTGTTCTGTGGGTATTCTTCTGTATTGCTACAGTAATGAAGGAAATAACTCTGTGGCAAGAGTATAATGTGGTTCAGAGGTGGGCGGAGTGTGGCACATGAATATCACTGGCCCTTTAAGGACACTTTTGAAGTCCTAAAGCCCACACAACATCCGCTAAATATTTTTGAAAAGAGTGATATTTTAAATCGAAAAAGTAAATTGAATTTTAAAAGTGGAACAGGAAGAGTGATCTCTCAATGTTTTGCAGTGAGCTCTGGCAGTTCCCCACTCCTGCTATACTAGATGCATTATTGTGCATAGTGTTGCTCATTAATCCTTAAAATAATAATCCTTACAAATACATTTATGTTCACTCCCTGTCTGGGTGTCGCTTAGGTTTTTCAAAAGGATAGCCCTCCAGTATTTTTTGACACCTCTAATGAAGATGATTGTAACTGGATGATGATGGTAAGGCCAGCCAATCAATATGATCACCAGAACCTGACGGCTTTCCAGCATGAAAATGACATTTACTTCACTACTTCCCGCGACATCCCTCCAGGAACTGAGTTACGAGTATGGTATGCAGCTTTCTATGCCAAAAAAATGGAAAAGCCAGTTCTGAAGCAAGTTACTAGCATTTCCACTGGTACGTTTGCCTTTTTTTCCTTTAAAGGTGTGCGTTTGGATGCAGGGTAGCATGCAAGAGAATGGTATAGTGGTCTGAGGACTAGACTTGGTGACTCTGGGAAACCAAAGCTCAAATTACTACTCAGCCATGGAAACCCATTGGGGACCTTGGACAGATTGCAGTCTCGCAGCCTCAGAGAAGGATATTACCCAATCTTTGAACAAAGCACCCTTGACAGATGGCCATCCAGCCTCTGCTTTAAAGCCTCCAAAAAGGAGCCTCCACTACACTCGGGGGCAGAGAGTTCCCCTCTCAGAACCCTCACAGTCAGGAAGGTCTTCCTAATGTTCAGATGGAATCTCCTTTCCTGTAGTTTGAAAGCATTGTTCTGCATCCTAGTCTCCAGGGCGGCAGGAGTGTCTGTGTATAAAAATAGTTAATGATATACATATAGCCTATGCTACTATCAAATTATGTAACTTACTTGTTTCACTGTGCATAGCATATATGACTGGTCTGGGGAATCAGCTTTCATAACCTGAAATGAACCTGTAAAACTCTCAAGCTAACCAGAATAAATTGGTTTGAACCATAGAGTAATATATTTTCAATGTAGGCCAGTGGAGATGCAATAATTATTTGCATTATAACAAAATATAAGTGAAAAAAATAAGCTAATAGAGACACTATTCTCTCAATAGACGTGTGTTTAGTTGTGATGGAATGCGACCAAGAAGAGAACAACACTGCTTCAAAACCTGGTACCTTTTCTCTCAAGAAAATCAAGACTTCTCAGCCTTCTAAAGCAGATCATTCAGGTGTATTATTATATCTATTCTGATTGCTAACAGATTATCATAACTGTTGTTATTGCTGTTGTTATTACCCGTATTTACTCGATGTGCCAATGAATGTAATGCGGACCTCAATTCTGAAGGTGCACGTCACAAAAAAATGGATTTGCTCTTGAATGTAATGCTCCCAATTGTGCAGGCATAGCATGCCAGGGAAGCAGGTGGCATGAATGAGGCCTTCCGTCAGGTACACATTTCCCAACAGGCCTCATTTACAAGGCCTTCAAAACTGATGGGTGGATGGTGTTGGAAGGCCTTGTGAATGAGGCCAGTGGGGAACTCCATGGGACTAGTGGTGGGGAGAGATCTCAAGAGCAACCCAGGAGAACAATGCAGAACCCAAATTAAAAGACTGTGCACCCTAAATATGTACTGTAGCAAATGGAAAAATAAACTAATTAAAACAATCTTTCCCATAGATGTGTGTTTAGTTGTGATGGAAAGTGATCAAGAGGGAAATAAATCTAGCAGTGCTTTTTCACTCAAGAAAAGCAAGAATTCCCGATCTGCAAAAGCTACTCCTTCAGGTATAAATACTCATGTTGTGTGTCACTGGTATGATGGGTCTGAAATCACTTATGTATCATGATGATGTTGCAGTTGTTAAAATATGATGGCATACAAATGTGTTGAAGGGAGGTGTTAAACTTGTGGTTTCTAATTATCTTTGATTCCTCAAGTAAGAAAACTTTGATTCCAATTACAAAATGTATACACACTTAGACCATGGATGTTGCTGTATATTCTTCATTTTGTTAACACTTGTGGCACTTTTAAAGACCTACAGAATGTCATTTGGCATAAGCCTTGAGAATACTTGAGCACAGGTAGAAAACTAGAAGTTTTGTTTTGATATTAAACTATTTTTGGCCTCATGTCAAACCTTGGCCACTAACTTAAGCTCTAATTGCATTCTCTGTTCAAAACCAATTGTGAGTTTTTTTCTTTTCATTAAGCTTTGTAGAAAAATAGCATTTTCACCTCTTATTTGTGCCTTGTAAAATGTCTTCTCATTACATGGAAATCAACAATAATTATTCTAGCTAGCTAGCTATCTCTATGCATTTATTACTGATACTTGCTTCATGGATCATGTAAAATATTAAACTTAAGTTGGAGCCTTCAGTGGCTCAATGGGTTAAACCCTTGTGCTAGCAGGACTGTTGACCAAAAGGTCAGCAGTTTGAATCTGGAGTTTCCCCTCTGTCAGCTCCAGCTTCTCATGAGAGAAGCCTCCCACAGGATGGTAAAACATTCAGGCGTCCTTGAACAACATCCTTGAAGACGGCTAATTCTTTCACACCAGAAGTGACTTACAGTTTCTCAAGTTATTCCTGACATGAAAAAATAAACCTTAAGTTTCCAAAGAAATGTTTTGCATTTTACTGCAACTTAGTGGAATATTACTATTTTCAGGTGAGTTTAAATTTTTGAAAAGACGAGACCCTTGATTTAGTTTCTAAGGTTCCATCACGCATGCATGCATTTCCCTAACTCATTCCTCTTTCCTTGCAGAACATCTGCTGAGTCACCTGGAGCAAGCCAAAGGAACTCCAACTACTGAACAACATGATGCTCTTCCAGAGAAGGCTGTGGAGGCTCCCCCTGCTGACGAACCCGTAATCTGTGAAAATGCCAATGCCTCTGCCGATGTGAAAAAAAAGTCGCGAAGGGGCAGAAAGCCAAAAGTGAACAAAGCTGAAATGCCTCTTGTGATTGTGGATGACAAAGATTCTTCTGGTGAGACCAGGAAGTTACCAAAAGTAGTTTTCTGTGATATTTTATTTGTTACTCTAATGTCACATTTCAAACCTGTCAGCTTCCTGAAGGCACTGAACTATAGCTTCCATTAAGTGCAGATGAAATTGTAATCTACTGTACCTGGGAATTGTGGAAAACTGCTCTGATGAGTGCATTGATACAGGAGAGTTGTAGAGACTGCATCATCTACATTATGATGAGAGCTCATTGATGTGTTGTAGCATGTAGGTACATGGAGGTTCCCTACAGAGAGTTCGTCCATTGGTACATTAACCCAGTGTTACCTTCTGTGATACCTGCAGCTCTCTTGAGCAGTTGGATTGAGCAAAGATCTTAACATAGTTTTGACATGTAAAATCTGTGATTCATTTTTTCTTCATTTTGAAATAGCAGGGAATTTGGTGGAATCTATACCTGAGTAGGTGTTAGATGTTCTCCTGTGATATTGCTTTGCACCATTACTTCTGGAGAGTAATATCAGAATAACAGGTACATGTCCCCTCCCAGCAGTAGGCCAAATCCAGCTTTGGAAAGCAGTTTTGATTTGGAGAAATGTCAGAACAAGGGCATCCTGTTTCATCCGACATGATCCAAAAAAACCTGTAAATACATTTATTCATGTGTTTTTCTCTCTCTCACTCCCTCGCTCTACATTTTAATGCCATGTTAGCTGGAGGTCTAGCAGAGTGTTTTTTACACTATTTATAGTTATATCCATGATTTTACACTATTTACAATGTTCTGAATGATCACAGGCTTATTGCACTCCTAGAACAAAGTACACAACACTTTGCAGATAAAACTGCTCAGATCAGTTCTGATTTGGGTGTTACAGTAGGCCCAATTCCACTCTATGTAACTTTGGCCCTGCCTTGTTTAGTGTGATCATTTTCAATTTGTAAAGCTCAAAGATGCGGGGCAGATCCTGAGAATGGTGAGGTCCCTTCAACACAACTATATAACCCAGAATATCAAGGCAGAAAATCCCACAATGTCTGATTTCAACTGGGTTATCTGAGTCCACACTGCCATATATTCCAGTTCAAAGCATAAAATGTGGGATTTTATTCAGCTGTGAGGATGGGACCTGAGAGACATTGTGTGTGATACACACTTTTCCCCTTCTAACTCATTGAAGGACCAGGAGGGGAATATCTAAGTGGATAAAGAAAGAATCGGTGCCTTTATTCCAGCAAGGCAGAGTTCCAACTTGTCTAAAAGAGGCAATTGCAAGGCTTTTGTTTAAAAAGCAATCTTTAAACAGGGTCTTGCTTCCCGATAAACATATTTAGAACTTCAGTACTATACTATGAGTTGTGTTTGGCTTTACTATGCTGTAGATGACTCATTAATTTCAATACCTTTCAATACCAGTTAAAGTTCAAAACTCAGCATCTTTTTTCTTGTTAATAATGTTTTCCATTAATAGTGGAGCAGGTAGCTGAAATCATAACAGAGATCCCACCTGATGATGCAGCCCTGCCTTCTCCTGCAGAAGAAAGAATTATGGAGCTGGTGTTGGGGAAGCTGCCCAGTGCTACGAACACTGTGAATTCTATCACAAAGTAAGTCCCACATGAAACAGAGGAGCCAAATGGTAAAATATCAAACGTCCATATTAATTATATATTTGATCACTATGACAAAAACAGGGGTTTTCTTACTATAAAAAGCTTGGGGTGGTTGTTAGAAATGGATATTATCAGATTTATGTCCATATTTGCTGGGGTGTACTGGAGGCTGTAGTCCAATAATAATTTTCCCAGTCTCTAGAAAAGAGGCATGGAGGATGCTAATGCGAAACAGAGTAAGAGCTCCTTTATCACCTTCTGTGTAATGAAACATGAAAAAGATATCAAAAACATTATCATTTCAAATATAGGTAGACTGACATGCTACTTTGGCACATTGTCATTGCATGCCTTCAAATTGCCTACGACTTACAGTGACACTAATTAAACCAATCATGATTATTTTTTTTACAAGATGTTTTCAGATAGAATTTGCCTTTACCTTTCGATTCTAGCAGGCTTTGGGAAATTGATTGCAAGAGCTTTAAATGGTTTGTTGTTTTGTTGACTTTTTTTGGTGTATTCAAAAACACAAACAAAGTTAAAAACTTGACATTATGCTAAAAGTCCTTTGACCTGTAGCTGGCCACTTGGAGAGCCTCTGGTTTTTCTATCAGAAGGTCCTCCACTGTGCATGTGGCAGGGCTCAGGCTGCATTGTAGTAGATGGTCGATGGTTTGCTCTTCTCCACACTCACATGTCGCAGACTCCACTTTGTAGCCCCATTTCTTAAGATTGGCTCTGCATCTCGTGGTGCCAGAGTGCAGCCTGATCAGTGCCTTCCAGATCACCCAGTTTTCTGTGTGCCCAGGGGGGAGTTTCTCATCCGATCTCAGCCACTGATTGAGGTTTCGGGTTTTTGCCTGCCACTTTTGAACTCTGGCTTGCTGAGGTGTTCCTGCGAGTATCTCTGTAGAGCTTAGAAAGCTATTTCTTGATGTCTTTTTAATGACCACAGAGTTTAATTCTATGGAAGATTTAATTGCATGCTTATGCAACTGTGTTTGTTGTAAATTTGTGAGCTGTGCTGAGTCCCGTTTTGAGGGAAAAGCAGGAGGTGGAGGAGGCAGCAGAATTCCTTCTATAGCAAATTGAATCTTTTTACTTTCATTGCAATCTGACAGGTTTTCTCATCATCAGAGCTCTATGTCCCTTAAGAGAAGCTTGATCCTCTCTAGCAGACATGGGATACGGCGGAAACTAATAAAACAACTCGGGGAACACAAGCGGGTGTATCAGTGTAACATCTGCAGTAAAATGTTCCAGAACAGCAGCAACCTCAGCAGACACATCCGTTCTCATGGTGGGTGGAAATTTAACTTAGTTAAAAACACTATTAGCTTAAAATGAAAGAGAACTCTCTGTTGTCAGAAATGCAATTGAAGCCAGATTCAGCGATAAGAACCTAAAGTAGTACCTGAGTATAGTGGCTGCAGATCGCCAATCATTCCTGCAGCCCTCACAGTTCCTGGTAATTTCACCCCCTATGATAAATAAACCTTTTGTCTTACTCAATTTTGCCTTTACACTTCAGTATCATCATTTGTTTAGAACTTCATCTCCCTTTTAAACAAGTGGCAGCAATTTAAATATTTTAGATAGATTATACATCTATCTATTGTTGACTGGGGCAACTCAGATGCAATATGGAAATGATGTGATATCTACTTGCAGGGTTTACATTTAATGTTTAGTTTTAAGCAGGCTTTTCTATCCCTTAGTTTCCAGTAATAAATAAAATCATGATCTGACCCTCTCTTGTTGCAATTGATCTTCTAGGTGACAAATTGTTCAAATGTGAGGAATGTGCCAAGCTATTTAGTCGCAAAGAGAGTTTGAAGCAGCATGTTTCGTACAAACACAGCAGGAATGAGGTCAGAATTCCTTTACTTCCACAAATGTTTTGTGAATTAAAATCTTTGTGTCCGTTTGGGGCAGGATCTTCTTAGTTGTGCAGAGCAATCCAGTGGGAACAAAAGACAGATTAAAAACTACCACTTAATAATAACAACAACAACTCTATTTTTATACCTTTATATTTCTTCTTCATTTTAATTATTGTATTGTTTTAAAGTGTTTTTGCACTACAAATAAGATATGTGCTGTGTGCATAGAAATTCATTCGGTTTTTTTTTTCAAATTATAATCCGGCCCTCCAACCGTTTCAGGGACTGTGACCTGGCCCTCTCTTTAAAAAGTTTGTGGACCCTTGGACTAACCAAAAGCGCAGTAGAACACCCACATTTTTAGCTCTTTGCCGAAGATTTAAATCTCCTTCCGTCCTTTCTTTCTTTCCTTTCTTTGGCAAAAATATTTGCTTTTTCCCCAACCATTATACTTTCACCTTTCCATTGCTGAAGTTGGTATCATTTTCCTTGCAATTGAAATCATGTCTCTAGGCTATGCTTTGAATTCTGTGGCTCCTCATACTCCCTTAGTCTGCCTGTGACCCACCATCAGATTACCTCCTTCTTTTCCTTCCAAGATGGAAGTTCCAAACACTTCAGAGTCTCAGAGAAGATCATGCAAACATTCCTGCTTTAAAATATCATGTTATTTGTAGGCTTGGAGAGAAGCAGTTATTTTCAGGGAGTGGAAAGGGAGACACTTTTATTGGAGAACATTTTTAGAGCACAAATATCATACATATGTGCATACTTATTGTGCCTTTTTCAGTTTTCTTACCTTTTTATCCTCAGGTTGATAATGAATACAGGTACAGGTGTCCTACATGTGAAAAGGCTTTTCGGATAGAGAGTGCTTTAGAATTTCACAATTGTCGGACAGGTATGAGAGTAAACAAATTATCTCCCTATGACTAAGTTATACAAAATGATCTGTAACTTTATGTATCCAGTAAAGAGTAAATAGGAAAGCTCGGCTGTATCTTTCTTTTTTTATTATACAAAAGTATTATAAAAATAGATGCATTCAACTCAACTTTTCATAAAATGTTTAGATGGAATGAGCCACAGACTCATTTCAGATTTCTGAAAATTGGGCAGAGGCATCTTTCTTCAATGCAGCCCTTTCCCTAACTTTCAGCATCTCTAGTGAGGATTTTGGAATCATTGTTTGAAGTATATTCAGATTCAAATACAATTTGGTTGTGTTTGTCCATATGGATGTTTAGTGGGATACTGTATCAGGGTGCTTTTGATAGAATTTGGATTACACACACTGTCCAGAATTCCTTGCCTTGTTATGCATAAAGTATTTTGTGTAATGTATCTGCATAGGATTTCAGGTGCATGCCATGTGGTTTTCTCATATGGTTTTCCCATACTCACTCAGGAAACATACATAGATTGCATTAGTATATGCTGGGCCCCCTGGTGGTGCAGCAGGTTAAACCACTGAGCTGCTGAACTTGGTTTGAATCTGGGGAATTGGGTGAGCTCCTGCTGTCAGCTCCAGCTTTTGCCAACCTAGCAGTTCGAAAACATGCAAATGTGAGTAGATCAATAGGTACCACTATTGGTAATGGTTCTCTTATTGGGAAGGTAACGGCACTCCATGCAGTCATGCTGGCCACATGACCAAGGAGGTGTCTACGGACAATTCCGGCTCTTCGGCTTAGAAATGGAGATGAGCACCACCCCCCAGAGTCGGACATGACTAGACTTAATGTCAGGTGAAACCTTTACCTTTTTAGTATAAGCTAGACTGGGCAGTGCCACAATGGTGTATTTCTTTGTTAGCATTTAGTATGAACCCTGCAGCATAACACAGAGTTTCTTTTAATTCTAAGAAGCAGCTCTTGCTATGGTTTGCGGCTTATTTGGTTCCCCCTTCTCTTGCAGATGACAAGACGTTTCAATGTGAGATGTGTTTTAGATTTTTTTCTACAAACAGCAACCTCTCAAAACATAAAAAGAAACATGGAGAAAAGAAATTTGCCTGTGAGATCTGTAATAAGTTGTTTTATCGGAAAGATGTCATGTTGGATCACCAGAGGCGACATTTAGAAGGTAATTATCCTTGTGATGGATCTGATTCTCAGTCTTGTCTTGTCAGCTTGTATTGGAAACTTGAGTGAGTGTTTTCATCTGGCTGATGAGTAATCATTCCAAAGTTAGACAGATGGCATACGGAGACACTACCTTTTTGTCTTCCATGGTAATGAACTACAGGTCTAGATTACAAAAAGGCTTTGCATAATCCATGTGTAATTGTATGCCTAAAAGGTGCCCAACTCAAAGAGATTTAAAGACTTATGTCTTTTTGACATTAAAACTTCCTACACATCCTTGTTTTTCTCTCTCCTTGTGCTTGTGAATGCAAAATTAATCCTTATTGTTGGTAATTAACATAAAAAGGAATAAATATTTAATACATGCATGTTGACAATTTACTACTATATATGCTTCTGTAACTACAGAGTTTAGAGCAGTTCAGCAGAAGTATGGCATTACATTTTTGCTTGAGAAGCTTGGAAAAAGCTATGCAGACTGTTTTGTGGTTGAGTTCAACTATTTGTCTTATTTTAGGCAAAAATATCCATCATAAGTGTCTCAGTCAAAAGGGGAATCATGCACACACTTCTACTCAATGTAGGGTCTCCAATCACCAGCATGAATATTTTGCATGGAAGCAAAAAATGACTAGGAAGATAGTAATTTCCATACATTGGTATAGTCTTTATTATATTATTATTTGCATGAAATAGCATAATAATATTCTATTTTAATTTTTTTTTGTTGGGTACTGATCATTTCAGGAGTGAGACGTGTAAAAAGAGAGGACTTTGAGCACAGTGCAGAGAACATGGTCAGATACAAAAAAGAGCCTTCTGGATGTCCTGTATGTGGAAAGGTAGGATTCCTCACTGAATAGTGAAACTTTAATTTTGGATTCTGAAAATCTGCTCACACAGCTTCACACAGCGTTTTTGATTGCCCAACCACCTGCCTGCATTTCTGATAAATAGCAGGGACAGTGCAGAGCACTGTTGTGCAAAATGACAAATAAGTTTATTAGTATATTTTTGGCTACTTAGGTTTTAAGTGTGAATTAGAAATCAAAGTGATATTTCTTTAATTCTCTGTCATGGTATTGATTAATTGTATTGCGGGTGTGCAATGGGTTAAAACAGTGGTTCTCAACCTTCCTAATGCCGCGACCCCTTAGTACAGGTCCTCATGTTATGGTGACCCCCAACCATAAAGTTATTTTTGTTGCTACTTCATAACTGTAATTTTGCTACTGTTATGAATCGTAATGTAAATATCTGATATGCAGGATGTATTTTCAGTCACTGGAACAAATTTGACACAAATACCCAATACGCCCAAATTTGAATACTGGTGAGGTTGGGGGTGATTGCTTTCGTCATTTGGTAATGCTGGAGTTGCTGGGATTTATAGTTCAACTAACATCAAAGAGCCTTCTGAACTCCACCAATGATGGAATTGAATCAAACTTGGCACACAGAATTCCCATGACCAAGAGAAAATATTGGGAAGGTCTGGTGGACATTGACCTTGAGTTTTTGGAGTTGTAGTTCACCTATATCCAGAGAACACTGTGGACTCAAGCAATGATGGATCTGGATCAAACTTGGCACAAATACTCAATATGCCCAAATGTGAACACTGGTAGAGTTTGGAGAAAATAGACCTTGCCATTTGGGTTGTAGTTGTTGGGATTTATAGTTCACCCACAATGAAATAGCATTCTGAACCCCACCAATGATAGAATTGGACCAAACTTCCCACACAGAACCCCCATGACCAACAGAAAATACTATGTTTTCTGATGGTCTTTGGCGACCCCTCTGACACCCCCTCGTGACCCCCACAGGGGTCCCGACCCCCAGGTTGAGAAACACTGGGTTAAACCTTTGTGCTGGCTGAACTGTGATCTGAAGGTCGGCAGTTCAAATCTGTGAGACAGAGTGAGCTCCAGTCTGTCAGCTCCAGCCTCCCATGCGGAGACAAGAGAGAAACCTCCCACAGGATGGTAAAATATCCAGGTGTCCCCTGGGCAACGTCCTTGCAGATGGCTAATTCTCTCACACCAGAAGCGACTTGCAGTTTCTCAAGTCGCTTCTGACATGGAAAGAAATTAATTGTATGTCTCTGGGGAAAAATACATTCTGTATATAGTACTCATATTTTATATATAAATCCTATTTAGTTTAGTGGTATTTCTATGAGATTTACTTTCAAGTATGTTTTTCTAGAATTACAGTGTTAGATAATGTGCTCAAGTGATAGTTTCTCTCTTCCTTAGTTCATATTTTTAAATGTGGTAATAGTAGGTATTAGCTCTGCCATTAAGAGGGATATAAAATAAATTTAATTCTATCCAGGAATGGAATTTGAAGAATTTTTATAAATTTAAAGTACTTGAGGGTATCTCTCTATTAGATTGGAAGTCTAAATATTACTTCATTCCTCAGCTGTTTTTATCAAGGAAACTAATCTACCATCTTTTTTTCTTGGCCAGATATTTTCATGCAGAAGCAATATGAACAAGCACCTCCTGACACATGGAGACAAGAAATACACCTGTGAGATTTGTGGTCGTAAATTCTTCAGAGTGGATGTTCTGAGAGATCATATTCATGTTCATTTTAAGGTAGGATGTTTAATGTTTGACAGTTTGCGGTGTGATCAGAATCGAGCCTGGAGTTGAATAGCGGAAGGAAAAAGCTGGCAGGAAGAACTGAAGAAATATTAACAGTTCTTCAGAAAACAGTTGACTAGATTGGTTTAACAAGAAATAAAGGAGGAAGGTCAAATCTGAAGCCAAATAAAGTGATATCAGTATTGGTTGCTTGCTTTAAGATGCCTGACAACCATTGCAAAGTCTAAGATAATCATGTATCTGTCTGAAAAATATTATGCTTCAAAGATAGCTGTGAAATTTTGAATAAAAATGAGTACAGAAAAAGAGTAAAGGAAAGGCTAAGGGCTATTTTTCATGTGTTTTATATTTGTTTTCAGCATGACTAAAATGATGAAAAACCACAAAGCAGAATAAATTAACGCAATACTTTCATGTTTACATTTTTAAAGAAAATTTCTTGTGTTGGCAGTGAAGTCTTTCCATATGTAATAGTTTAGAAAATAATATATAAATTGCCAGTTTCATGCAAGCATGATTGTCCGAAAATAAGTAATGGGGCAAGGAAACCTCTCTTTTGTGCTCAGTGAAATTTCAGTTGAGGGACCAGTGGGAATAATTTCTATTCTAATTTTAGAAAACTTAGCATGTTGTAGCTGTTGGTAAATGTTTTGGATCCCTGTATGTTTTTGAATTTACATCTCTATTCATCATAGGACATAGCTATCATGGATGATCACCAGAGGGAAGAGTTTATTGGCAAAATTGGAATTTCTTCAGAGGAAAACGATGAAAATTCTGATGGAAGTGTGGATTCTGAGCCTCACAAGTATAGCTGCAAAAGGTGCCAGGTAGCTTTACTCCTTTCAGACATTTTGTGGTGAGATGGGAGGGAGGATAGACATGGAAAAACTCAAAAATGGACAGAAAATATTCAGTCATATACTTTGATCTAGGGACCTCGGCCTGATCTGATGAACATATTTATTAGCTTATTACTAGTGACACATTATTCACCTGTCTGAAAATGGTCACAAATGGTTAACCTTAGTCTCTGTTTCAAGTCCCATCTTCCCTAGAGATGTAGGAAAACAGGTCAGGGTGTAGAGTTCGCTGAATTAATTCCCTTTGTGTTACCTCACAATGGGTTAAACTTTTGTGCTGGCAGGACTTCTGACCGAAAGGTTGGCGATTTGAAATCGGGGAGTGGGGTGAGCTCTCATTTGTCAGCTCCAGCTTCTCATGCGAGGACATGAGAGAAGCCTCCCACAGGATCCAGGCGTCCCCTGGGCAATGTCCTTGCAGACAGCCAATTCTCTCACACCAGAAGCGACTTGCAGTTTCTCAAGTTGCTCCTGACATGAGAAAAAAACCCTCTGATTATATTATCATAGAATGTGGAATTCAGAATGTAAAATTCATACCTATCACGGTCACCGCCACTGTTTTCTTGACTCAACTCACAATATTGTGGTTCTTTGGAAGCCACAAATGGCAAAATATTCCTATCAGGTTCACAGTTCTTGACTTAGAGGACCCATTCCCTTGTCTCTGCCCACTTATATCCCGACAGTGCTGCAGTCTTTCCTATTTCCAGGACTGATGCTAGTTTTCTTCCATTCTGCTTTCTTATTGTGTCCACAGTCCCCTGCTTTTCAGATCACTGACTGTTTCATTCCAGTCTCTGTGTCTCTGGTTGGCTTCCGTAGCATATTTCCCTCACTTTTCCTATAACATACACTAATGCAGTATATTATAAAGCTTTTTCCCCCCCGAAACATCCTCTGATTATCCGCTCTTTGTCTCATAATTCCTTTTTTGCATGCCTCTCCTCATGCTTCTCAACACGTCTATAGTTCCTTCAGTATGCAAGCTTTTTTCTTTATCTTCCATGTTTCCCAAGGTAGTCCTCATTTATCGCCTATGATAAATTGGAACATCCCATTCTTTTCCAGAAGCATGACTTCATTTGTCTTCCCTGAGCCATCTTATCAACTCCACCAAACTTCACTGCCACTAGCACAACGCAGAACCAATAGCATATACTTTTGCTTTGTAGTCCAAACTTGCATTAGCCACGTGGTAGCTGTTTCACAAAAGATGTGTCCTAATTTCCCTGGTGTGGTGCATTCACTCTTGTTTCATTCTTTAGTTGACATTTGGCCGAGGAAAAGAATATCTGAAACACATCATGGAAGTTCACAAGGAGAAAGGCTATGGCTGTAGCATCTGCAACCGGCGCTTTGCTTTGAAGGCAACCTACCATGCACACATGGTCATTCACCGGGAGAACCTGCCTGACCCCAATGTGCAGAAGTAAGCAGATACATCTGCCCAAGCTGAATCAAAATTGTCTTCCAGAGCTTGCTTTGGGTTCATCTCACTTCATTGAGAACCTGTCAATGAGAAACATGGGCAAGACTGGAGCCTCAGATGTATTTCTTAGAAAGGGTGGTGCAACTTCAACAAAAAAAGAGAAATCAGGGGCAGGATCAGTGGAATGACTGTATTGAGCAAGGAGTCTGTGTAAGGCATGGGTGTAAGATGGAGCCCCCAGTGGTGCAATGGATTAAACCCATCTGTCGGCTGAACTGCTGACCAAAAGATCAGTGGTTCAAATCCGGGGAGTGGGGTAAGCTCCCAACTGTCAGCTCTATCTTCCCATGCAGGGACATGAGAGAAGCCTTTTATAGGATGGTAAAGCATCAAACATCCAGGTGTCCCCTGGGCAATGTCCTTGCAGACAGCCAATTCTCTCACACCAGAAGCGACTTGCAGTTTTTCAAGTTGCTCCTGACACATACACACACACACACACACAATATGCATGGACCACACGCACCCTTTTTGTGACACCCATTTTTGAATTTGATACTACACAGCTGAATTTTAGTGGCTGTAATAAAAAGATATGTATGTTTTCTTCAAAACAAGATACAGGGGAACATTTCCTTTGTTTTGAAACCAAACCATACCCCCAGAAGCTCAGTTCAGCTAAAAACAGGGCTCGTGGCACATATTACCTGTACTTCTGGTCTTACAGTGAAAGTTCAAATTTTCCTCAGCCATTGCCACATCAAAATAATTGGTTCCTGTTGGCTTTGGCTGGGTTTTTGCCCATTCCTGATTCAAAAAGATGTACCCAATTTGAATTGATTGTATCTCTGCAACCACAAATTACCTGTGAATAAAACCCTTTCCACTTGAAAGGGTAAGGATAGAGTTTCAAATGATTACTCCTAAAGGCTCCTCCCAGTGCGTAGACAGCCCCCAACCTCAGTTATTCACAAGATGGAGACTCCATAACATAGGTCCTAATGAGATATTCTCCATTTTCCTAATGGGATATTCTCCATGAAAGTCTTCGACAATACATATTCTTTATTTGCAGAGTTATTTGCAGAATTTCTGGCTCAAAATGGTTAGTAAAATTTGATGACACATTAAACTGTTTTGTGTAATTGTAACATGTTGCCATTGTGAAAAACCCTGCTTTGAAGTTGGGTCCATCAGTTTGAAACACCCTGTATATTACCTTTAAGGTGGTTCTGCACATACACTTCAAAAACAATGTTTCTCCATCTTATTACCCTGTAGAGCAGTGGTTCTCAGCCTGTGGGTCCCCAGGTGTTTTGGCCTACAATGCCCAGAAATCCTAGCCAGTTTACCAGCTGTTAAGATTTCTGGGAGTTGAAGCCTAAAACATCTGGGGATCCACAGGTTGAGAACCACTGCTTTAGAGAATGTGCCAGTTTGAAGTGTGACATGGTTAATTATAATAGTGGCAGCAGAATAAGTTGGTAAATGCTCCTTCATTTGTAATGTGGAAGCATAGTTTTATAGTTCCTTTGATCATTCTGTGTGAAGCAGGGCAAAAACAAAGGAGAAACAGCACAAACAACCCCCTTTTGGCTTTGCTGCAATCTGTCTCTTGTACAAGGGAAAATCTTACTTTATGAAGATATGCATACATTCATTGCATAAAAGAGGCTTTCTTTTGAAAAAGATGTGATGTTTTCTTATTACCTTCAGATGGATCACGTAAAACGATTCTCTTCATATACAGGCAGTCTCCAAGTTGCGAACAAGATTGGTTCTGTAGGTTTGTTCATAAGCTGAATTTGTATGTAAGTTGGAACAGGTACATTGTGTAACTCCAGCCAAATATATATATGTGTGTGTGTGTCTGTCTATCTATCTATCTATCTATCTATCTATCTATCTATCTATCTATCTATCTATATTGTGTGTGTGTGTGTGTGTGTGTGTGTGTGTATAGGAGCCCCCAGTGGCATAGCTGATTAAACTGCTGAGCTGCCGAACTTGTTGACTGAAAGGTTGACGGTTCAAATCCGGGGAGTGGTGCGAGCTTCCGCTGTTAGCCCCAGCTTCTGCCAACCTAGCAGTTTGAAAACATGCAAATGTGAGTAGATTAATAGGTACCACTTTGGCAGGAAGGTAACGGCGCTCCATGCAGTCATGCCAGTCACATGACCTTGGAGGCGTCTATGCACAACACCAGCTCTTTGGCTAGAAATGGAGATGAGCACCTCCCTCCAGAGTTGGACACAACTAGACTTAATGTCAAGGGGAAACCTTTACTGCCTCCCGCCCCCTGCCCCCCACACAGGGTTTGGATAGTATAGAGAAGAGTTAACAACCCCATGGTGTTTGTTTAGCTGTCTGTTCAGAAGATTTCGCCTTGGCCTGTTTTGGAAACAAGGATTGGTGATAAAGCTTCAATTGAAACACCTTTTCCCCATGATAATAACCCTTTCCGGAGTGAATTTCCCTTCCTTGGGTTAGGTTTCTCTCACTTCCTGTTGTCTCATTCCCATTCTTAACTGTGAGTAATTTTTAAGTTGGATGTTTGTAACTCGGGGACTGCCTGTATAATAATGAAACTGTAAAGCTATAAATCCATATGTAACTTTTAAAAACAAAAGCATCATCTACATACAGAATTATCTCAGTGCTTGTGATCTGCAGAAATATCAAAAGCAACCTTGATCCTGTAAACCTACATATTCTAGTGGACTGAAGGACAAATACATTGAAATGTAGCTTCATTTTCTGAATTATAGTATTCTGTTGAACATTGTTTTCATTTTTTTTCAAATAGAAATATGCATTTAAAATTATAGATTTTCAGTTTACCAGAAAAGAGTTATTAGCTGATCTTTATTTCCTATTTTAGATATATCCATCCATGTGAAATCTGTGGAAGGATTTTTAACAGCATAGGAAATTTAGAACGGCATAAACTTATACATACAGGTAGATTGTTTCATTACTGTTCACTTAATAACCAAAAATGTTCTTCTTCTGCTGCTTTTTAATTGTAACCCTGTAATTGGATTCTACTTGTTGGGATTTTAGCTTATAAATGCTTAAATCTGTGCTAAGGGAATTCTGTTCAAACCTGTGCTTTCTGTAGGTGTGGGTTGGTTGGGAGGAAGGATTCCTCAGATAAGAGTATGCTCATAATTTATTACTTGCAGCCAATAGAAGTTGTAACACAGGCTCTCTGCTGGAAGCACCAGCCTTGGCTAATTGTTGTATCTTGCTTTGTAGCTGGGCTGGATGTTCCTATAGTATTGGCCTGTTCCAAATGTCTACAGCAGGCATGGGTAAACTTCACCCCTCCAGGAGTTTTGGACTTCAACTCCCACAATTCCTAACATCCTACTGGCTGTTAGGAATTGTGGGAGATGAAATCCAAAACACCTGGAGGGCTGAAGTTTGCCCATTCCTAGTCTATAATCATTCTGATGAAACAGCTCAACAGGGATAGAAGTACAATAGAAAGCAAAGGAGGGGGGGAGATATTTTACCTGTAATGGGATGGATTGAGGAAAACAGTCTCTCTCTCTCTTCTCTATCCCTGACTTGGATTTAACATTTCAGTTGGATGAGATGCTGGATGAGAAATCTCATCAGTTCTTGTACCCAACCAAGCAGGATACAATTGAGAGCATCTCCAATTACATCCTCTATTCCTTTCCCTTTCCCTCTCAAGTAGCTTATCTACTACAACTTCTATTTGTATCTTATACTTAGCAACTCTTTTTACGGATGCTTACAAGTTTTTCCTAAGATCCTTTGTTTTCAGGGTTGGGAGTGTTAGCAGCTTTATATAAATACTGTTAAAACTGTATTCTGTTGATTTTAAGTTGCCCATTAAATGTACCTATTCCCCCAATCACCTTCCATTCCTCATTTCCTTTAAAGGTGTGAAAAGCCATGCCTGTGAACAGTGTGGTAAGTCATTTGCAAGGAAGGACATGTTAAAAGAACACATGAGAGTCCATGACAATATCCGAGAATATCTATGTGCAGAATGTGGTAAAGGTATGAGTCTTTCTTTATATTTAAACACATCTCTGGTATGCCATGTAGAAAATTATTTTGGGGTTATGGATATTCATTGCCAACCAGAAGGATTCCTTATAAATTACTGGAAGTGTTCATTTTATGTTTTGGCATGATTATTTCCCTTTATATGAAAGTGACCCCATGGCTGTCTTCAAATTATCAAAATATATAGTGTTATAAAATTTCAAGCTTCACTTATTCATGGGTTTTGTATTGGCTTACATTAGGTAATAAAACTGTACCCGAATGCAGTAAGAAATATATGGTGGTGTTACATTACCCATGTTTTCCCTTACAGGAACAACACGTTCGGCACAGAATTAATATTACGTATTTTAGTCAGATTTCCACATTTTCTGGGGGCAGGGATGCAGGACCCACACCAAAGTGGAAAAACCACAAATTTAAAAATGCTATTTTCCCCTTAACAGAACACCTCACTACGAATCCCTTGGTCATCCAGTGTGATTCTGTGGTCACTTTTGGGGTAAAACCTGCAAATGTGGAGGGCCAATTTATTCATTTAGCACCAGTGATATGAGAACAACTTTGGACATTCTTCCACACAACAGTAGTTACAGCTACTGCTGTCTATGGTGTTGCTTGACTAGGGAGCATCCTCCCAAAATCAGAATGTGACAAAGAATACCTGACATCAGGTCAGTGGGATACCGGCAAAAAACCATAACCTCTCAGCTCAGCCTACCTCATTGTGTTATGAAAATAAAAGGGAGGAAGGAAATCTTGAACCCTCTCCTAGGCTCACGGGAGAAGATGGGATTAAAAAAATACTGTATAATAATACTAATATCATTACAGCACAAGCAGTCCCTGGGTTACAAACATCCAACTTACAAACAGCTCTTAATTAAGAATGGGGGTGAGACAACAGGAAGTCGAAAAGGGAGATCCACCCCTGAAAAAGTTGTCATGGGAGAAAGGTGTCTGCACTGAAGCTTTATCACCATTATTTGTTTCCACAACAAGCCAGTTTTTCAAAATCCAATTATCACAGGGATAGGAAGTGAGGAGAAATCTTCTGAACAGGGCCACAAACAGCAAAGGAAACACCACAGGGGTGTTAACCCTTCCCTATATTGTTCAAAACTATATCTTTCTATCTATCTATCTAGAGAGAGAGAGAGAGAGAGAAAGATGGGGCTGGAGTTACACTTAAAATGCATCTGTTCCAACTTACATACCAATTCAACATAAGAACAATCCTATAGAACCCATCTTGTTTGTAACTTGGGGATTGCCAGTATTAGCAAATATAAGGCCTAAAGATCTTGCTCCCAACTATCTATCTATCTATCATCTATCTATCTATCTATCTATCTATCTATCTATCTTATCTATCATCTATCTAATAAAAGTCAAAGTTTGTATGCGGAGGACAAAAGTGTGGCGGTGTATGTGCCAGCATTCTGATTCGCCAGCCTGAAAGTTCCAAGATTCTGATTGGCTGCCGCTGTGGTGCTATTTGCATATGGTCTCTGATTGGCCAGCTTTACAGGAGCCCCTGGTGGAGAAAAGGGTTCATGACAGAAACGGAGACATGAGAGAAGGAAATTTGCATATGGTCTCTGATTGGCCAGCCTCAATTCCAAGATTCCGAGATGACAAAGAGAGGAAAGGAAAAGGCCAGAGGGGGCGGAGTCAGAAAATTACCAATACAGACCAAACTTGGCACACAGAGCCCCCATGACCCACTCGACATCCTACTGCAGTTTGGAGGAGGATGAACCATGGATGATGGGACTTGCAGTACCATCACTCACATTCTGAGACCGCTGTTAACCTCATCCAATGACTGATCAGAACCAAACTTGGCACATAGACCTCTCATGACCCACTTTACGTCCTGGTGTGGTTTGGCCGGGGATGGACCATGGATTATGGGACTTGCAGTACCTTTGCTCAATTCCTGAGACCACTGCAACCTCATCCAATTACCGATAAAGACCAAACTTGGCACACTGAGTCTCCATGATGCACTCTACATCCTGGTGCAGTTTGGAGGAGGATGCACCATGGACGATGAGACTTGCAATACCTGCACTCCCTTCCTGAGACCATTACAACTGCCAACAATGATGGATCAGGACCACAATTCACACAGAGAGCCCGCATGACCCACTCTACATCCTGGTGCGGTTTGGAAGAATTTGACAATGGATGATGGGACTTGCAGTCACTTCACTCACTTCCTGAGACCACTGAGACCCTCGCCAATGACTGATCAAGACCAAACTTGGCACACAGAGTCCCCATGACCCACTCTACATCCTGGTGCACTTTCAAGGAGGACAGACCATGGATGATGGGACTTCAAGTACCTCCACTCCCTTCCCAAGACTGCTGCAACCCTCATCTAATGTCTAATCAAGACCAAACTTGGCACACAGAGCCCCCATGACCCACACTACATCCTACTGCGGTTTGGAGTAGAGCATACCATGGATGATGGGACTTGAAGTACCTCTACTCCGAGGCTGCTGCGACCCTCAACAATGACTGAACAACACCAAACTTGGCACATAGACATCTCATGACCCACTTTACCCTGGTGTGGTTTGACTGTGGATCGAGCATGGATTATGGGACTTGCAGTACCTTCGCTCAATTCCTGAGACCACTGCAACCATCCACCAATTTCCGATAAGGACCAAACTTGGCACACTGGGTCTCCATGATGCACTCTACATCCTGGTGCAGTTTGGAGGATGATGCACCATGGACGATGGGACTTGCAGTACCTTCACGCACTTAGTGAAACCACTGAGACCCTCATCGAAGGACTGATGAAGACCAAATTTGGCACACAGAACCCCCATGGCCAACTCAACATTCTGGTGAGGTTTGTGGGAGAACAGACTATGGATGATGGAACTTCAAGTACTTTCACTCACTTACCAAGACTGCTGTAACCCTCATCTAACGACCAATCAAGACCAAACTTGGCACACAGAGCCCCCATGAGCGACTTTACATCCTGGTGCTGTTTGGAGGAGGACGGACAATGGATGATGCGACTTGCAGTACCTTCACTCACTTCCTGAAACCACAGTGACACTCATCCAAATACCAATAAAGACCAAACTTGGCACAGAGAGCCCCCGTGGCCAACTCAACATTCTGGTGATGTTTGAGGGAGACTATGGATGATGGGACTTGCAGTACCTTAACTCACTTTCTGAGACCACTGTGACCCTCATCCAATGACTGATCAAGACAAAACTTAGCACACAGAGCCCCCATGACCCACTCTCCATCCTGGTGCAGTTTGGAGGAGGATGGACCACAGATGATGGGACTCGCAGTACCTTCACTAACTTCCTGAGACCACTGCGAGCCATATAAATAACTGATAAAGACCAACCTTGATATACAATTCCTTTCTCTAATAACCCGGGCAGCGCCGGGTCCCCAAGCTAGTTATAACTAAACAATCAAAATATTTAAAGCATTTGTATGCCATCTATCATATATATGAAATGACTTTAAATGCCTTTTATTATTATCATTATTGTTGTTGTTAGATACACAACAAGATTAGTACACAAGAAACAAGATGACTATGCTGGCTTTTGTATTGAATATAAGTTGGACATTTCCCAAATGTCTAGGACTGTGTGATGTATCAGTGAATAATGTGTACAGATCCAAGTAGAGTGGCCTTTTGCAGTGGACAGATGGTAATTGGTTATTTTTAAGTGTAGGCCAAAGTCTTTAGGCACTGCACCCATTGTGCTGAACACTGGGACCACCTTTACTGGCTTCTTACTATTATTTATTTTTATCTGGCTTTTCTCTCATGGGAGGGACTCAAAGTGGTGCAAAAAAGAAAAATATGTGTTAAAAATATAACTGAAAATGTCTCAATGATGCTAGTAGAAGAAGGAGAGGGGGGGGTCTAGTTCTTTATGCCCTTTCTTCTCAGATGCATCCATGTTTAGAATTTCTTTGCCTGGGTTTTCTACAGCAATTTGCTCTGTTAACACAACCCTATCTGCAGTGTGGAGACTGCTTGGCTTCTCCTCGTCTGGATATTGATGTTCTAGCCCTGCAGCCTCACAGCTGTATGAAGCAAACTCTTGATCCTTGTAACTGTTTTCTGCTTCACTTGAATTCAATGGGGCAGCTTTAAATGTCATGAATTGCCTCTTCAACCTAGGCGGAATTTCTAAAGTGAGCAGATGATTGAATAAAATTGTTTAAATAAATTATGTGCAAGTGCATGCTGAGCTTCCTGGTTCACTTATGAATGTCCCATTTCAAAGCAGTGCCAAATCCTTTTATTAACTTCCTTCATGGGTCTCCTGAAGTTTTTACGTGGGTGGTTTTGAAAAACCTATTGTCATAGCTGAAAGGCGATTCCAGCCAAGTTGCACCAAAGAGTGGTCATTTTTTCCCTCAGAGGTCGTCATTGGCTTAAAATATTCAGAGTTGTTTTTCTTCTTTGTCGAAAGGGCATTGATGGGGCTTCCTCGCTGTGCCATAGAACAACTAAGCTTTCTTCTTTACAGGCATGAAAACAAAGCATGCACTGCGCCACCACATGAAGCTTCATAAAGGGATAAAGGAGTATGAATGTATGGAGTGCCATCGGAAATTTGCACAGAAGGTCAACATGCTTAAGCATTACAAAAGGCATACAGGTGAGGACAATTAACAAGCGCAATGTGACCTTTGGACAGAAGACACCAAGTTGTTTGGAAGTAAGGCCAGTGGTTTGTCAAAGAACAGTGAACATCAAGGAGCAACTTACATGGGCTTGGCCTCATGTAAGCTGCTCTGAGCCCCCTTTGGGGAAATGGTGGCGGGGTATAAAGATTATTATTATTATTATTATTATTATTATTGATATAAAGGCTAGTTTTCATAGCCATACTATTAAGTCAGTTCTATACAGCACCAACATTTGCTCCTTTATATAATTCCCTATTTGTTGCAGACAAAGCCATTAGATAAGCAAAGGCATGTTTTGGCACCAGAAGGGCCATTCTGGGAAGGAAGAAATGTATGCCATCATTGAAAAGTGTGCACATAACAGTTAAGTCTTGCTTTGCTGGACTGCAAATACGGACATAATTTGGTTCTAATTCAGACAAGGGAGGGCACATGGATAAGTGGCTTCAAGCTTGCCATCAGGATGAAGGCAGATTGACTTGAGGGCATACTTTTGGGAAACTGGGACCTAGTTGAGCTTCCACATTCTGAATTGTGCTGAGAAACAACAGAGGTTTTTCCCCCCCAGTGTCATCATATATGTGACTCCAGTTAGTATACTTAGAATGGTTCATCCCAAATCTCTTGCCCCAGTGGTTTCCTGGTGGACAAAGCAAAAATCTGTAACACTAAATTTCAGAGTCAAGCATGTACCATATATACTTGTGTATACATCAACTGCATGTATAAGTCGAGGGCAGGTTTTGGAGCCACAATTATGGGTTTTTATATGTCAAAAGTCCTTCTGCAGACCACAAAAATGGCAGCACCACCACTGGTAGCTTCCATCATTTTTACAGCCAGGCATCTAGGAGTAGTGTCGGATCAGAGAGAATAGAGGGGACAATGCTACATTTACGTTCTCCTGGAGCAGACTAAGCTCTTTTTTTTCCCTACTTTACTCAGAGATGGGGATGGCTTTAAAATTAAGAAAAAAAAGGTAAGGTACAGTGCGTTGATAAGTCAAACCAGTTTTTGGGTTTCTTTTTTTTACATTTCTATATTTATACCTGAGTATATACCAGGTATGGGCAAACTTTCTAACTTGGAGGCTGCATGCTAGCACCTCCTGCTAGGAGGACTAGCTTCCCAGTGACGGAAAGGAAGGAGAAAGGGAGAGAGGGAAGGAGGGAGGAAAGACAAAAGGAAAGGAAGGAAGGAACGAAGGAAGGAAGGGTGGAAGAGAAGGAGGAAGGAAAAAGAGAAGGAAGGAATGAGGGAAGAGATGAGTGAATGGATGGATGGGAAGGATAAAGGAAAGAGAAGGAAGGAAAGACAAAAGGGGAGGGAAGGAAGAGAGAGAAGGAAGGAAGGAAGGAAGGAAGGAAGGAAGGAAGGAAGGAAGGAGGAAAGGGAGGGAGTTAAGGAAGCGAGGAAGGACGAAAGGGTAGAAGGGAAGGAGGAAGGAAAGAGAGAAGGAAGGATAGGATGGTGAGAGAAGAGGGCTTGAGAAAAGAGCACAAGGGGCTGCATCCGGCCTCAGCCTGGGTTTATCCATACCGGGTATGTACATTCCTCTCTCTCATGCACATAACACGCTTCCAGCACTTATCTTCTAAAACCACTCTCCAGTTAGCTTTGCTGGATACAACTTGCCATCTGAAGGATTTCTTTTTCATGTCAGGAGCGACTTGAGAAACTGCAAGTCAGTTGTGGTGTGATAGAATTGGTCGTCTGCAAGGACATTGCCCAGGGGATGCCCAGATGTTTTTATGTTTTACTATCTTTGTGGGAGGCTTCTCTCATGTCCCTGCATGGGGAGCCGGAGCTGACAGAGGGAGCTCATCTGCACTCTCCCTGGATTTGAACCTGTGATCTGTCAGTGTTCAGTCCTGCCAACACAAGATTTAACTCATTGTGCCACTGGAGGCGCCTTATAAAAACAAAAGTTCACATTTTCTACATGGCAAGATTCATTTTGGTATTAAACTTGGTTTCTTATTAGCAGGGATCAAAGACTTCATGTGTGAACTCTGTGGGAAGACCTTTAGCGAGAGGAACACAATGGAGACCCATAAACTAATTCATACAGGTAAATGATCCAAAAACTTATTTTTGAAAACAGAAGCAGAGATTTCAGATGGTGCACCTACAGGGCAGTCTTGGTCATATTCAGAATACTGTTGTATCTCAGGCTAAGATTCACCTTGCTGTCTCTGACAAACCAGCCAAACTTGGGAGGTAGAAAGTTTATTGTGAGGTTTTTCAAACAAATCAGAGTATAAGCAGTAAAAAGATCAGTAGTACAAGGTAAAAATCCAATATAATCCCTTTGAGTCAAAGCAGGAGACTTGAAGCAAAGAAGCAGAGTAAAGTCCAGGAAATAGCATGAGGTTACATGAAGCAGGCTTTTCCCAAGCCCCAAGCCCCAGAGCCGGAGCCAAAGCGAGCCATTTTTGCAACGTTGGAACTGACGCCGAATCAGCTCCAAGGCAGTTTACTTATAGGTAAAACATCAAAACATTGAACATCAAACAGGCAGCTAACAAGCAGTTTTCCCACCAACGGATGAGCTCAAGACTTGGCCGCAATTCGTAAACTCCGTCTCAACACCTGTGGGGCAGCCTGACCTTCACCAGCTGTCTTATCAGCCACATTCCGTTCCTGTGAGAAAAGTGGCTTGTCTCTAGCTACAGATTGTGACTGAGAAAACTGAAAGCCCACACCTGCATCTGTATTCCCATTCCCATCATGCTCATCTGCACTTTCAGTCCCATCATGCTGTTGCTGAACCACAACACTATCCCCCCCCAAGCCCCCCCCCCGTGGGCCCCCCACCGGCCCGGGCTTGGCCGGGTAGGCCCGGTGAAAACGGGACACTAGGAGAGGAGCATGAACATCCCGAGCATCCACCCAACAGCGCTCCTCAGGCCCATAGCCCACCCAGTCCACCAAGTACTGTAACTTGCGATGATGACGGCGAGAGTCCAAAATGTCCGCTACTTCAAACTCCTCCTCCCCATCGCGTAGAATCGGGGGGGGCGGAGGGGCCCCGCCAGCATCCGGCCGGACTTCCGTGGCGGGTCGAAGCAAAGATCGATGAAAAACAGGATGAATCCGCATGCCGCGCGGAAGCTTTAGTTTAAAGGTCACAGGATTTAATTGGTCCACCACTGGGTATGGCCCCACAAAACGAGCGTCAAGCTTTCGAGAGGGGCGTTGTATAGGCAGGTGTTTAGTGGACAGCCAAACACGATCTCCCACTTGGATCGGTGGACCCGGCTGTCGATGGGTATCAGCCACTCGTTTGTAATCTTCTTTTGCCTGCTCAAGTTGAGCCTTTAAGATCTCTTGAATAGCTGAGAGCTCCTGCAGCCAAGTGGTAGCAGCAGGGACCTCCCCTGACCCAATCACGGAGGGAAAGAACCGGGGGTGATATCCGTAGTTAGCAAAGAACGGGGCTTCTTTGGTCAATCCGTGAGTAGCGTTGTTATAAGCAAACTCGGCTACAGCAAGAAGCGATGACCAATTGTCCTGTTGATAGTTCACAAAACATCTCAAATATTGTTCAAGGGTGGCGTTGGTCTTCTCGGTCTGGCCATCGGATTGTGGATGGTGCGCTGACGACATCCGACTCTCGATGCCCAACTGTCGCTGTATCTCCTTCCAAAAGTGCGAGGTAAATTGGGCACCGCGATCGGTCACCAAACTCGTTGGAAGTCCATGAAGACGGAAAATGTGGCTTAGGAATAAATCGGCAGTTTCTTTGGCAGTAGGCACTCCCCCACAGGGAATGAAATGTCCCATCTTGGTAAAAAGATCCACCACCACCAAAATGGTGGTGAAACCTTGGGATTCCGGTAAATCCGTGATGAAGTCGGCCGACACAATTTCCCAGGGCCGACTCGGAGTGGGTAGAGGTTGTAGCAAACCAGCCGGTTTGCCAGTAGGGTTCTTGGCGCGGTGGCAAACAGGGCAACCATTGACATATTTTTCGACCTCTCGTCGGATCTTGGGCCACCAAAAGCCTCTCAGCACCAGCTGCATTGTTTTAAAGATCCCAAAATGCCCCGCTGGCTTGGTGTCATGGCATAGTCTTAAGATTTCCTCCCGCTCAGGGCCGGGAGGAACATAGACCTTTGAACAATGACACAGCATCCCATCTATCTCTTGAAATGGGAACTTTAGTCCGGCCTCCAGTTGCTCTTGCACCCACAAGTCCTCTCGCTGCCGAGCCCGGATTCTTTCAGCCAGAGTCGAAGGGGGCCTGTTGCACCGGTGGACGCAAAGTTTTCTGGACGCAAAATGCAGGACTCAGAGGAATCTTCCTGGCCCCGAGTATACTCCGGCTTGCGCGACAAAGCATCTGCTTGTTTGTTTTGGGCCGCTGGCACGTAGCAAATTCGGAAGTTGAACCTTTCAAAAAACAACGCCCAACGCTGCTGTCGTTGGTTTAACTTCCGGGATGTATGGAGATATTCCAGATTGCAATGATCCGTATGAACTTCCACTGGTTGCGGAGCACCCTCTAGCCAATGTCTCCAAGTCTCAAACGCCGACTTNTTGTTTGTTTTGGGCTGCCGGCACGTAGCAAATTCGGAAGTTGAATCTCTCAAAAAACAACGCCCAACGCTGTTGTCGTTGGTTCAACTTCCGGGACGTACGGAGATATTCCAGATTGCGATGATCCGTATGAACTTCCACTGGTTGCGAAGCACCCTCTAGCCAATGTCTCCAAGTCTCAAACGCCGACTTGATGGCTAGGAGTTCTTTTTCCCAAATGGTGTAGTTCCGTTCTGGGGCAGTCAACTGTCGAGAAAAGTATGCACAGGGCTGGAGATGATCCCCCGCAGGTTGTAGCAACACTGCCCCGACCGCCACATCCGACGCGTCGGCCTGCACCACAAATAGCTTGGTTGGATCAGGATGTTGCAGGATAGGCTGGGAAGTGAAAAGCTTCTTGAGCTGCTGAAAGCCTTTTTCAGCCGCCTCAGTCCATAGAAACGGCCGTTTGCCTCTCAGGCATTGGGTAATGGGGTCCGCCCAGCGGGCAAAGTCTGGGATGAACTTGCGATAGTAATTGGCAAACCCCATGAATCTTTGGATGTCCTTTCTGCTCATGGGGGACTTCCATTCTAACACCGCGGAGACTTTAGTGGGGTCCATGGAAATTCCCTTCGCAGAGATGCGGTGTCCCAGAAAGTCTACTTCATCTAGATCGAAGGCACACTTTTCCAGCTTAGCGTAAAGTCCATGATCCCTCAGGCGCTGGAGCACTGCGCGCACCTGTTGCGCGTGGTCACGTGGATTCGTGGAGTAGATCAGGAAGTCGTCTAGGTAAATGACCAAAAAACGGTCCAAAAAGTCGCGAAAGATGTCGTTGACGAAGTGCTGGAACGTGGCCGGAGCGTTACAGAGCCCGAAACTCATGACTCTGTATTCGAAGCTCCCAAAGCGGGTCTGGAAGGCTGTCTTCCACTCGTCCCCTTCCCGGATACGCACCAAGTTATAGGCCCCCCTGAGGTCCAATTTGGTGAAAATCCGGGCCCCTCGCAAACGGTCGAGAAGCTCCGGGATGAGGGGAAGCGGATAACGGTTCTTGATCGTGATGTTGTTCAACGCCCGATAGTCATTGCAGAGTCGCAACTCCCCTGACTTTTTCTTGACAAACAAAACTGGGGCCCCAGCCGGCGACTGCGAGGGACGAATGAACCCCTTGCGTAGGTTAGTATCCAGGAAATCCCGGAGAGCCGCCAGCTCTGGTTCCGAGAGAGAATACAGTCGCCCACGCGGAATCGGGGTGCCCGGGATCAAGTCAATAGCGCAGTCGTACGGACGGTGCGGAGGAAGTCTCTCCGCCTCC